ACTCCAAGGTCAATGCCAAAACTGTTGGTATCCAAAGGAAGGTCTTGTCACAAGAAATATACATGTGAAGTATGAAAGCCCTAACACCAACTGTTCAAAAGTTATGGCCAAAGTTAAAGTTTTTCAAAAGTAGGTCAAACTTCACAATCAAGGTCAAAAGGTCAGGGTTGTTGGTATTATAAGAAAGGTCTTGGCACAAGAAATGCATATGTAAAGTATGAAAGCCCTAACACAAACTGTTCAAACGTTATAGCCAAGGTTAAAGTTTTCCAAAAGTAGGTCAAACTCCAAGGTCAAGGTCAAAGGGTCAAAGTTGTTGGTATCTAAAGAAAAGTCTTCTCACAAGAAATGCATAAGTGAAGTATGAAAACCCTAGCGCTAACTGTTCAAAAGTTATGACCAAGGTTAATTTTTTCCAAAATTAAAGTAGGAAAAACTCCAAGGTCAAGGTCAAAAGGTCAAAGTTGTTGGTATGCAAAGAAAGGTCTTGTCACAAGAAATACACATGCAAAGTATAAAAAAACTAGCTCAAACTGTTCAAAATTTATGGCCAAGGTTAGAGTTTTTTCAACAGTAGGTCAAACTCCAAGTTCAAGGTCAAAGGGTCAAAGATGTTGGTATCCAAAGGAAGGACTTCTCACAAGAAATAAACATGTGAAGTTTGAAAGCCCAGGCTTCAAGTGTTCAAATGTTATGGCCAAGGTTAAAGTCTCAAAAATTTTTACAAAAGTGGGTCAAACTCCAAGGTCAAGGTCAAAAGGTCAAATATGATGGTACCCAAAGAAAGGTCTTGTCACAAGGAATACACATGTGAAATATGAAAGCCATAGCTCCAACCAATCAAAAGTTATGGGCAAGGTTAAAGTTTTTGCGGACAAACAGACAGACAGACGGACGGACGGACGGACAAGGCAAAAACTATATGCCCCCGAATCTTCGATTACGGTGGCATAAAAAGTTTTAGAATTTTCATTAGTAAAACTTTAATTGAAAAAAGAACATATTACTACATCTAAAATACATGTCAAAAGAAATATAGTTTGTATGCTTCAAAATGGTATCAGAGATATAAATAATTAGATTTGAGTTTCTTTCCTCTATATGTGAAAGAAATTGGCTTTTTGATTGTTATTTTACATTCATTTTTTTCAATTCTGGTTTGAAAAGTTTTGATATGAAAGAAATATAAAACAATAAATCCCCCCCCCCAAAAAAAAATGTTTATGTCCATTTATGTCACTTCTTGAAATCTAAGCCAAAAAAGAATTTTGATATACAAGTTTTCTTACAAAAAATACTAGATTTTGAAGTAATCCTATTTTACCTTATTTTGTTGCACACTTGACATCTGGTATATATTTTATTACCTGGTAAGCGTTGTTTTAAAAATTATAACACATTAACTCATTCAAGGTTAAACTTTGTAAATCAGTTCGTCGTTTTGATACTTTTTATCATTTACAGCAAGTTTCTCATATTTTCAAGACTTCAAAACATGATAATTTGCTTGTGTAGTGCCGGTATATATTTAAAAAATATGTTTAGTGATGAAAATTATTATTCTGTGAATTGACTGTAAAATGTCCAAAAATATCTGTAATTTGTTGGTAGACATGATTTGAACTACAAATAGTATCAAACATTTTCTGCAATTTATTTCTTTATTTATTTATTTTGGTAAACTACAGATAGGTGAAGTTCATTGATAATTATAAAACAGATTTGTTGCACTCCTGACTGCAGTAGAATTTAAAATGAAAACCATAAAACACAATAATTCATGTAGTGTTGGCAACATCAAATGGTAAATGAAATTGTTCTGTATTTATAGTCCAATACTTCATGGTTAAAAACACAAAAAAGTATTTAAACTTGACTTTATATTTTGAATTATTCCCAGTTTATGTCAAAAAAACTAGCTAAAAATATATTTAGAAGATAAAAGTGTATTTATAGCATATTTTCCTTTATGGGAGATTAAACATTCTACTTACTAATTTTTTTCTTTATATTTATTAATATTTAATCAGCAATATTCTTACATTTTTGTTGCACTCCTGACCAAGAGCATGCAAATCTTTAAAGTAGAATAGCGAAGCATATATTACATCAGAACTTGTTCTGTTGTTTCAGTGAAGTTGAGGTGGAGTTACGTGAATTTTATAACAATTTTTTTTAAATGTGTTATTTTTTACGTCCATTAAAAAATCAAAGAAAAGATGAAAACACATCTGGATTGATAAAATTGAAAAAGAGACGAATTTTAGTATTAAAACTCTCAATAACTTATACTTAATCATTTAAATAGATTATTATTGATTAAAGAATATTTATAAGTATGAATAGAAGTCATTTCATCATATAACTTGGATCTTTTAAAAAATGCGTTGCACTCCTGACCATGGAAGTATACATCTAAAGCACAGACACACCCTGTAATTGATTAATCTATTTTGTAAAATGTCTTTTGTGTCTTTATTTTCTAAAATAGGAATCAGAGAATCACATAATGATAAAAGTTGTTTTCATGCTGGGGAGCAAAACATCAAATGTTGCACTCCTGACATAATTGGATATGCACAGATACTTGACTCTCATCAATGCTGCTTGTGATTTATGTAACATTTTTAAGTTTTAAATGGCATATCAGTTTGTTTTACACATTGAAAATTCTTTTTGCCCTAATTGTTATACAGATTTTTAAAATCAATGATTTTTATTGTCAACACTACTTTTTTTCTGTTGCACCCCTGACATGGTAAATCATTTTTTTAATTCATCTAGATGCAGAACTGTACGCTAGCGTTATGGTTTTATATACATGTATATTAGTCTTTGACCACAATGGTCAAAGACTAATATATAAAACCATACTGCTACATGAAGTACTGTAGCTATACCTGATACGCTGTTTCTTAAGGATATTCGATCCTCAGCCAGGAAGAATAACTCTTAAATTTATTATTTTATTTAAAAAGTCTAAATATGAAGCTTGAAATTGGAATCTTTTCGTGCAACAATTTTCATTTTATGCATCTCAATATGATTCAAGGTTTGATATTTGATGTCTTAGAAATGGTTTTGTAAAAAGTTGACATTTGTACCCCATAAAAAGAAAAAAAAATAAATTCATTTTTAGAGAAATTGAATTTCCTTTCATCTAGCATTAGATAGCAAAGTATATTAGCAGGATATGAAATTAGACGTGATATTGATGTCTAGCAATGATAGTACAAGCTTTTTACACTATGTATTACATAAAAATTGAAGTAAATAGAAGAACTAATATACTGTATAGGCATAAAAAGATGCAATTTTCTCCAAATGCCTGGATACCTATATTTCTTTATCCTAAAATATATTTGTTGATCAATTTTCAATTAGAAAATGCATAGCTGGTGTTTTTATTTGCATTTCCTGAAAATATACATGTATTTGAGATTTGATAATTTTCCCAAAATAATATGATTAACTTTAATTAACTTTGAAGAAATACCATGGGTAAATTCACGTTACTCTGTGAAATCAGAGACATTTTTGTGAGCATTTTCAATTACTTATAAGCTGATTTTCAGAACCTGGGCTTCGGACTACCTCAACACAATTGCACTTTACTAGTAAAGAGTTATTTCTCTTGCATGTATCCAACCAAATAAAAAAAATGAAAATTCTTATCAAAATGTATTAGAATTTCATATCTAATTTTCTTGCTCCGATTTTTTTTTTTTTTTTACTTTTTCAATTGTATCAAATACTAAATGAAACATAGTGATCTTTTTTTTTGGGGGGGGGGGGTTGTTTTTGTTTTTGTTTTGTTTTGTTTTGTTTTTTTGTATTTTTTTTTTTGTTTTGTTTTGTTTTGTTTTTTTTAATACTGAACATAGTATTCAGGAATAATTCAGCACTGAATATGTAACACGTGTTCGCAATAGGTACTGAATGTTATTGGAGAAATCAGAATTTCATTATCGAAAAGTCATTAATTTCACGTTTTATTTAATCTTATGTTACAGAAAGCGGTAGCATTTACTAACAAAATAAACGAGATTTCCTTGACTAAATTTTTTGTATGAAAGATTAATTCAGTCTGTTATAGACATGTACATCTGACAATTTATTGTTCTAAAAAATTTGTTGATAGTCACAGCGGTGTCAATACTTCTGTACCATCAAATCACTGATCCAGTTATCTATCCATGATGATGTATATCATATGCGTTATCACGTCATCCATTATCTACTTTCACACAACGTATTGGCATTCAGGTCCGACTTTTTTTCTTTTTTGTACCCCACGCTTGAAGAAGAGTTTTGCAACTCCTATTTTAAGTTTTGATTGGATACATATTTGGGATTTTCAATGCCAAAATATGGACTTGGTCATTCTTGGTACACTTGGGGGTAGCCTTCATGTATCTGCAACTCCTCTTACACCACTGAATGCAATTTAATGAAACTTTCAGATTTTTCATTACGTAGTTTTGCACCTCCTATTTTAGTTTTAATCGGAAGGACATTTGGATATTCCCATAGAAAATTTGCCATTCTTTATTTAACATCGAGGGTACCCATCTCATATCCGCAACTCCTCCTATACCACTGAATAAAATTTAATGCGTTCACAGAATCTTTATTACATAATGCCATTGTGACCTCTTATTTTACGTTTAGAATGGACAGATATCTGAAGTTTCCCATGGCAAAACATGGATTTTAGCTTTATACTCAATAAAGGGGTACTGATTTTGTTAATATAACTTCTCCTAAGCCCCTGAATGAAATTAATTGGAACTTTCACAGATTCTCATTCAAATAAAGCAAAGAAATGCACTCAAACGGCATTATGTAATAAAAATTCTGTAAAAGTTATTAAATTTTATTCAGTGGTCTAGGAGTTGCAGATAACAGATGGGTAACACCAAGCATAATGGATGGACACCCCTATCACTTTATTCACCCACTTTTCAAGCACGTGGTATAATTAAAAAATTCCACAAAAATTTAACATTAAATAATTTATTTTCAATTGATAACAATTCATAGTCTCATCAATATATACATATTTTTTAAATACACATTTGAGAATTTTATTAATATTTCCATGAGAAGAGATAAAATCAAAATGAAGTCTCTAAGACATGTACAAGTAGGTCTTAACATGTGTGTTAATTTTTTCTACGTTCCATTTTAATGCCACATTTTCATAATTATGATTTTAAATACAGACCACATCAAGCAGAATCGTAAATCATTCAGTGCCATAGATATGTATATCAAAAAATTAATACTTGAACACATTTTCTACATTATGACCAGACTTAACAAGAAATGTCAGAAACTTGGACCACAGACAAAACCAAATGAAGGCATAATTTTCACATGTTCACATATATCATTAACAGAAAAATTCCTCATTTTGTTCTCAAAAAAATATGACATCTCATCTGTCATGGTAAAGATAAAAAAGTTGGTCAAAATTCGTTATTCACAATACCTTCATAAGAAACATCTGTGGAAAACACTAGCATTTATAAAAGATAACAAACAGTAAGAATTCCATCAGATATCCTTTTGTCCATTGACAACTCTTTCTTGTGATAAAACTGTGAATTCGGAATAAATATTTTGGCAGTCACTGAAGATAAATGTTTATTTTAAATCAACATAATAGATATATGGTAAGAGCCTCTAATTATTTTTCTCTTTACCAAATTTGTGTCTTTTAATAGCTGACAAACCATTTTGGAAAAAGATTAAAACTCCATGCAATATGAATAACATTATCCAATTTAATGCCTCCTGCATTAAAATACAAATTTCATTTTTGTAATCTTTCTACCATAAGTAACAATTAACCCCTCCCTGTATTAGATAGACAAATGTACATTATCTGCTCTAGATCTTCATGAAATAATTTTAAAAAACTTTCTTTTCTCTGTCTTGTCATCCTCACACATGATAAAAACTTCAGTTTCTGTTTTTTCAGTCCAATCACTCCTACGTTTTGAGCCATTCCAAGACCTGTGGTGTGAAGTATGAAATGATAATGTCTGCCCCTGCTCGTCTCATACTGCACAACACTTCCATCAGGGTTGTCTTTAAATCGAACGCACCTGCTTTAGCACCATGGTACAACATAGCATATTCACCAGACACTTGGTAAATAGCTAATGGATGTGTGGGATACTGCAAAAACAAAAATTCTTGTAAAAATTCAGTTTTATAAAAAAGAATAAAATCTTTATGTTCTTTACTTTAGGGTGATAATCCCCCCCCCCCCCCCAAAAAAAATGTTTTGGGACATTGATCTGTTCATGTTTCATGAATACTCTTGACTTACCCTATCTTTGGTCATTTTGACAACATCAAGGTAAGCAAGACCAGGTTTGACCATTAACATGTCAGCACCTTCCTTCACATCACGCTCTACTGCACGCTCAGCTAGACCCATGGAACCTGATGGCAACTGATAAGCCTTCCTGTCACCGAATGATGGTGCTGATTTGGCAGCATCCCTGTAACAAGGGGAGATGATTGTGTATGACACATATTTCAATTAGTACCTGAGAGTAGGTCATCATGACCTACTTATCACTTTTCATTCTCTGAGGACCAAAGATGCATAAACTAAGATTGATGATTCTAAGCCAATTAATACCTAAAATATTTTTTTTAAATTATAACCATAAAATTTCAAAAGTAGGTCACAGTGACCTACTTTTCAGATGACAGACTTTGAGGACCTATGATGTATCAACTGACAAAGTTTGGTGATTCTAATCCAATTAGTACCTAAAAATATTTAAATAAACCAATAAAATTTCAAAAGTAAGTCATGGTGACCTACTTTTCAGTTGTTGTACTCCGAGGACCCAAGATGCATCAACTGACAAAGTTTGATGATTCTACCGTATATACTCGCCTATAAGTCGGTCCGCCTATAAGTCGGTTGTGATTTTCTTAGATTATTTTGGAGGGATTTGCCATTGACCCGCCTATAAGTCGGTATAACTTTTTTGCCAGAATCAGTGGGCAATTTCAAATCAATGCTCTAATGTTTTAACAGGTGTTTCAAATAATATTTTGAGAAATTGCGCCAATATTTTATCTTTTTTTTTCTTCTCTCATAAATTTCATATCAATACTCTAATGTATTTACCTGTGTTCAAATAACAGGTTAGGATATGACATCGGTAATTAATTCTTTTTTCAACAAACCAAACCCACTACCATTTTAGTTTTCTTTTTATATTGTTTTGTTTAAGCCTGAAATCCCTTGTCTTGTATATTTTATATACCGATCTCAATCATAGACGGGTCTCTGTCTCTTTGGCATAGTGATGAACTATGTAACGAGTCTAGCAACATTTTGATATTTAATTAGGTGGTGCTCAATGTCCAAGCCATATCTATAGTTTTTAATAATGCTATGTTTGATTATTATTAGGAATTACTGTCTCTTAATTACCTATATCCCTTACCTGACACTGTGTATATTTAGTGACACGCGTTCCGAGAAAATTGTGTACCACACATGGAAAGCATTTTCATAAACAATCGAGTTTTAATAGACTCCAGAATAATATTCTGAATTATTTTTAATGAATATTATATCTGTTGTCAAAAACATTGCAGACGGTACATATAATTATACATCGTACACTGAATATCATATCGGGTTCACAATTCAATTTTACCGATAAACGATAGATTTACAGTAAGTCACAAGTTAATGAAAGGAATATTTTTTGTTAATAATCAAATAAATGATATACACTTAAGATCAAAATAAAATCATTAAAACTTGTAAATACTCGTACTTTATATATAATCTTAGAATACGTAAATAATATGATACATCCAGACATTTCTCAACGATAATCGTCGAAGTTATCAGGGACCTATATACTAAGTATATACTTAGTATATAGGTCCCTGAAGTTATGTAAAAAATACTACATTTCGTCGTCCAGAAAAATACCAAGCTTTTGATGACTCGCCTATAAGTATATACTTCGTATATAGGTCCCTGAAGTTATGAAAAAAATAGTACATTTCGTCGTCCAGAAAAACACCAAGCTTTTGATGACTCGCCTATAAGTCGGACATAGAGTTTTAGACCAAAAATTAACTCCCAAAAAACCGACTTATAGGCAAGTATATACGGTAAGCCAAATAGTACCTGAAATATTTAATTTAAGCCATAAATTTTCAAAAGTAGGTCACGGTGACTTACTTTTCAGTCAACCTACTCCGAGGACCCAAGATGCATCAACTGACAAAGTTTGATGATTCTAAGCTAATTAAGATCCGAAATATTTAATTAGAGCCATATAATTTGAAAAGTAGGTCACAGTGACCTACTTTTCAGTCGACCTATTCCGAGGACCCATGATACATCAACTGACAAATTTTTGATGATTGTAAGCCAAATAGTACCAAAAAAAATATTAAATACAGCCATAATTTCAAAAGTAGGTCAGAGTGAACTACTTTTCAGTTGTCATACTCCAAGGACCCAAGATGCATCAACTGACAAAGTTTGATGATTCTAAGCCAATTAGTACCTGAAAAATTTATATAAAGCCATAAAATTTCAAAATGAGGTCACGGTGACCTACTTTTCAGTCGACTTACTCTGAAGACCCAAGATGCATCAACTGACAAAGTTTGAAGATTCTAAGCCAATTAGTACCCGAAATATTTGATTATAGTCATATAAATTGAAAAGTAGGTCATGGTGACCTACTTTTCATTTGACTTACTCCGAAGACCTAAAATGCATCAACTGACAAAGTTTGAGGATTCTAAGCCAATTAGTACACAAAATATTTAATTATAGTCACATAAATTGAAAAGTAGGTCACTGTGACCTACTTTTCAGTCCACCTACTCTGAGGACCCAAGATATATCAACTGACAAATTTTGATGATTCTAAGCCAAATAGTACCCTAAATATTTAAATATAGCCATAAAATTTCAAAAGTAGGTCATGGTGACCTACTTTTCAGTTGATGTTTTTTGAGGACCCAAGATGCATCAACTTGCAAAGTTTCATGATCATAGGCCTTAAAATGTCCAAATTATGCCTCTAATACCCTTTGAAATCAAATGCCTGCAAAGTTCAAAAAGTAGGTCACTGTGACCTACTTTTTAATAAATATGTTTTATGGCCCCAAGATGCATCATCTTACAAGATTTAATAATTCTAAACCTCTCAATATTCATATTAATGACCTTAGTTGTTTTGAAAAAGATTAGCCATAAAATTCAAAAAGTAGGTCATGGTGACATACTTTTTAGTTGACATACTCCGAGAACCCAAGATACATCAACTGACAAAGTTTGATGATCATAGGTCTTAAATTGTTCAAAATATGCCTCTAAATCATTTTGAAAAAGAATGACCGCAAAATTTAAAAAGTATGTCACTGTGACCTACTTTTGAGTCGTCATGATATGAGGTACTTAGATGAATCAACTGACAAGATTTGATGATCCTAGTCCTTATAGTAAGCAAAATATCAACATTTTAATAAAATGTATTTTTTGGTCAACTTTGAAATGACCTTGAGACCACGCCCTTTGCCCCAGGGTGATGCCTTGAACAATTTTTAATCTTCAACATATCCTCATCCTTTTGTGTAAGTTTGGTGATAATCTGCCCAGTGGTTCTTGAGAAGAAGATTTTTTTAGCAACCAGTACTTTTGTTTCTATTTTCCTAATTATCTCCCTTTGTTTAAGGGTTACAACCCTAGTTTTAGTATAAGCGGGGGCCTTTGGGCCAAGGATACCCTGTGACAAATTTGACAATAATTAGCCAAGGGGTTCTTGAGTTATGGCCCATATTCTAAAAAGTTTACGTACACCGCCCGCCGCACAAATGGCCATAGCATTAGCTCTTTGAGCCTTTGGCTCAGAAGAGCTAAAAATATAAGTAATTTCTTCTTTCAACTTCTTCAAGACTGATCAATACCTGACAAAAACTTAGTTGTGGCAGAACCTACCTGAATGGTCCATAGAATGAGGAGGCAAACTTGGCACTGTAGCTCATGACTGCCACCCTATTTCCATAACCAGCCTCTGTCAGAGCTGATTTTATAGAACCAATTCTTCCATCCATCATGTCTGATGGAGCAATAATTTGGCATCCTGAAAATCCAAGTATACATATAACAAGGAAATATAACAATCTAAACTTGCAGTCCTGGTATCCAGCAACTCTTTGTCTTTATTGTGATTCCTTAGCCTCAACATAACATTATAAATACATGTATTTCAAGGCATTTACCATGTATTAAAAAGTTTTCAAGACAGTTACCATGTATTAAAAAGTCTTCATGCATATATATTATGAAGTTTTAATTTTCCTAGTTATAGATCTATGTGTACCTGCTTTAGCATAGTTAACAGCTATCTCTGCCAGTCTCTTGATGCTGGCTATATTTTCAATGCTTCCATCTTCACGGAGAATACCTACAATTTATCACATTATATTTTACACACATCCCTTTTTTTTTTACTTTTTAAAAAATTGATAAGCATTACTCCTTGTTGTATTACAGATCAAAATAGAGATCATCTTGCACACTCAAACACCATTTTTTGGTTAAATAAAAGACAAAACAATACAAGTTGTTATTTTTTATATTTTGAGGAATTCCAGAACACAAAACAAAATAAAAATTCTTGCACGTACCACAGTGTCCATGACAGGTATAAGGGCAGAGACACACATCACAGGCCACCAGTAAATCAGGGAACCAGCTTCTCAACATTTTGATGGCGAGAATGGCTGGTGTGTCAGGGGTGTCTGCTGCTGTGCCATTGTTGTCCTACAAGAGAGAAATCACAGAATAAGCAAGTCCTTAATGATAAAAATAGCTACCATACCTTCACAATTTTTAGAAATATTTCCCCCTCGATACTTTTGACCAAACTTCAAGGACAAAATCTAAAAGGTATCAGAAACAGTAAATAAGAGTCTGAAAATCAGGTTCATGATAAGGTTATGGACAGTCAAATTAACTGAAAATATCCAAGTTGCCAAAACTTTCTTTGTTGACCCAACTGTTTCTTCTAACGATGTATATCATACATGTAGTTCTTTCAAACTGGCCCATCTTTTGGTCTAAGTGTTTTTCTTTATGATATCTGATGTGACCTTAAGTCAAAGTTATACCCCGGTATTACAAGTCTAGGTCAATGTTTATGCTTACTTTTAGATGTATAATTTCACAATTTGTTATCATTACTTTGAAATTTAATGATTTGTCATCATCTACACAGTGGTGTTTACTGCCCTTCATCTTTCTTTTTTTTTTTTAATTGTTTCCTTTCCTTTACTTATCACAGAAATTATGAAAATTTAGAAATTCAAAGACTAAGTAATTTACCCTACCAACATCTCCTTAATAATACATTCAAATTCTCATCACATGAAAAATTATCTCAAGAAATGTTTGGTGCTGCTGAAAACTACGTGATGAACACTTGCCTTTGGTAATTTACTGGGCACACCAAATATAAGAACACATTTCAGGCCATTTTTCACCATTGGTTCCAGTGCCTCTCGTAGCCTGTTGATGCCATATCTGGCAACACCTGGCATACTGGCAACCTCCTGTACGGCATCTTCCTCATCTCTGTAAACAGATGAAGTCAATTCATTATCATACTGTACCTGAACAATGTGCAGTATTTCGATTTTTTTCAAGTGAATTAAAACATGAAACAAGATGTGTTTGTGAAACACTGATGCTCACGTATGCCTATGGTAGCTCAAGGCCATGCAAGGTTCAAGTTTTTCAAATGTAGGTCAAACTCCAAGGTTAAGAGTCAAAAATATTGATACTTTAAGAAAGGTCTTGTCACAGGGAATACACATGTGAAATATAATATCCATAATACCACTAATTCCAACCATTCAGAAAATTTGACCAAAGTTAAAGTTTTTTCAAAAAGTAGATCATACTCCAAGGTCAATGTCATCATGACATGAGATCAAAAATAACGATACCAAAGGAAAGGTCTTGTCATAAGGAATGCATATTAAATGAAATACAAAAGCCTAGCAGTAATCATTCAAAAGGTATAGGCAAGATTGAAGTTTTTTTAAAATGTAGGTCAAACTTCCAAGGTCATGAGGTCGAAAATGTTGGTACCCAAAGAAAGGTCTTGTCACAAGGAATACACACCTGAAATATGAAAGCCCTACCTCATACTATTCAAAAGTGATGAGCAAGCTTAAGGTTAAAGATTTTGCAGACAGATTAACAGCTAGACAGACAGATGGATAGAGAGAACAAAAACTTTTTTTTTATTATTTGTTTTATTTTTTTGCATCAATTTATGCTTTATATATTATAAACATCTACGTTTACAATATAGAATGGAAAATCCATATTCAAGGCAGTGTTACCTCATACCCATTATAACAATTTACAAATAGGAGTTCATGTATCTGTTTTGAGAAACTTTAGGTCTATCCAAGTTTTTTATGTTAATATAAATTAGCGTAAAATTGACTCATAAAATCATATTTTAATCACATAATACATGTCAAGCTCCATTTTGATTAATATTCGGTTGGTATGATATCGCTAGAACTTCTTAAGGGTGTCCGATGCACGGTGAAATCACTCTAACTCATTCTTATGGGTTATGTATTTTTTAAATGATTTTATAGCTGCATGTTTATCTCCACACTGCATAACATTCTATTGTTGAATTCTATTGTTTAAATTTCTGGGCAAACATCATGTACCAAAGATTTACTTAAAAATAAAATAATACAATGTAAAATATGCACATCATTATCCAAAATGTTTCTTGGCTCTTGAATAAGTTAATTGATATATTATACTTTCTTTTATTTATTTATTTTTTTTGGGGGGGGGGGGCTTTCAATTGCCTATCATAAAAAAAATTATGTTCATATTCGCAGGGGTTCAAAATTCCTCAAGCCCGACGTCCCGGACTAACAAATTCCGGATCCGGACTCGGCATTTAGAATCGCCAAAAGTCCTGGGACTTGGCAATGTTTCTTGTTTATCTTTTATTTAAGTTAAGAAAAAAGTTCGTAAAACTAAAAATAAAGCAAATTCTCAAATGTATTGAATAAAAATGTGGATTTTTTGGCGTTAATATACCCACAACACATTACGAACGTCTCAAAAATACAATCCGTCTTTTTATGTTCCGTTGCGGTTAGACACCTGCTTTTACGCAATTTCTCATGTTTCCTCCCATATGACATGAGTTTGTTCAATTTTGGTTTTACCAGTAAAGGAACGAGAAATAAAAGACCCCGTGAGGAACATGAAGCTGGGGATCAAAATAACAATTCCAAAGACGGAACCTATGACAAGAAGAGAGTTCGCGAATTCCAAAGCCACTGGCGTGATGATAGGCCGTGGCTTGATTACAATGATGATACGAAAACGATGTTTTGTTCATTTTGTCAAAGTTTTCCGATTACGGCGGACAAGTCAAATGCATTGACTAGAGGAACAACAAACCTGAGAATCGAACCGATTAAGATCCACGAGAGTACCCCTGAACATTTTTCTTGTCACAGGTCAGTCAGTCATGAGTGTAGTGTGTACTTTGTGTTCCGGTGACAGTTTGGCGGTTGTTATAAAACGGTGACTTGTAATTAAATTTTAAAATATTTAAACCTACTGTTCTAGATAAGTAAACAAAATAAACCAAATTATAATAATGAAATAATTATTATACTGAAATTTTTACAGATTATGGTTGAAGAACAAGGGGTTTGATGTACCAAAAGCCAAACTAGCTGACACAGCACTAGGAAAGGCAATCATAAAAAAGAAGTGTACACCGGAGCAAGCAAACAGATATGCTGTCCTTTTCAATACAGCTTATGCTGTGGCCAAGCAAGGAAAACCTTTCAGTGATTTTCTCTATGTAATGGATATTCAGAGAAAGAATAAAGTTGACATTGGTGAACAATATTTAAATTTAGAAGGGTGTAAGCTATTTATTAGGTGGATAACGAAACAAATGAAACAAGACCTTGTCACAGAAATCAAAAACTCGCCTTTTATGAGTATTTTGTCAGATGGAAGTACAGATACAGGTGTTTTAGAACAGGAAATTGTGTATGTTAGATATGTAGATGTCAAAGAAATGATTCCTGTTACTACTTTTGTAAATATTATAGAGCTTAAAAGTGCAGATTCTGAAGGTGTATTGAATGCAATTTTATCTGCTTTGGCAGATTTAGAGTTTGACAAAGATAGCTTAAAACATGACACAGATGGGCCAAAACTTGTATGTGCAAATTTTGATGGGGCGTCAGTAAATTTTGGTTCAAAATCTGGGGTGTTCCAAAAAATTAAAGAGTTTGTTCCTGAGGTGATAGGGATACACTGTATAGCACACAAGTTAGAGTTAGCTGTTCTTGATGCTAATAAAAAATTTAGCTACATGTCAACATTTGAAGCAACTGTTAAGGGTGTATTCAAATTTTATTTTTTCTCTCCAAAGCGCAGAAGAGAACTAAAAGAGATCAGTGAACTGTTTAACAATGACTTTGCCCATCTTGGGCACATCAAGGGTGTAAGGTGGCTTTCAAGCAAAGAGAGAGCTTTAAAAGCATTAGTAAAAAATTTAGAGGCTGTTGTTGCACATTTGGAACACTCTTTTGAACGTGGTGGTAGGGCAGATGATGCCAACAAGGCAAAGGGTTACCACACAGAAGTCACCTCTTTGCGCTTCCTCAAAGTGTTGTATTTTCTATTAGACTTTTTGCCTATATTGGCAAAGTTATCAAGAGTTTTTCAAGAAGAGAAATATCTTATTTTTGAGATTTCTGAACATGTTGATATTGTTTTGGCCCAGCTGGAACAATTGAAAAGGTCTGATGGCAAACATATGAAAGAGTTTATTACAAAATTAGATTTGGAGAACAGAATGTTTGGTACAACTATCAAATTGCAGAGTAGGGGTTTCAAATCTGTAGATTTTAGGAAAGAAAAAGACCTGCACCAATTGTTAGATGATACTATCTCTTATGTCAAATCAAGGTTTAGCAACATGTATGAGAAACCCCTCTCACTCCTAAATATTTTCAACTTTCATCACTGGCCTTTAGGCAGGGGGTATGAATTAGCTGAGCATGGGATGGAAGAATTGCAGGAGCTAGTTTCACACACCCAGTTTCAGAATATATTGTCTGAGGATGAGAAATTGGAAATAAATGAGCAATTTACTGCTATGAAAATGTACATTAGTCATTTGAGAACAAATGGTCTGTTAGATGTTTATTCTCTCTTTTTAAAAAAAATGGTTACAGAGAGAGCTGGTGATGGCAAACAAATGTCAGCGTTAGAAAAACTTGTGCTGTGGCTCTTTACAGTTTCTCCATCTACTAGTAGCTGTGAGAGGGGTTTCTCAACATGCAATGTTATTAAAAATAAGTTGAGAACTGTATTAACAACTGAATCTTTGCAAAATCAATTATACATAATGACAAATGGTCCAACTTTAGACCAATTTCATGCTGGAAAGTGCATAGATTACTGGTTTGCAAACTCTGTTGGCACACCTCACTCCAGTGGACATAAGTTAAAAAACAGAGAAGATGAATCTGAGAATGACACATTTCTTATTTCAGGAAAATAATACTCATGTGTTAATACTTATGTGTTGAAATACTCATGTATGACTATGTAACAGTGACTGTAATGCTGTATGGAGGAAAAATAAAACATATATTCATACATATAGTCTTTATTCATTCAATGCAACAAATGAAAATAAATTATAACATAAATTTAATGATGGTTTAAGTAAATATAATTTTATCTATCATGAAAATATGGACTCAGAAATTTCTTCCTCGGACTTGCCTAAAATTTACTCTTTAAGTCCTGGACTTGACCATGATAAAAAAAATTTTGAACCCCTGTATTCCTGTACATGAATATACACTATAATATTTTTTAGATTTTGTTTCTATTCCCCTCGTGCATATATAGCAAAGTCATATGACCGTATTGGTTCACTGTTCCACAGACTCACATGATCTGAGAACTCTGTCATGACTATTGGATGACCTTCAAACTGTTCCAATTGCAGTGAAAGCACCAGAATAGGCCTTTTTATGTTTAATGGGAATGTGATGTGTAGAACTTTTTAGTTTATAGCTGCAAGATTTTTTTTTTTTTTAAGAATTAAAATTGAAAAAAAAAAAATTTTTCAAAACATTCCTTGTAAAAGAAATTCTGAGAACTGTGTGCATTGCGCTTGTTAGGTGATTCAAAATGAAGAACACATTTTTCTTTACATGTCCAGCTTCTCAAGAAAGAGCCTCAGGCTTCGTTGTTAGTCTATTACATTAATTATGCATGTGTATATGATGAGAGAGAAGAGTATATATATATATATATATATATATATATATATATATATATATATATATATATATATATATATATATATATATATATACACTGGTACAGTGTAAATGCATGATTACTACTGTGCATAAATTTTTCTGATGATATATATACACTCTTTTCTCTCTCACACTCACTGGACACCATAGCCCAATTCTTTCCCATATAGGCCTATAAACAAAACTCAATCAAAATTTTCAAGGTTGTTGCATCACATGAGTTCACCCAAGAAAAATTTTGCCAAGTTGCTTCCTAATTTGACAATAATAATGACCCCTCTCTGGTGTTATAGAATAAAAAAATGCTGGGGTTTTAAAATATTGTAGACTGCATGCTCATGATTTATTGATTTATACATTACAAAGTGTCTGACTAAAAATCTGATAAGAAGTATTACATTTAGGTCATTCAGAAGGCTACAAAGTCATGTGACAGGACATTTCCCAAATACTCATGAATAATCCTATCAGTTAAGATTACCATCTTTTATTTTGTACATTTAAACATGTTAAAAGAGATCAGAAGACATGTTGATATACCAATACATTAGAATTTCACCCACTGGTACAGTGTAAATGCATGATTACTACTGTGCATAAATTTTTCTGATGATATTATCTAAAATTCCAAAACATTTATTTTATTTTTCCTCTTATTATACATATTGATTAACTAATAGAGATACATGTATATGAATATGTGACTACACCTTAATGATATTTTCTTCAGTTCATCAAAAGACTATATAGCTAAAAATGAATTAAATTCTATTTAACATTGCTATCACGATAAACCAGGGCATTAACATTTAGAAAAAGTTTCACGACGTCTAAATGATTGATCTTCTAGATTATTGATGAGCAGAGGGTCTGTTGGCAATTCAATTTTTTTTTAAAAATACCTTTTTATGGAAAATGAGATTTATCATCTAAAGTAATAGTTACTTGGTCATAAACATACCAATGAAGACAGAATATAATTCTGATTTATTAAGTCTCAATTTAGCACTAGTAAATTTTGCATCAAAATATGAATATACCAATATTTGCTATTTAATAAATAAATCTAATTGCTAGAACAAGCTAATATATTTTTAGATAATGAAAAGCTGTGTTATCATCCTTCCAAAATGCTTTAGCACAGTTTCTTTTTAAAACAATTATCTTTCTAAATCAAGGATTTTACATTTCTAAGGAAATGTTAAACAAATCATTGATCATAAAATTGATGTTTTTCCTGATCTAGTGACAAGTAAGTGACATACACACGTTACCTTTTCTAGATCTGTAATTAACGAAGCATTACATAAACCTGGTTTGTCCAAGGAAAATCCAAGCAAAATACACAAAGATAAACAATGTAGTTCATGAATAATTTTATCATGGTTAAGTTTCTGCAATCATTTCTTTAGCTGGTTAAACAATATTAAAAAAAAAAAATAAAACAGTGAAGTCTAAACAGCTAAAGGTAGTGTTATCTATAATAGAACTAAGGACTTGAAACTTTATCTCCATGATCATGTTTAACATAACCCTATACAAGTATGTTGAATTTGCTTTCATCAAAAAGAGAGAGAACCCCCCCCCCCCCAACCTTTTTTGAGTTAAGGATTTAATTGTCACACAAGTCCCTGAGCAAATGCTTGAGAATGGTTGTTGATGTGGACTGCTGAGCCTGAGGGGACGATGTGGGGTGGGACTGGGAGTCAGTAAATAAGGTTCATGTACAAAGAACTCCACATAAGAGCCCATAAACGATAGGTACCTTCTGATTTTTTCAAAGAAACTATCAACTTGGTATTCTAAAGTACAGACGTGCATCTGTTACGAAAAACAAAAAGGGAAGTGTTTACTTACGTAACAAATAATGGGTAAATCAAATTCTCCGCCTTAATCTGTGTATTTGTTGTTTGCCATGAGCGTAAAACAGGATGGTGATATCCACTTTGTAATATAGCGTGTTCACACATTATTCCGTCCGCTCACTACACAAGCATGTACTCCAGTGAAATGACAACAGCGATGTTTGTTGACATCCGGTTGTACGGCTTACTTGATTCGCTGAAAATGACCTTGAAGCGATTTGATTCGTGACGCAGTCTATGGACTGACGTGAGCGTCACAGTATGTTTTATATGATAATGTGTACACATATAGCACATGACCAAACCTTTTTCAGGGTCAGATAAAAATTGTCTGTAATAGCATAACGTTAACCAAAGAAAGCCATTTACCAAAAGGTATTTTTAACTTGGACTGTCAAGCAAATTTTATTAATCTTGTGACGAAACACCATTTAGCGATATATAGTCCATGTGAAAGAGGGCCCATTTATTTAATTGATTTTCCCCTAGGATCTACAAGTACGGCAGGTGTGGTTACTTGACCATACATTTAGTGGCTCAAATTGATTCGCAGATTGTTTGTAGACAAAAACGTTTATGTCGGGAATCTACGTGGAAACTACACAGTTGTTTTCCATAAAAAGAAAACTAAATGAAACAAGTACTGATGTCAAGGTCCCCCGAGGTTTCCACTTGTTTTCCAATTTTGGAGAACCTGGCTTTTTTTCATCCAATGTATACAAGTGAATATCAATTTTAACTTTAAAGTTGGATGTCAAGTTAAAATGAAACACTTTTTTTTTAAATTGATAGCAATTTTGAAATATTTGATGAAGTTTCATAAGATAATTAGTGAAAATATATAACTGTGATTTTAAGAAAAATATTTCATATAGTTATACATCTTCCCTGTAAATGATTTTCACTAGTGATTCTCTCAATTACACATTATTATATACTGGAAGGAGTTTTTCGTTGCACTTCACATAAAATACATGTATCCTGAATAAGTTGACTCGGAGTTATTGATACTATAAAGTATAAAATGACCTTAAATTATTTTTTTTTTCTTTGACAGTTTTCTGCAAAATGAAATATTCAGTCTTAATTGCCGATAATTTTAATGTTATACAGTAGTGTTTTCAATCCATGCATGATGGGATCTAGACTGAACTGAACTGAATTTATTGATCTCTTCACAATTTTACAATTGTATAGCGAGATATAAATGTAAACTACAATGATGAAAAATAAAAACACATATATGGCATGCGTGAGTATGAGGATAGACAAATAGTACAATTATAGGTTGAGGTCTTTACTAGTTTGGGGAGCACGTTTTAGTAATTTTTTTAATAAATATACACAGTTTTCTTAAAAATGACTGTTTATCTGAATTCATTATTTCTCTAAATGTAATTGTATTTTTTAATCGTAATTGTTTTTGTGTTAAACATTTATTTCTTTCACGTGTCATTGCCGTACAATTTAATATGTAATGGAATTCATCTCCTATTTCATTTAATTGACATTTCTTACATAGTCTAATCTCTCTTGGTTCATTTAACCAACGTCCAGTTTCAATTGGCAAATAATGATTACAAGTTCGGAATTTGCAGAAATTTATGGCTTCTTTTCGCGATAGAATTTCTAAATATTTTTCAAATTTTAGTTCGTCTTTGTATATTCTATAATTTAGGGTCTTTGATAAATTTTGAACATCCGAATTCCATTTTTGTTTAAATTGATCTATTAAAGTTAGTTTTACTTTCGCTCTTAACCAATTTGGATTGAAGGCTTGACTGTTCCAAATATTTGAAAGTCCACAATCGTTTAAGATATTTAAGACATTATTTATCCAAGCAATCTTCTTAGTCTTTTGATTTACGGTATCACTTAATTTAAACAGCAGACTTGATATTTTTGTTTCTTTTCCAAGTTTAAGTTTACACCAATAGGAAATAATACGCGTTTGTATTTCAATGGACATGGGATGTCGACCGAGTTCACCATACACCATACAGTCCGGAGTAGATTGTTTAAGGTTAAGAAGTAATTTACAAAATTTTAGATGTACTCTGTCTACAATTGCATTGTTCGAAAATCCCCATACTTCACATCCGTACAACAATATAGGCTGAACAATTTTATCGAACAGGTCTAACTGACATCGTATTGATAGATTATGTAAGCGGCCTTTCTTAAGAATTTCAAATATTGCTTTATTTGCTTTGTCAACTTGTTTCTGCTTTGCTTCCTTGAAAGAACCTGACGTACTAAATAAAATACCCAAATAATTAATTTCATTTACAACTTCAATCAACTGTTCGCCGTATTTAAACTCAGGCTTTTCTTTTTTCTTTCCTTTACTTATTATCAAAACTTTTGTTAATATTAATCTTCAAATTCCATTTTCTGCAATATTTTTCAAAACAATTAATTTTTGCTTGTAAGTGCTCGGCAGATTCAGCTATCAATACGGTGTCATCGGCATATAATAGTGCAAATAATGTCAAATACACATTTAAATGTTGTTCAAACATAACAGATATAGTAGGTAAACCAATTGACATATTTTGTTGGAAAAAATTCTGCAGGTCATTTAGATAAATTGAAAATAAAAAAGATGACAAGTTTTCACCTTGTCTGACACCATTTTCACAATTAAAAAAATCAGTAACGTTATTATCATAGACTATCCTTGATTTGATTTGATTATACATATTCGTAATAACATTGTACATATTTCCATTAATATTGTTTGCACACAATTTAAACCAAAGAGCTTTTCGCCATACATTATCAAATGCTATTGAAAATATGAAGATTTATGAACAGCCATTTAAATGTTAATCACACATGGAGAGACTAATTTAATCTTACATGCATAGAGAGAACCCCTGCATGTGATTGGATACTGTCCTTGTTCAGATCAGCAGCCGCCAGCCGAGGATTTCAAGAATGAAGACCTCGTGACCGGCCAAGTTAGGTTTAAGTATGCTTAAATTTATATTATACAATTATTGCTGATTTTTTTTAGGTCAATACGATAATTTAGACACCTGAGGAGTACAATATTCACCGAACCCGAAGGGCGAGGTGAATATTGTACTTCGAAGGTGGCTAAATCATCGTATTGACCGAAAAAAACAGCAATAATTGTTTTATTATATGATTAAATGACACATATTCATTAAGCAATCCATGTCATCTTACTTGTTCACGTCTACTGAAGTACTAGCCGAACATAATGAGAGAAACGGGGTTAAAAACAACCAGTTGTATTATTTTGGAATTTTTAATTTGAGTTTAGGTGCAATGTAGAAAAAATAAATGTCAGGCATATATATATAGGATTTATTTTGAAAAAGGGACATTATAAGGGAAAAAAAGTGACAACTTACTTGAAAAAAAAAATCTTTGACTAGCCCCCCCCCCCCCCCAAAAAAAAAGGAAAAGAATTCTCCCAACTCAAAATTTTATTTGGTTGGATGTTAAGGTCCATCAAAGAGGGGAAGGGGCTTTCATTGAGATATTTTATCCTTAAAATTTAAATTAAAACTTTACATTCTCAGAAGGTAAGGAGAGGGGCAGGCCTCCTGCACCACCCCCCCCCCCCCCAACCCTCACCCAAGAATCTATTTGTCTTTATTAATGTTATGTTCATATGAGTGGAAGCCAGGGGCAAGTGAAATAACTTTCCAAAACTATTTGCATCAATTTGGAATTTCCCTATCTATTTTTGGTCCGATGTAGAATAAATAATTTCTTATATTGACCTGGAAGGTCACGTGCAGGTCAATATAACGTAGTATTTTTTGGATCTCAGCCAATCAGAGAGATCTCAGTCTCAAATTATAAATTATCAATCTCAACATTTTGTTATAACAAATTGTCAGCTTCAGTAGTTTTTGATCACGGAGTATTTAACGACAAACAATTTATAACTCACTTCTTACAAATAGTTTTTTTTAAAATAAATCATCAATTTATTTTTTTCGAATTGTCAATTTATTTTTACAAATTGTCAATTTATTACAAAAACTGTCAATTTGCTTTTCGTCATTACAAATTGTCAATTAGAAATTACAATTTGAAAGTACAATTTACCGTTACAAATTAACAAATTGAGAAAGGTGCTGGTGTGGCCCTTAAAAGCTTTTGTAAAATCTTCCATTATAATTTAAGGCACCAAAAAGTAAAGGGTGGACCTAAAGCTATGGGGTCTTGCTAATTATATAATTAAATAATTCCTAGCTTTCTGATTGGCCGAGATCAAACATCGAAGAAAAAATACTAAGTTATATTCACCTGCACGTGACCTTCCGGGTGAATATATATATAAGGTATGGGGTAAGAGAGAGAGAGAGAGAGAGAGAGAGAGAGAGAGTAACGTCAAAGTTACTGGTATGAGGTTATTTTTTCAAATAAGAAAAATATGTGCGTATGAAATCATCATATTACTGAAAAAAAGGAGCAGTAATTGTATAGTACATGTGTATGATTTTTTTTATACAGTTGAACTTCGGTATCTCGAAAACTGATATTTGGAATACCATGGATATGTCAAAGTGATTTGGAAGTGCCAAACCCTTACCCTTTAAGTATTTTCCCCTGGATATCTCGAAGTTTTTTCCGGTCCTATTGAGCTCGCGATAACGGGGTTTGACTGTATTTATTTTACACGCCAGGGACGAGCCATGTGTTAAAAAACTATATCTACCCCTCTATTAATGTTTATTGGAGTTTTTTTGGTTGCGGTTTGTATTAAAGCTATTTTTGGAAATGAAACGCACCGCGATTTTGTTTTTAGCCCAACTTGCTTTCCATACAAGCGTCTAGTTAACCTTTTCAAAAGCGTATCACTGACTATGATACTACTTCCTGCTATGATTGCATTAAATGAAAGTTTGCAGAATCACTTTGCAGTTAATTCGTATACGGTAACAGAAAACACATGTGATTTGACTGTACTGGATGAAGGACACAGGGTACACGTAGTACATTTTCCCTGCAAATATTTGCATGCATCGTATCATGGCAATCTTTGAAAATGAAGAGACAATCAGTAGTTGAACATGTTTTAAAAGTACAACCCTAATTTTTTTGTTGGACTGTCTGTCAAAATAATATATATATATATATATATATATATATATATATATATATATATATATATATATATATATATATTATATATATGTACAAATATATTTGTTTTTAAATATTATATATATGTAACAATTTTTTTTTATTCCAGTACTGATTTAGAACAGTATGCCCACAAAGACGTCAACTTGTCCTCATGTAAAGGTGGTGGATAGTGTAACATGGGAAGAATTGAGGCGAAAACAGCAGGTCTATCATCCTATATTTACAGTCTTCCTAAGGAAGTGGAAGATTCTAATTATAAATACTTCCAATTATATGTGTGGAGATCAGGCAGGTTTGATCACAAGTGGTTAGATAGCTCTATTGGTACTGAGGGCCTGTTTAAGTTTAGAGAGGTTTGGACCCCGGTCTGGTCCATTGCATTTTCTCCCTTTGGAGGTTTCCTATAATATATTATGTAAATTACACGATTTCACTTAGATATTTTTTTTTTTTGGAAAATCAGATAAAATAACATTTGAAAAGATTTCAACAGGGATTAAAATCAAGCCTTAAAATTTAGTTGCTAGCAGGCTACCTATTTCAAATTTTACTAACCCAGAATGATATTCAGGCTTCTCCATCAGCTGTTTTACTGTATCGGGCCCGACACAATTCAAATTTTATGCATGCGACACATTAAAAATTTTTGCGACACAGTAAGATCCATGATAATCACAAAATCAGAACATAAATTTTCTATATCTGAAACTTTAATCAAACAAATCTACCATCTTTTAATTTTTAATACAGAGCATTTAATTATCTCTTAATTAGGGCACATTGTCTTGCTTCACCTTGCATTATCAGTTATCTCCTAGGCCCCGCTGAATTTTACGCATGAAGGACAAAGGCAAATCATTTGTTTTCACACTTCCATGTAACCGTATAATTGCTAAATGCATTTTTAAATATTATTTAAATATATAAAAATTGATTAAAATAAATATATTTCTTTACTTTAGAATCACATCTTCAGAATAATGATGGCACTGGAAATCAAACATCATAACGTAATTTAATTGATGTACATGTATTGTTGAAGATTTTAAAGGCACCCCTAAAAGTAAAAATTCCAAAGTTTCTTTTTTAAATCTAAAAACTTACCTGTAATTCGATCAACAAACAAAATCGTGGCAAATTTACTTTTAAATATGGCAAGTAGTTCGATTGTATCGACCAGAATTTCCTCTGCTCTTCAGAGCATGCGTAAAATATGAAGTTATATATAAAAATTTCAAGGTTTAATACTTACAACTTGTAAATACTGATACAAGTATATTATATAAGTATTTTTCTTATAATCATATTTTTTTTTAAGTTGTGTTGGGGGGGGGGGGGGGGGGGGGTTCAGTTGGTTTGTGTTATAGTATGTACATTATTATATATAATTGGAGACATTCTAATTGTTTTCAATATCCATTTATTATTTTTTTTTTAATGATATGTACGATCATACAATTTGTGTAAAGAATAAGTGATTCAAAATAGTTGTGTATGCTTGTGTAATTATAATGAATACCGTAAATCTGGAAATTTTTACATCGATTTATTTTTGCGAATCTGGGATTAATTTTTACATTTCAAAATTTTGCGAATTGTTATATTGGCGCTGAAATTAAAAAGCGCTTAAAATCTTCATAACCCTTTATATGTTACACATGTACATACAATATTAAACAATGCAAACATTCCATAATCAGATAAAAATATTAGAAGAGATAAAACATCTTAACTGTTTAAAGTATTGAATGTAGTGAAGACATTCTCCAAGCACGGATTATCACAGGTAATTAGTTTGTAGTATAAACAGGTTTCTTAAAATGACCACTGCTTACGAACACCTGATCACTGGGTTAAATTTTTTGTTGTTGATTTATTTTTAAGAAAAATATTTTTGCGAATGCAATGCACGCGCAAATTTGCTAAAAATTTATCTACAGTAAAAATTTCCAGATTTACGGTAGTGGTTCAGTTGCGAATTTGATCGCGAATATACCGCGTATATAAAGGGCTTGGCGAAAAGTCTGCAACACAGTAAAATTTCAAATGATGGAGAACCCTGATATTTATAAGCCCATGTAAAAATAGAACACTTTTTTCCAAATGATGTAGATGCACACCACCATATTTTGTATTATATTCTAAATAAAAAAAACAAAAAACTATGATTTCAATGAGAGACTCTGTTCATTAATGGTGTTACTACTGCAGATATAGAGGAAATTCTGGTCCCAGTGCCCTACTGAGTTTTCATCGCCTGTACCAGTATTTAATCGCCTCCGGTGAGCGGGCGACCGTTAATTTTAATCCCTTTTATAAGTACTAAGTGAAATGTCAATACAATGTAATTATTACACGAGTATTTTTGCACATAATGGTTCTTTTAAGATTGAGTCACAAAGAAATTTTTGTCAACCCTTTTGGAAATTCTTGCAATGAACACTCAGTATCTTTATTTTGCAGGACTGTACTACCTGTGTCACCTGTAAGGTAAACACCAGCAACCTGTGGCTGTGTCTTGTAGGCTCCTGTCAGTATGTCGGCTGTGGTGAGTCGTACTCAGATCACAGCTCAACTCACACCGAGGTAAGTTGGCAGGAAAGAAGAGCATAGTTGATATTGAATCACAAAGCCTCAAGTGATGTGCAGTTCATCCATTTTTGGTATCTTAAAGTAAATAAACAAAAATGAGATAATTGTAAGAAAAAAAAAACCCACCTAATTGTTATATTATATATATACATGTACTCAGGATCAGTGTTAAGATTGACTTGCATTTGTAATGCACAAATATATCTTTATAATGGATGAAATACCAAAGTAAAAATGGGGGAGTGGTATAACTTACAAACTTTGAAATAAGACAAAGTATATAATATTTTTCAGAATTATAGTATAATTTAGTATGATCCGATGAAAGTTTTTTATTTTTATTGAAAAATCTTTTCAGCAGTATAGCAGTATGATACTTTTGTTTCAGGAATTTCAGCATCATTTGACAATCAACTTGACAACTTTAAGAATCTGGTGTTACTGTTGTGAAACTGAGGTCTTTCCATCTAGGAATACTCCTTCATTTATGTATGTATCTGTACAGTGTAATTGCTCTTATTTGGAATGTAATTGTATTTTTTATACATTGTATCAGCCCAAATATCAGGATGAGAAAATTGTGTCAATCCAAGCTATTGGAATATTGGCCAGTGATAATCAGTGGCTGGTATTAAAGTCAAAATAAAAAATTGTTCATTTTTCTAATGATATGAGGTTTCTAAAATATGTATATTAATGTTAATACCTTCTACACATACTGAGTATAAAAATAATAGGATAAAAATATTCTTTCATTAATTTTCTCCTCATTACATTAATAAAAAGGTGTTATTTAGATATTATATTACCAGTGTGTATATTTTTTCAATATAAAATATCTTACATAAAATGATTGACAGTAAACTGCTTTGTTCTTGATTTAAGTATCCCAGAAAATTCTGCATCAGTACCAATTAAAAAGGACTGTGATATGCTGGAGGATGGCATGAGTTCCTTGCCTAGCAGTGGTTCTCGGAGCAACACCAGCAGGAAATTCGGCACAGATAGTTCGCCCTACCGCAGTATCTCAGCCGGGGAAGAATCTGACTCAGAGGGGGAAGACGAAAACATGAAACCAAGAGGTGAAATAATTTCCCTCAAGTTTTTGTGAATAGCATCATGTTTATTAATGTTTTTATTTATTTTTATTTGATTTGTATTGTAGGGTTAACAGGACTACAAAATTTAGGAAATACTTGCTACCTAAATGCAGCCATTCAAGCTTTATCTAACTGGTAAGAAAGAATGTCTTGGTATACTTTGGATTTGTGACTAATTTCTTGCAGGATATCTTAGAGATTCAGGAGTCATGTATTCATTCTTGCATGCGTAAGTTAATTGGAGAGTGTAATTGAACAGTACTAAATGTTTTTATTTTCAGCCCACCGTTAACAAGATTTTTCTTGGACTGTTCTTCATATGTCAGGCCAGAGAAATCCCCCATGTTGTCCAAGAGCTATATGAAGCTTGTCCATGAAATCTGGCACAAGAAAAGGTACCATTCATCTTGATTATCCAACAAAGTATTGACAGCATTTTTTTTTGTTATACATTTTCAGAATTCGAGTAATCTCAAGGTGTTTTCAAAGCAAAAGTAAATGCTGTTATTTCTTTAAACTGTTCGCAACTTGTCACTTTAAGATATGCTTGCATGTAAATAGAAGGAATATGTACCAAGGTACACATATTGCTTTCTTTTCAGGCCAAGTTATGTAATTCCAAATGGAGTTGTTACAGGCATCAAGGTTGTTCATCCCATGTTCAGAGGATATTCTCAACAGGTACAGTAAGATGTTCAGAAATGTGCAATATCTGCATATAATTGAACTTCAAACCCACAATCAATTCTCTAAAACTGTAACAATTAATAAAGGGATTAGGGCTGTCATGGTTCCAAAATTTTTCGGGTCAGGTAGGTTCTGTAAATTTTCAGTTTCAGGTTTTTCGGTTTGGTTATTTACATCGATTTAATTTCATGAATTTAACATAAAAAAATCTTTATTTGTTATGTTACATTCACCTTGAAAACAAATCTTATCCATGTTAACATCTTGACATCAGTGTTTAGGACTACTAGGCTATTAGCTACAACCTGACCATTCTTGCTTGTTTTGATAATTATCTTATCCTATATATATATTATTATTATGAAGTATAATTCACTTGTGATGTTTATTTATCACTGTTATCGTCATCATTCTTTTGATTTTGACATCATTTTTTGTATAAAACATATTCTAATATATAAACCAAACCTGAACCGAAATCGGAAAAATGGGACTGAAACCAAACCGAACAACTTGGACCGCGGTTTTCAGTCATTTCAGGGCACTGTGACAGCCCTAAAAGGGATGTGTTTGTGTAAAAGCAATAATTAAGGCATTTAATTTTTTTTTTCAGGATTCCCAAGAATTTTTGAGATGTTTCATGGATCAGATTCATGAAGAGCTAAAGCAGCCAATGGTAGCTTCTGATAATGAGGATGATGAAGAACATGAGAAAAATGTAAAAATTCACCACAGACAGTTGTCAAGAGATTCAAACAGTAGCAGCCAATCAGAAGAATGTTATGAATCATGTGACTCAGGACTGAGTAATGGAAAAAATTCAGCAGGCATCTCTTCTGAAACTGGTGAAAATCCAAATCAGATGCCGAATAGCATTGTTTCTGATGGAAAAACTTACATACAGGTGAATAACAGTGATCAGGATTCAGGGGCTGGTGATAGTATCACCTCAAAGGAGAGTGATGCAGGGAGCATCAGGCAGGCAAAACAGGGTTCTAGAGGTAAAGACCTCGGAGATTTGGGAAAGGGGGATACAGAAAAAGGATCTAACAGAGCAAGAAAGTACTCAGAAAATCCAGACTCCAAAAAGTCACTGTATTCCTCCAAAGCAACATTAGGACCAAAGGGTAATCCATTATTATCAAAATGCTGTAAATCATTTGTGTTCAATGAGACTATTGTTTTGTGAGTCAAATGCTGTGTATTTATAAACAAGACATAATTTTTGAAAATTATTAATATGATAGATAATTAGTTACAGTGTACTTCCATTATATTTTATGTTAGCTTTTATTTTTGCATTGAGACAAGCATGTGAAGTTATTCATAAATCAATTTTTAGCTCACCGGAGCTAAATGAGCTTTTCTTATCACATTTTGTATGGCATCTATATGTAAAAGTTGATTTCTCCTCAAGAACCACTGGGCCAATTTTAAGCAAACTTGCTACAAAGCATCCATGGATGAAGGGGGTTCATGTTTGTTCAAATGAAGGACCACACCCATTTTCCAATGGAGATAATTAAGAATTAGTAAATTCAATGGCATCTTTTCAAACTTCTTCTTCTTAACAAGAACCACTGAGCAAGAAAAGGTGAAACTTATGTGAAAGCTTCATTATATAGTGTAGACTTAAATTTGTTCAATTCCTAACTCGGGGTAGAATGGGGCCATAATGGGTGAACAAAGTTTAATGCAGAAATATATAGGGAAAAATCTTTTTAAAAATTTCCTTCTCAAGAAAAGCAAAGCCATGATTAGTCGTATTTATATGAAAGCATCCACAGGTAGTGTAGATTAAAGCTTCTTCAAATCAATAAATGGCTTCTTTGATTAGGTTGGGGCCAGTATGGGCGATCAATTTTTACACAGGAATATGTAAGGGGAAAAAATCTGTTGATGAGCAACAGGGCCATTGTGACTGAGGGTTGTGGCCCATTGGCCTCTTGTTAATAAATTTTGATCAAAGAAACCTGGCAAATGCTCATTAACTGTTATATTAATTTATACAGCACTGCTTTTTTCCTTGTAAAACATCATTCCATAAACTGTTTTCTTTTTTTGTGTAGGTAACAAGAAAAACGTGCAATATAGAAGTGTGATATCTGATATCTTTGATGGGAAAATATTAAGCTCAGTGCAGTGTTTGACTTGTGAGAGGGTAAAAAAAAATGTTTCCATATTAAACATACAGTGAAATCCAAGTAATTTTCAGATGTCAAAAGTTTACTAGTATTTTTAAACTGAAAAAAAAACACATTTTTTTTTCTAAGATTGTCAGAGAGCCCCAAGATGTGACTGTAAGAAAGCTATAACAAGATTACATTGTGAATGACAATTTTATTCCTAATTTTCTTCAGATTTCTACTACAAAGGAGACATTCCAGGACTTGTCACTACCTATTCCCACAAAGGATCACCTACACATGATCCATGGCCATAATGCATCCTCACTTACGAAGGTGGGGGCATGTGGAGAAACCAAACAAGGCTGGTTCAGTTGGATGTTTGGCTGGATGAGAAAGTAAGAGTCAACATGTAAAACTTTGTAAAAGAGAAGATCAAAAAATTGTGACAGATATACATGTACCGGGTACATGTATTTTGACACAAGAAAACTAAACAGTATTAATTAACGTGACTCAGAATATTGAAGCAATAGGTGGATATAAATGGTTCTTAAATGGTATTTTTACCATTTAAGTTGTCTAGTTTTACATATAAAATCTTTTGACATTGCATACTTTTCTTTCAGCTGGTTTATTGGTCCCACTATAACACTACAGGACTGTTTGGCAGCATTTTTCTCTGCAGATGAACTGAAAGGAGACAATATGTACAGCTGTGAAAAATGTAAAAAGTAAGTTTTACTTGTAGTTGCACTAGTAATATTTTTAAAATCACATTAATAGATGTTAGTTACATGCTCATTTTGCAATATTTGCAGATTACGGAATGGGCTGAAGTTTTCTAAAGTTTTGGAATTACCAGAGGTAAGTGGACTAAAGATTATTTTATAAAGATGCAAATGCATGACAAATTGTGAATCCTATTAATACATAAATATATTTCACAAAAATATGCATGCACACAGTAAGTAGATCAGAGCTGATTGGGTTTTACTTTACAGATTTTGTGCATCCACCTGAAACGATTCAGACACGAGTTTTACTCCTCCAAGGTCAGCTCGTATGTGTCATTTCCTCTGGACAGTCTGGACATGAAGAAGTACCTACATAGAGGTTATTTATTATTTTTCTTGCACATTAGTGACTTAGTTATTTGGTTACAATTGACACTTTTAAAACAATCTACATTAAAGGTCAGTGGTTTACATGTGTGTTGCTGTCAGAATCAGCAGTTCTAATATTTATGCTTTAATAATACAATTGGATAATTTAAATATTTTTTTTACAATTATGAAAGCAAATGGCCCATTACATGTACTTTACATTTAGCTTAAAATTTTACAGACTGTTCCTCACAAGTAACTCTTTATGATCTTCATGCTGTCATTTGTCATCATGGAACTGCTGGAGGTAGGGTATCAGTTTGTTACTGTTATAGTAGTGTCAGAGAGACAAGCAGAAATGAAGTTTTATCAAATAGAAATAAGTGTGGAGTGTCTTCAGTTTCATTTTCTAGTGTATTTAGTCTATATCCTCTCTTTACAGGCGGTCACTACACAGCTTACTGTCTGAATTACATCAATGATCAGTGGTACGAGTTTGATGACCAGTATGTTACAGAAGTGGACGTAGGACAGGTCATTAACTGTGAGGCTTATGTGCTATTCTACAGGTAAGTCTACCTGTGTGACTTTAACAGAATGATATAAAGTGTATATGTGTAGGGTATTTAGAGGTAAATTTATAGAAATGTATCACCAAGTATCATAAACACACTTTGATGTGTTTATTGAACAATTAATTTATGGTACCATGAGAAATTACCTCTTATTTGCACATGGATAGATATTATGGATGTGTTGTATCAAAGGATTTTTTTTTTTTGTAAACAAAAAATTTGACCAAATAAAAGTTGAATGTTTTTGCAGAAAGAGAAACGATGGTATGATACCATTGAGACAGAAGGCCATGCAGCTGATAGAAGCCAGAGAGGTAGGTCTGTGGACAGGGGAAAGATATTTTTTTCTTCAAAAAAGAGTTCGTCATGTTGTCATGTACACAAATTTAGATGTAAAAAAAATTTGCTTGAATGACATGTACACAAATTTAAATATTTAAAAAAAAAAAATCTGCTTGAATGTTTGACTCTGAAGATGCTGATGGAAATTCAAACATCTCTGTTTCAGCCAAGTTTGATGGAGTTTTTCATCTCCAAACAATGGATTAACAAGTTTAATACATTTGCTGAACCTGGGCCTATATGTAATGATGATTTCCTCTGTAAACATGGAGGTAAGAATATATTTCATTGACCCTTTATAAGAAAGATAACTCTCACTGAAAAAAATACTGTGAATTCCTTTATAAAATGGTCAAGTTTAGAAGCAATTTCTGTCAAATTCTGCAAGTACAAGGTAAACTAAAATTGTGTGCATTGTAAAGGCATAATTTATAAATGATGAACCTTAAACTTGAAATTATATACACTAACTATATACTTGAACCTTAAACTTGAAATTATATACACTAACTATATACTTGTACCTTAAACTTGAAATTATATACACTAACTATATAATGCTGGATCATGTTGTAGGAGTACCCCCACACAAAATCAATCATGTGGATGATCTAGTCATTTCCTTTAATCAGGCTTTGTGGGAATTCCTCTATCAAAGGTAATGAACATGCTATTCCTTACAGGTGATACTGAAACATGTAACTTTGAGATATTCATGTGGGTTTTTTTTATATGAGAGGGACATGATGTTTTGTTGCTTAGTTTTTTCAATGGTACATACATGTATATTTTTTACAGTCCGAAGATGTATTAGTTTCTTTAGACAATCCTCTTTTTAAATATTTACAATTCCTTTTGCACAGATTTGGAGGAGGTCCAGTGTGTAATCATTTAATCCCATGTACAACTTGCCAAGAAGAGCTAGAAAAACTACAATATAGACAGAAAACTGAGATGGACCAATTCATACAGGTTAAAATAGTTATTTCAGAAGTGTTTGTGTAGATTTTCCTGTGATAATGACTGTATTTTGATAAATGTGAAATCTGTAATAGGCTGATAATCACGCACTAAGTTTAAGTAAGTTATCACCATTTAAACACAGTCTGGTTAGATACAAGTAAATAAAATAAAGTATTAATATTGTGAAACGTTTGCTTTTATGATTTTAATAAATCCAATTGCGTTATTTTTTGTGAATAGTTGAATGAGAAATTCCATGAAGAGGATGGGCCTTCTGTCATATATGCCATAAGCATGGCCTGGTTTAAGGAGTGGGAAAACTTTGTCAGAGGAAAATCTGATAGTAAGTTGTCTGCTTAATTTGTGATCTAAAATATCATCTTTTATTGAAATGTTCATTCTGTTATGGAGTTTATTATTTATTTCAGCTCCACCAGGACCCATAGAAAATCAAAGAATATCTTACACAAAGGGAGGTCAGACTTATCTTAGACAGAACTCAGATCATGGTCAACTCTCAGCAGAAACCTGGAAATTTCTTCACAGTAAGTTTATATACATACAAAATACTGGCCTTAATTTACAAGGAATTGGGTCAATACATGTAAAAAAGTGTAGGAATTCTTATATAATTGATACATATACATGGTATACTGAAAGTCAACATTGTATGTTTTTAGAAATATACGGTGGTGGTCCAGAGCTGTTTATAAAACAGAATCGAGGAAATTCAGGGGGACAGTCTCCTCCCACTACGCACAAATCTGCCTCATCCTCAACACTGGGGAAGAGTGGAGGGAGCAGAGGAAATCTACAATCTGAAGGAGAAAAGGAGGCTGATCCCCCCACTAAAGCAGCTCCAAGAAACGAGGAAACCACAACTGAGGAGAGAGGTGTGAGTAATAAAACTCAGGAGGAGGAAATGGAGTCAGCTGATCAAGAATTAAATACTAGTGATCAAAACATGGACACAGAGCAAAATGGAGAGGGTGAATTAGAGAGGACACAGCATGCTGAAATGGAATCAAGTGCCACAGACACTCAGTCTGCTGAGAAAGCAGCTGCAGTCTCTCCTGCAGAACATTTCAAAACGGATTAAACTGTCCTCAGATCCACCCTGTAACAAAACATTGTGATGATTTCTATTAATCTGTGGTATTCCTTGAAGATTATTTTAAGTGTTTGTCTAAACATTTACATTAAAATGTATTGACCTTTAAATGGAAAGCATAACAGTGTACTCATTCCCTGTGTGTTGTGTACTTATATAGTTTTTAATTACTTTTAACAGGATTGTGTTTTCTGTGAACAGAAAATTTGTTATAGTTTTAATGCCATATTTTAAAGGCAACTTTTAAGTTATCTGTTGTAAATATGTGATTAACTTATTGTCTCGCTGTAATGTATTAAACTCATTTTCCTCTTTTTCTTTTGTTTTATTGCTATGAATGTCATCCCGTAACTCAAGGAGTTTTAAATGATTTTTATGAGGTTTAATGTTTGCGCTACATTAATATTAAAGCAACTGTTTACACATGTGATGACCCAAAATGCAGACATCTATGTATACAATTTTCTGGACAACAAATTACCAAGTTTTTTTTTTTAAAGCAAGTTCAGGACATCAAAATTAAGGCGAATCATTAAAGGTGAATTTGCATTTTATATTGGTAATTCATCATGTCCAGTTAAATCCTCAGTTTTTTCTAGTTCAGGGTGAAATAATATTAGTTTGTTGTTGAGCATCAATTCCTGACAATTATACTGTTATGTTCACTATAAACATGTTTTGGAGCATCTTCATTTGAATCAAAAAGCTGTTCTTGGAAGTTGATGACGGACTGAAAACACATATGTACAGTGTATATGTACATGCAACATATACTTTTAAGACCCTTTATATGCTGCACACTAAAGAATTCCAAGTCTTTGGTATTTTAATGCAATTTATAGAGTAAGTGCCCTTAGATCTAAAATAAAATAAATTAAAATCTACATTGTATTACTCAATTTTTAATCAATTAAACAATATAATTTTCTTTTTCTCAAAGTCTTTAAAAAACCTCTACTTTAGTGTATAGAGGGTTATTAAGCAGTCCTTCATTTATACAGTGCTATTATCAGACAAATACATGCATTTGTAAATATAAAAACAAACAATTTTAATGTACATGTATATTTAATATGAAATTTTTTTTAACTAAGACAATAAAATTCCATCCACACTCAAAATTCAAAATAATGTATGAATGGTATACAGTGTCAAAATAAACAAAGTAAGAAAATATATATTGATATGTTTAATTAAAAATGTCCTGGTTAGCACTAATCTCGTTTGTAAAATAGTCTTAGAATTGGCTGATCTCATGTATTCATTAAACCTGTGTACCTGTATTTGGTCCAGTTTATTTTGAATTATTGGTTCAATTTCTAACAAATTTGCTCAGATCCAGTATAATAATAATGATTTGTTTTGTTAGCAACTGCTGAAATGTGGAATTGTAAGAATTATATAAATCAGGGACCTATATACTAGTTAGTATATAGGTTCCTGTATAAATAACATGGCTTACTGACAATGTTAATGGAAAAAAGGAGCATGATTTGATGTCTGCAAGGACCTATATACTACCTTATTCTGAAATATTTGATAGCAAAAGAAATATATTTAATTAAAAGTGACTAACGAAATCCCGCAACTTACGAGCTATCGCGAGACTTGCGAGAGTTGCCTATCCCGTTAGTATATAGGTCCCTGATGTCTGTAATAACTTTAGTAGATTGTAAATGCACAAAGTATCACAAATGGCTTGGATGAGCTGAATCTGTTTTCCTGAATGCTATATTTTTATCCTTCCCATGGGAGTTCAACATTTTCATAGGGTCCCCCAGTACAAAGGTAGTTCTGGACGACTCGGTAGCAATACTGGTATTCCTCCTGAAATTTAAAAAAAAAAAACAGAATTAGGTTTTCTCACAGACATACTGTAGATTCGTTATATCACTAAATGACACATAGACCCCAAATTGAGACAACCGTAATCGACTCAAATTGAGTTTTCATATTTATTTCAAATACATGTATATAATAATTTTTTTTTTCTAAAGTATTGCTTCTCGAAAAAATTCGTAAAAATAAATTTGTTGCATACAAGAATCTACAGAATGTAAGTTCTTTAATAACAGTAGTACTTACAAAAGATGGAATAAGCTCTGGTCTTCTGACGCGCATATGTCTTACGATGTTAAACATGTCTACTTCATCATCGAACGTTAGCTGTTCTACCGCGTTATATCCAGCACAGAACACGCCACACCAACTCACTCCATCCCTGGAAAACAAACACAATAGTTATAGAAAACGGGTCTTCACAAAGATTTGAATTCTGATTCATTTCGGGACCATAGCATGCATTGTACATGGGGGGGGGGGGGGGGGGGTCAGGACTTTTATTTACACTATTTATTTGTGTATGTATATTAAATTATTTAACATAAAATTACACACAACATTTATGAAAACTTTCGAGAGTATTTTTGCCTTTATAGTTGGTCCCACACTTTCAAGAGGGCCTATTAAATACCCCTCCACTTTTGTTTATTACTAAAATTCTTGATGTTTACATCTAACTGTGTTTTTCTGGTATTTAGCATATCAAACTACTGCAAAAAATCATACTGTTTTAAAAAAGAATGGTGCAGTAGACTTACACAGACACAATTAAAATTGGACCGTCCGTATAACGGGTTTTCCGCCAATCATGGACATGTTCAATCATTTTAACCATCATCTTTGGAGATGTAGGGTATGTGGTATTTACATTCCAGTTCAAAAACTCAAAAATTTTAACTTCATCAACTTCTTGGCTTTCCTGCGAAATAAAAATATCTGTGAATTTAAATTATCCAAACTTTTTGTAAATTGTACACTTCGCATACTTTTTGGTTTAAATGAGACATGCGTACTCCAGTACCTGAACATTGAATTTCGCTGTAGATTCTACGATCTCGTCGTTACCAGCAAAACTTATTGCTCTCCTGACAAAGAAGGGATCGAATTCCACTGTTTCTTCTGTGGACGGCAACCAATGAGAAAACTAAAAAAAAAGGACAAAAATATCAATGCTGTCCACTTGGGAAAATAATTAAGGTACATTGTCTTTCTTTCACCTATATATAAGATTTTGCTTAAGCAGTAAATTCTTTGACTTATTTATAATTAAAATGCACATAACTTCAACATTATATGTAGCTTTCGGTCACGTAAAATTTCACAAAAATGAGTCTTTAATCTTGAACGTTTTATAATGTAATGATAGCCATTTATTCCAGTGAGAGTTATCTCTCTTATCAGATGCTGAATGAACCTTAAAATGTGTCCAAGATTAATTTTAATTTATCAAACTAGATACAGATACGCACCTCTGGAAGGCCAGATGATCCCATAAGAACTATGGCATCCACATTGTGGTCATGAACTAACCGCCAGATATCTCCAACATTGTGTGATAATGGCGAACAGGTAATGATGAGTGCGTTTGATTCAGTATGTGACTGTAAATAAAAAAGAAAAAGTAAAATTATGGAAATCTCTTCTTTGGACACACAAGGACATAAAAAAAAATAGTACTTCAATATACTCACTGACTGGAACACGGCATTGATGTAGTCGTTACGTCCAACTACAGGAGTAGTTAGGAAGACCCTGTAATCATCAACTGTTGGGGGAAATGAAAGTGAGTACTTGAATAAAAATAGTAACATATAAAATATTAATAATTTTCTTCTGTAATATATATATACCAGGCATCGCCTCCTCCTCCCTGTTTCTGGTTTTATTGATGGGCTTTAGCGCCGCTTTGTACCTCGACTCTGGGTAGGATGGCTTCATGGATTCAACATCCTTCAAACAAAAGCATAAAATTTATACTTTTGGTTAAAGTATGTCTTGTGTGATGAAATTGTAAAACACATGCTTCTGACAAAAAAAGGCATCAGAATGTATGATTTATCCTTACATTGTACTCCAGCCTCAAGGGCGTTTCATTGGTTGGTTGATCCTCACCGGTTAGTTTCTTTAGTTCCTTGGCAAATTCTCGGTACGATAGCGCATGCTTCTTGTACCGGAAGGCTTCAAATAGAGCCTCGTGTATAAATATATATTGACCCTAAAATAAAAAGTACCAGTGCTCAGTTATTGTTACAATTTGAATATGCAAGAATACCAGAATTTTTATTCGAACAGCCAATTTTTTTTTTTAGCATTTTGCGATATATATATTTTTGGGTAATAATTTTTCGCATTACCTCTGTTTGAACCATATTCATTCTACAGGTCCTCATCTTTTTAATGTATTCAAACACATTAACTTTTCCTGTTTTTCTTCCATTTTCAAGCAATGAATCTAAAGCTAGAAAAGTTCCCGTACGACCTACTCCCGCACTGCAATGCAAAAAGGATTAAAACAGTAAGAAAACTAAATTTTGAAATATATTGTGCAAGAGCGTGTATAGTGGAGCCTTATTAATCCTGGAAGTCAACAATCCCCCGGACAAAGTTTTGAGAGAACAAAATTTATACACCAGTTATATGAAATACGTTTCAGAATCCGAACGCTTCTTTAATCCAGACGGTACATGTATGCTTTGGAACACAAGTGTCCGGATTAACGAAGCTCGACTGTATTGTATGTACTAATTATCATAATTTAAATAAAGTAAAAATTATTGTTAAAACTACTAATTAAAAAACACTCATACTCTTAAAAGATCGATATTTAAAATTAAATTAGTATTCCATACGATTAAAAAAAATCGCGCACCTGCAGTGAACAAGCATTTTGCCGACCATTCTACTCTTCTCTTTCCGGACATGGGCCTGGAATGTGACGAGACTTAGTGCTTCCGGGGATCCATGGTCCGGCCACTCCCGGAAATGGAATTGTACTACTGTTCTTTCTTCTTTGGTCTTTATATTAAAGGTATTACAAAGAATACAAATTTTAAGGTTATATTTTTAAACTACGTATAAATGAAATTAAACGAAATAAATCCGTAACTTGCGTACTTCTATGATAATACCTTTCTATTTAAGACGGACCAGTACCGAACACAGTAAAACGAGTAGTCTTTTCTGTTTTGCTGTCTGATGACGAACTTTCCAGCATGACAATTTTTATCACTGTCTGGCCAATACTGGTAACATTTTTCCTGAATTGTGAAAATAAAAAAGTATTCATTGGTTGATAGTCAAAAAGACAAATGTACTTTTCTTGACTTCTAGTTTAAAACAGAAAACTTTTTTAACCCCCCCCCCAAAAAAATGCTACTTCTTTGAGCTGAGAACATTCCATAGATGCAAAAACAATACAAGGTCTCATTCTTTATATTAACTAACCTTTCCATTCTCGTAAATATTAGCAAGGGCCACCACAATGCAAACGTTTTCCTCCCAAATCATTAACCAGTGGTCCGCCATCGTGTTGATCTTGGGACCTAATTGGAAATACACATTTCAGATGCAAATTTTTTACACATATATCCGATAGGAAGAGAAAGAGAGGTGGATGGTTATATACAGTACCAGAACAAATTTTGGTATCCATAGATCTAGCTGATGTCTCACATATATACTACATGTAGTACTTGTATATGATATTGTAAATTCAGAAATATTTTTGTATAACCCTGTAACCCTAATTATAAGTAATAAAAGTGTGCTAGGAAGAAAAAAAGATTACAAGAGCTGTATAATTCTTATATATTAAACTATTCACTGATCTGATTTTGTCATTCATACCTTGAGAGGCAATGAAGGCACCCGGTTCTTCCACACCCTACAAATTAAACATTAATTTGAGAGGGAAAAATAGTATCGCAAGTACGTTTTATTTTTCAAACAAGGAATGCCAAAAAAGTTTGTCATTATTTTGTCCTTACGTCGATGAAGTTGGCGTTTATGTAGTCAGATTTCCCATCGTCTTTCTTTAACTTTACTCGGCTGTGATCATCTACCAGAAACAACGAAAATTTACTTAAATAAACTAACGTGCATTTTCCTTAATTTATTAAATACAAAAACAATTATTTTTCCTTTTTATTCTTATTTTATGGATGATGTTTATGGTTTAGATTTAAAAATAAGTATTAACTTACATGCATAAAGAGATTTGAATCTGTTTTTAGAACTATTTTCTGCCTTCTTCGCAATGTCACATTTGTCATGTAATCCATATTTCAGTTGCTAGTAAAAAGGAATATTTCATTAAAATAGACACACTTCCAGCAAAACTAACTACTGTATGCATAAAAATGCCCCCATCTCATTTAAAATTTCGCTTTCAACCAAAATTTACAAATCTTATAAACTGGCTAGCTTAAATAAAGTCCTCTGAAATATAAAAGTGCTGCCTGTCAAATGAGGGCTTTTTAATTGATAGTTTGCATATTTGGATGCTTGACCTACACTTCACCTATTAACGAGGTTGGATCCTGATATTTAAAGTCTTAAACTTTTTTTGTCAAGTATATTTTTAGTTTCTACACACATAGCTTAATTAAAAATCAAAACAAAAAATGGGGGTCAATATGCTTCTTTTGGCGCTACAGTACATTTAATATGACCTTTTTGCACTGAAATTTGTGTCTTAATCAAAAATCACATCTTCGCACGTTTTTCCCCCAATGTTAGTATCCAAATAAATCATGGGACAAAATAAACTATTAGTCTATTTAAAAAAAGACACATTAAAATTGTGACTAAGTAAAAGTTTCAAAATTGCTCAGCATAATCAATTATTTGACCTTTCTGCACTCACAAAATGTGATTTTCCTGGCATTAAAATTTTTAACAAGCAAGAAAAATATTTTAAAGTCTTAAACTTTTGCTGACTTTAAGCAGATTGATCAAAGTTATCTTATATATTAAGAAAAGAAAAACAAAAGTGGCGGTCTATGATGTAAATTTTTAGATATTACTAAAAATGTGTTAATTTTTATGTTAAAATTGGCTTAATTTTTTCCTGGACTTTCAGAATATATTTACTATATTTGTCACAATATAATGAAAGAATTCAAAAGAAATAATTTGATAGATATTTCAGAACCAGAATAAAACATTTCACAGCAAAAATCAGCTCTGTTTGCAAGCAGCATGGAAAAATTGGAATCTAAACTTAACAGTACTGTATATATTTCAAAAGGGAAAAAATTGATCATTTTCTTCTACAAAACCTTCCACCACAAAATAAAGTCCCTAACTTATTCCTATTTGAATGGAATTTAATCGCGGTTTTTTCATTGAATATAGTTTAATTTGCATTGTAGAATCCAGATTTAATGTTAGAACTTAAAAATAATGCAGAATTTTAGAAATAAAGGTCCAGACCAAAATCTGCTCAAAAGCTCAGGATCGAACCTCCTTAAACATAGAAAAGGCAATTCACTGGTATGAGCTAAATTAATTTGTGAAATTATAACTTTTCTAACGGCTAGAACTAGAACCCGGCCTCTGCAGGTCCAAACTCTAGATTGTTATGAAAAGGAATGTTGTCGTTTTTAAGTTTGTTCGCACAAAAATAAAAACTCCTTAAAAATATGCTAATGCATGCTAGATTGAAAGCAGACCAAAAATGTTTACTTTGAACTGATCTTTGAGCTGTCTGTTATTGTCTTTGGCGTTTTCTGACACCACATACGCCAGTTCTGTAATGGGTATTTCGTGGATCATCGTGTTCTCGTATGGCGCGCTAGCTTTGACGGGATTGGATGGCCTCGGTGGTTTTTCAATCGTGTTCGATCTTGTTACCTCCTCGGTTTCGCCCTCTTCTAATGTTATTATAGGAACTTTATCGATCCCCACATTGATGTAGACATTCTCCTTGCCTTGAAATGGAAAAAAAGAGTCTTGGGGATATAAACGACCTTCAATGTATAGTCAAATCTCATTATCTCGAGATTGATGAGGGTTGGGAACAAGCTTAGAGATATTCGAGTAATCGAAACATTCGACATGTTTAAATACATATGATACATACTGGTTAGGACTTCCAAATTAATTCGACAAATCATGGTATTCGAGATATTCTTGTTCGAAACATTGTAGTTCACCTGTTTTCAAAAGTTCACCTACTTTTTTTTTTAAATTCTCTTTTTTTCCAAGTTACATTTATGACAAATAAGGGTTTTGTTAACCCTTTCGAAATGAAGTTGTTAAGGGTGCTTCCTGAGCTACCCTTTTAAAACCTGTTTTGTTCTTATTACCTCTTGCATGTTCTCTAACGGGAGGCGCGATTTCCGTCGAAACGTTTCGAGCATATTGGCCTCTTCTCATCATCTTTGTCATTCTACTAATGCTTTTACGACTTTTTTTCCTGAGATATTGGGACCCACTTTGCGTTTTTGCGCTTAAATATCTGCAAAAGAAAATAAAATATTTCATCAGCATTATTCAGTTGTTAGTATAATGCACAATCCTACCTCACCCCGAAATATCCGATCATCTGTTGATTAACATTCAGCTAGAAATTGCGTCAATGATGTTTTAATTTTCCCAGTGATAAATTTTATGATGCTTTCTTTTTTATGTAATTACTTGCAACAACCAACTAAAATCTACAGATACAGCAAACATGGCCGTAGGAATCGGGGGGGGGGGGGGATGTCCCTATAGATACTATATGCTTGTGCCCCCTCAATAAAAACGTCTGATGACCTTTTTTTTTTATTTTGCTAGTCAGGAAATTTTTGGTAGTGCCCCCTCAACTGTCAACTGAAAATGTATGGCTGCCCCCCCCCCCCCCCACAAAGAAAAAAACCAAAACAAAAAAAAAAAACAACTGAATTTGCTTCCTACGGGCCTGGCATGGAAATGATAGACACCGCTCTCTGGTGAATTTGGAGTGCTAGGTTTCAAATCCGGGGGGGGGGGGGACAACCATCAAATGTTAGAAAATGTAAAAATACTATTTATTCTTTTTAATTAATGTTTCATATTTCAAAAATCGTTATCTCCAAAATGTTTCATGACACAAAAGGGCTTTGACGATGATTATGACGTCACAATACAGTTTTGTTTACAACAAAGCAATGGACATACAAACTGTAAGTAAATTCTGAGAATATTAAGCAAATGTAGTTTATAACATTTTTTGTGTCGGTAGGAATCAGGCGTTCGTCTCGTACATTTATTCTTCTCAGTACAGGTCCTTGCCTGTTCATTTATAATTTAAGCAATCATTATTCATATATAAGCAACCAGACTAGGAAATGACCCTAAGCTGACGGATATGACGAGTCAAGTTATTTTCTTTTTTAATTTTTTTTTTTTTGAAGATGAGACCTTTTGACGTATTTTTTTTAATGATACATGTAATTAACTTTAATACACATGTAATATATAGAATCGTTTTAGTCTAGAGTGCTTACAAAAATACTTTGGATAAGTGCAAACACATTGTTACGTCATGATGGAGGTCTTTGACGATGACCTATGACGTCATAATATAGTTTTGTTTACACAAACGCAATTTGGAAATGCAGCTTGTGAGTAAAACTTTTTATGTAAATGAAATGTTTATGGTGTTGTTCGTCAGCATCTACTTTTGCACTATTAATTTTATCTACTACTGGTATGTGTATTTGGTATGCCTCATTGGTTATACTAGTACTCCTAATATTGTTGCAGCTGTTTTCTTAGTTTTGTGTAAAAAAGCATTTTTATGCAATCGAATTTTGACCTTTGTAATTTAATTGTCGGTAAGATTGTCAATTCTATTCATATATTGATACCCAAATTTAAATAAATTTTTTCTCCCGCCCGGGTTTGATACTAGTCTAAGGTAAATCAAGGACTGGCGAAATTATTCTTTTGAGCCTTTTTTTAAAAGAATAATTCAAAGTTTATATTTAAAGTCTTCTTATTTTTTCAGAGAGTAACGGCGAGTGAGAAAATGTTCAGTGAACGAATTCAAGGAATTTTGACTGAGCTGGCCTGCCGCTCAGCTGATATACCAGTAGATATGCTTCCTGTCCCTTTTGTAAGTATCTTATTAGCAAAGAATTTTACTTTTTTAGCCTTTGCTGGCTATATGGTCCCGAGGGGATATTGACTTCATAGAAAAAAAACCAACAACAACAGTAATATATTATTCTACAACTTGAGAAACATGTCAGTCCAATAAAAAGTGAAACGAGTGGTAGGAATTTTTTTATTTTATTTTATTTATTTATTCATTTTTTTTTTTTTTTTTTTTTTTTTTTTTTTTTTGCGATGCATGCAGGGTTTTTTTTTATTTTATAAATTCTTCAATTTTTTTTTTAAGATAAAGAATAATAAACCTTTTTAGAACACGTCACAAAGTTTATATTATAGCCGTTATCTTGTAACATCGATTATTTGCTCAGTGATTTGAAAAGTACATGTACTTCTTTATTTTTACATAAAAATCGGCAAAATTATCACTTTCTAAACCATTACAGAATGAAGAATTAATTTTGGACTTTGGTGAAGAACCTGTAAAAGACCTGGTGAGTAAATGCATTAAGTGATTAAATTTCATGACACGTACAAACTTTCCAATATGAATTTTAAAAAAAAATTGATGATATTTTTCAGTCCTTGAACTCTCTGGAGTATGGTACATACATGTATTATTGATTCTGCTACTTTTTTTAGTTGTAAGATAAATCCGTTTTTTTTTTTAAATATTTTGATTTGGAGTCTTCAATTCACATTTTGATTTACATTGAAGTTGAAATTTCCAAATTCCGAGCTTTCTTGGAAAAAAAAATTAATATAATCTGCAACAAAAACAAGTCTTGCACAGTAAGATGGCAAGCCAATAATTAAAAAACTTGATAAATGCCATATTTATCTCTTCATTATTTAAAAATCTTGATTCAATATGACATCACTGTAGTATCTTGTCGTATTGTAAACTGGAAAATTTTAGATGGAATGCTGATTTGAACAAGATTTTTTGGCATTTTTAAAGAAAGGAAAATATTTTTGGTGATATTTTTATGGGCTGAAATGCTAGATTCGTGGCTTTTCTTTTACACAAACTATCAAGAGTCGAAAAATCCCTTATAAGAGGGTTAACGTTATCAATTAAAATATAAATTTTGAGAAGAATGAGAGAGAGAGAGAGGGGGGGGGGGAGAGGGACTTCATATAAAATTGTTTTGATACACCTTTTTCAGAAATCCAAGATGGAGATCCTAAAATTTGAGAAAAGTTGGATTGAGATGGTTGAAGAAGAGGAAATGCGACAGGTACATGTAAATTATTATACAAGTCTTAATAAATGCATTTGATTTTTGATTGACTTAATACATTGGAGTAATGTCTGGTCATGGTTTTGTTTAGAATTCTTTTTTATCATTATTATAATGCAGGACCTTAAATTTATCAAATTGTGTATATGAAAGAAAAAGTTAGAAAAAAATCTATGAAGCCCGTTTTTGGTATAATTGTTGTCTGCGATGTCTTTCATGCAGGTAATACATTTTTTTATTTTTTTTTTTTTTTTTGTAAATTCTTTATTCAGGAAAAATTAGCAAAGGTAGAATCCATGCTAAAAGTAATGACACCACAGATTACATTCAAACAAGAAATGCAGGAAGAACTAAAGGTACTGAACAGACTAATACTGAGAATTGCAAAATGATGTTAACTTTCTCTTTTTTAGATCAAATTGATAAATGCTCGGAAGATAATTGCATTGATAATTTTTGTTCTCTAGAAAGTGGTCCCTAAAAAGGTTGTGAGAATCAGAAGAGGATTTTTGGCGATAGAAAAAGCGAGAAAAATGTGGCAGCCAATTCACCAAGAACTGATGGTAAAACTGCTATGTGCATATTTTTAAACCAAAATATTTCATAAATTCAGTATTTTAATATACCTTTCTTCGATATTAATAAAAGTTAAATTTGTCTTAATTTAATCAATATTTATATACAGGCAGTTTTGACAAATAGAAAGTTAGAGACAACCAAAATTGAAAGACAAAAGAAGATACTGTCAGAGATGTTGAAAGAGCTAAAAGTAAATATGTCAAACATTTCAGTTATAACTTGCAATGTTCAGAAATGAGGACAAATAACAATGAACAAGAGGGCAAATAGTCAATAATTTCTGATAAATGTGATTTTCAGATAGTGGCATCCAGAGATGTATCAAGAAGAAAGGCAATAATGGAAAGAGGACAAACCACATGGGGAGAGATTCATAAAGAGATGATGGTAAGTTTTCATGTAGATATCCTTTATTTATTTTTTATTCTGTGAATTTGTTTTTATGTCCCTTGATTATTTTCTGTGTTTTAACATTAATTTCTTTATCTTTTAAAAATTTTTGAGTTTGAAAAATTTTAAAAGATAAATCTATATTTTTATGCAGGCGGTTTTGATCAATAGAAATTCAGAGAAAATCAAAGTCCAAAGACAAAAGGAGATAAAATCAGAGATGTTAAAAGAGCTGAGGGTAAATTTGCCAACACATTTCAATTATAACTTGCAATGTTTCAAGAAGTTTGAATTGAAGACAAATCACAATAAAGAAAGGGACAGAAATTCAATAATTAGTGATAAATTGTGATTTTCAGAAAGTGGCATTCAGAGATGCAGAAAGAAGAAAGGCAGTAATGGAAAGAGGGAAAGCATGGGGAGAGATTCACAAAGAACTGATGGTAAGTTTTTGTCATCGTGACAAGCAAGGTTGTTTTTTTTTTGGTCCATTCGATTATTTTTAATTGGAAAATGCATGAACACAAACCCTGTGGCTTGTGATGATAAGTTTAACTGTGCTGTGTGCATATTATATTTTGTATTATTTTTCATTTAAAATATGTCCCTGTCTTTATTTGTTTTAATTATATCATTATTTTTATACAGACTGTTTTAACCATAAGAAATTTGAAGAAAAAACAGATTCAGAAACAAAAGGAAATAATGCTGAAAATGTTAAAAGAGCTTAAGGTAAATCTACCATATCTGACTATCTGACAGTTATAACTTTCAGTGTTGAAGAGTGTAAAAAATTATTGTAACTTTGACTTATAAGGAATGAATTTAGTACAGGAGTACATCATTCAAGGTTTTAAAAAAATGAAAAAAAAATTCACAATAAGCAAAAGGGTAAAAAGTCAACGATTTCAAAAAAAGTTTGATTTTTAGGTGGTGGCATCCAGGTATGTAGAGCGTAGAAAGTCAATAATGGAAATAAGACAGACAATGTGGAGACTGATTCACGAAGAGATAATGGTAAGTTTATTATGTGTTTATCCTTTATCTGACCAAAAATTAAAAAAAAAAAAAAAATCAAAATCTGATATTATTATAAAGTATCTAAATAAAAGGTTCTATGTCTTACAGAAAACAAGCAAACCAGACACAGTAATGCCTGAACAGGAACAAGATTTATTTGTTCCCAGAAAATTATTCCTCTTCAGTGTGGAAACTTTTAAAAATTCTCCAGAGGTAAAAATTTGAGAAAACATTTAGAAAACTTTCATGTACAAAAGAGTTCCTTCAATACATTGTGTAAATATTTTATGCATATCTTTAACATTTATGTAAATTCTATAGAAGATGATAATTATCAAATACTCTCTATCAATGAGTAATCAGAATTGGGGTGGGGGGGTATAAATTAGTCACATCTTAATCATGTTAATGGTTACAGAAAAGCCATTACAAAATCCCTTTTCCCTCTTAGAATGTTGATAATGCACCAACTCTCCAAGAGAGAACAAACAACATGGCTGACAAATGCATGACAAGTGTAGAAATGGTATGTAGTAATTTGAATGGTAGCAATGCATTTATTTTCAATTGAATTTAATCAGTAAAAGAGAGACAATGAAAAACAACAACTCTTACATCATAATGTACTCTAGTCTTTAAGAAAGTAGTATATATATATATATATATATATATATATATATATATATATATATATATATATATATATATATATATATATAAAATTAAAAAAAATTAAATAAATCTGTGGTCTAACACCCAGTTTTGCTATGATTGAGGATTGAATTTCTGAATCCCTTTGCTATATTTACATAACTGAATTCTAGTAATGAGTATATAAGCTTTGCTATATCTATACATTACAAAAACAAAATCACTTAAGTAATGTAAAATTCAACTTATTTTTACATGCGAGGATTAACTTTATTTTTCAGATGCCTACTTTGCCAAAAAAGAAAACATTTAGAGGAAGGCTCCGAAAATTTTTTGGGTTCAAATAGAAGAGCATGGTAGCCCGTGTATGGAACCTTGTGAAAAAAGTTACTATTTCAGGAAGAAAGATATTCACTTGTGATACCTAACTTGGACATCAACTAACATTCTTCATGATTGAACACCTCTACAATAAATTTTAATTTTTCAATCACTATTAATTATTCTTTCCATTATTTTAATAAAATACCAGTACATAAAATTGCATTTTTTATATATATGTACTAGTATTGGACATGTGGATAAGCAGAAGTGCATGTATCTATAACATGGACTGATTCTTGTGGTTAATTTAGATACAATATACAGTTAAAGTATATCATTGGGGGGGGGGGGGGGGGGTAGCAAGATTTCAGTTCACCAAGGCCAGGAAATAGTCCTTGTTGAGGGAAGCTGGAATCTTGCTAACTCCCTCAATGATATACTTTTTAATTGTTTTATTTTACAGATACAAATTTCGAAGCAGAGTTTAACTCACTTGACTAACGCACGGCAAAACGGGGATTAGTCCTTTCACAGGGATACAAATTTCAAAGCTGGGATTATATGGGTGGTGGAAAGGGTAAAAAGAAAAAAGATGTTAATGCAAAGCGAACAATCAAATTGCAAAAACATACTGAAATACAAAAGAAACAGCTTAAAATAAAATCAACAGACTCAATTGCAAAATCAACAGATCACACTGCAAAATGAACGATCGCCAATGCAAAACCAATAGGCATAAATTAAATGCTAGATGGCGTGCAAAAAAAGAATAGAAATAATCTGGATTAACGCTAGATGAAAAGACAATTTCTTGAATGTAAAAAAGGAAACGAAACAAATCTTGAAAGTACAATTTTTTAAAAAAATATTTGTTTTAAAAATAATTGAAACGAAATGGATTGAAAAGCAATCATTTCTCTCCACGGGTCAAGGTACATATAACAAATAACATAGAGTAAGTCGAGAGAGAGAGAGAGAGAGAGAGATTGTCTCCATTTTCTTTATGATTTGAAAATTTAGTAGCTATTGAGATATCTAATTTGATCTTGAGTGCGTTTTCAATTTTTTTATTTAATCTTCAAACTCATTGAATCCAAAATATGGACTATTTCAAATAAACCACCTTTAAAAATTATTTAAATGTAATAAAAAGCACTCATATCCAAACAAAACTATTCAAATGTTTTTTCCCCTAGTTACCGGTAAATGTGGTCTTTGGCAACAGTTTGTCATCGTTCAGGTGAAAACCTCAAAATTTACTATATATACTCCATACAAACTCGATGATTTTCATATTCTTCATATAAGGGAACTATCAACATTTACATATCATTATTGTGTAATTTGAGTTTACACAAGTATAAACTAAGATTGTACGACAAAATTTTGGTTATAATGTATTCAAAAATCAACACGAGAGTTGGCAAAAATACTTATCAAATTCGCTATATGGCTCTTTTTGTAAGGGGGCCATTTTTCTTAGGTTAATGCTTTATGCTACTTTAAAATTACGTACAATTAACGATAATGAAATTTTTAAAAGGGGGGTATCTATGACGTCTATGTGTTTTCAGCCTGGTTGGAAATGTCGGGGTAAAAACTGAATCAAGATCGAGACCAAATATAATACCGCATATTTGAGCTCGTCTCACAATATGCGTCGTTATCAAAGCTCTACTCTGTTATTAATGTCATCATTCGCCTCTTATTTTGCGAGAAACTGATGATTGAGTGAAGTCGGAATTTTGTTATCCACCCATACAGTGTCGGTACTTAGTCACTATGTTTCCGGGTTATCTCCCCTTTTCTATGCATCAATGAAAGTGAAAGGTGGGTGATGAAAGTATCTGATTTAATTTTTGTATTTTGAAATACCCTCCCACCTCAACCCTTGAGCTAGGTGTTTAAGTATACCCTTTCTCCTTTCGTACATCTACATAGTTTTACATGATTGGGCTATACCTATATTTATTGACAGTTATGGAAATGTTATTGAGATTCTTTTCTGCTTTGGGTTTTTTATTTTTGTCTTTTCAGAAATTAGCGGTGCCGTTGAAGGAGACCAACGATGTTGATCAGGATTGCCTGTTATTTCCGTTTAGGACCTTTTGAATGATTTTGGGCCAAATACAGTATCCTTCCGAGGAGTTCGGGGAAAAACCATACTTCACAGTGGTCAGATTGGCGAAATCGTCACCTTCAATTTAACCATTGAACTATTTATATTCTTGACTTGTTGTGGTTGATGTTGATATATGTGATGGTTGATGTTGATATATGTGATGTTGACTTTGAAAATTATATCTCATATTGAGTAAATCTAAAGCAAAATTATGTAATATAATTGATATAATTAATTATAATTAATATAATTAAAGATAATTTGTGTTGAAATGTGTCCGTAGCACGATTGAGGTCAACCCAGCGTGCTACTTTTCCCGTCAGGGAGGGCACAACTTAATTGTTGATGTTGGGGGATGTGCCAGTTTGCCGGCTGCCCCACTGTTGTGTAGACCACTGTGGACAATACCTGCCAACTCGAATAAAACATGTAAAATAAATAAGGCATTTGTTTTAAATATATTAAGGTCTTTGATAACCATAAATAAAAACTATACGTACGCTGCCACCCTGCTTTTACATTCTTTAGCACTGCCAATATTGTGTCTGTTTTTCCAGCCCACGCAGCCAATGACAACGAGGATGACGATGAAGAGTGGAATTAATATTCCGGCCACGGTACCGTCAAAAACCGGGTCTCCGGGGCCCCTGCTCTGCGTCCCTAAAGAAAGAATGCTGAATGATACAGTCATAACTTCGACATTAATGATCCCCAACTGCTGAGAAGATATTCTGCAACATGCCACATTTTCTTCTTGATCATGTATACATATTTGACTGTATTTTGAAAACGTGGTTTGATGAAAAATATCCCCAAATGTTCTTACCAATTGAAATATTAAATGGAAAAGTTGATTCATAAATTTTTTGTTAGTAAGGTTTCTTCCATAGCTACATACAGAGATACAGTAAAACAATAATTCTGTAATGATTTTTTTTTAAACTAAGAAGTCTACGCAGACTAGATAAATACTTTACCAAGTGATCGTGACTCCGGACACTGTCCTGTCATGGCATGACAAGTTCGGTTTCGTGAACATGGTCCACATCTTTGTACACACCCGATTCCATAATACCCCCATGAACAAGCTAAAAAAAAAGATCTATTTAAATGAGAATAACATTTTTGTCTACCTATATTTTTAGATTTAAAAAAAATGAGCAATGTCTAAGGGTCTATATAACTGTATAAGTGTCAGTTTAAAGGTCCCTGATAATGTGGGCTTACTCTGATTGCAGTATGGGAATGTATACCCAGGTTTACAGCCTGTGGGACAGTGTCCACTTATAGGCTCACAGGGCATGCCCTGTTCACAGGGCCCACAGCGAAGACGACATCCTGGACCATAATATCCCAATGGACAATCTGAGAAAAAAATCACACTGAAATTCTTATTTACCCATTTAAGGTCAATTGACCCTCTTATAAGAGAGATAACTCTCTCCCTCTCTCTTATTCCGACCGAATTAAAATTGTCAAGATAGTTGAAAGTACAAAACTGTCAAATTTTGCCCCCCCCCCTTTCCAAGATATGCTTATATAAAGGACATTTTTGATGATAAATTAGATTTCTTTGAAAAAAATAACGTCTAAAACAAAATTTTATTTGAGTGAACAGAGGGATTATGAACCTAACAAAATCTTTATTAACCTAGATGTTCGATTTATTTACAATGTAAATTATATAAGAAAATAAACAAAGAACTTAAGATTTCGTTAATTCGTTTTTGCTTACTTTCGTTACAGAGATTTCCCGCATATCCAGGGGAACACCCTCTGTAACAGCGTCCAGTGTCAGGGTCACACGTTCCCTCCAGACAGTTAACGGGGCAGCTGAGCTGGCAAGATATCCCGTACAACCCCCGGGGACAGCCTTAAAAAAATACGTATCTGATACATGCAATTGTTTTCGTGAATATTTTTTTTTCAGAAAACAGTTAAAAACAAATAATAAATTTAAGACTCCGCTTCGTTCCAAATGATTGATTTGAAAAAGTGAACACGGTAAAAAAAAATAAGATTTCGCATTATTCTTAATAAAAAGGGAAATATCAAAAAATGTGGAATCACTTCTTATGTCAAACAATATAAAACCCTTTGATTTAATTTAAATACTCAATTATTTCCATACTATAGCGATGTATCCTCATATCATCTTCACAACTCTCGTTTGTCGTTTAATTTTACAATAAAAACGTACTCACCAAACACCTCGACCTCGCAAAGTTCCAGTATTGCTGAGTTGCTATAGCCTGGCGGTAAAGGAAGAACCGTTCTGTTGTTGTAAACCGACACATAATCTCCAACGACAGGTTCCTGTAGATTTATACGGACGTTGGAGTCTGGAATATATGGTCCTCTATCGTAAAACACGAACGGGTGATTAAAGAATTGGGAATCTGCTAAAGATCCAGTGGAGACGTACACCGAGATCCCCGCTAGACGACTTTCAACTGTAAATGTTTATAACGATAGGATTACAATGTATTTATAGTATAAATGATGGATAGGGGCCTGGAGAACAAAATAAAAATACAGCGGAAGGTATTAAAAGGTAGGAAAATGAGACAAGATAGAAAGAAGAGAAAAAAAAAACAATTCTTCCATTTTCGTATATTGAACTAGAGGCCAACGGACCTTGACGTTCACGTGAGTATATAACACAAGCTTCTCGGGCTTTGACCACTTTAGACCCATCTATAATTGGAACTCTGGTTTCACATGACAACTTTGATTTTCAAAGATTTTATGTAGTATTTTTAATATATGTCCAACTTAAATTCCTCCCTTGGGGCCTGACCACTGGACCATGAATCAAACAAGATTTTCAAAGGTAAAATGTATTTTAAATATATGATCAACTTAGCCCCACCGCTAGGATGAACAATTAGCGTGGGGGCATGGATTCTTAAATGTTGGTAGATGACTAAGTGTTTATAATAATAATGGTATAATAATAATGGTAACAGTTTGCCTGCTAAATGCCAGTAAGTAGAGAAGAGTGACTCAGGTGACCTAAAAAAAAAAAGGGGGGGGGGGGTCTCCTTCATAGTGGAATTCAATGGTCAATAAATTTTCCTTACAGTTAGGCCTGGAAACAATGTTTATAGATTTGACTGTAGAAGCTCCCGTCAGACGAACTCTCCACCAGGTGCTGGGGTAAGTTCCCGTGGAGTCCGTCAGTGTGCAGTGTCCGGCGAAGATATTTGTGTCGTTATTCCCGTCCACAGCGTTGGAGGAGCCGGCGTCTATTATAGTACGGGAGATTGACGTCATAGTGGTCGGTCTGTTCAATGCCAGATTTACTGAAATGTGAACATGTCATGGGAAACATAAGTCACATACAAATTTAACCTTTTTTCTTTTTGTTTTGCCTTTATTTTAAAATAATTGATTTAATATAAATTTGTTTTCCTTTTCCCTGGACATCAACGTTACTGTTACATAGAGTTGACTAGGAACAGGTACTGTTCAGGATTAAAGTTCACAATGTGTGACTAAATAATGACTACCACAAATCTAAACAAGCAAGGATTATGAAATTTCACTTTTATTGAAACATCTGAAAATATCTGATTCCGTTATTAAAAGCATTTTTTATGTCCACCCCTCCCCCTCCCCCACCCCAGTAACTTACCTGTTGATAAAACAGTAGGTAGATAAACCAAACACAATAGTATCAACATTGTCTCTCATCTTACTCTTAATATGTTGAAGAGATCTGACGGATAAAGTCCTTAAGTAAAATGTCGCCATTTCCTGCCTGGGGTGATCTCTCATTTCCGATGTGAGATGAAGACAGTAATGTTAGATCATCAGATCGTGAAGTGACCACTGAGTCAGATGGACCCGTTATGTCGCTGCTGCACTTTTTATACACTCTGAAGGGGGGATACTAGTATATGGTGCATGGAACATTAAGACTCGTTACTAATCTTAAGTAGTTTTATATGAGTAAGTTTTTTAACATTCTCTTCACATTCTCCAGGGATTTTTTTTTTAAATTATGTTAATGAAGTCAATGACTGTTTGGTCACACTGAAGTCTTACTCAACTAATGATCTTATGAGAGATATTTTTTCTTTTTAGTTTATAGAGAGACTAAAATGCAGATCCATGGCGCATCCAGCAAGAGTAGGGGATATAGGAGTTTTCAACTTATGCGTTTAAAATATGAAATTTATCAACCAAATATTTAGGAAAAACTTTTGGATCCAACCTTATACTGCATAACTAGATAACTTCGTAGGGGAAAAAAAATTTTAAAAAGCTCTTAACCCTGCACATTAAAAAGTTCTAATTGTAGGGTACGTTTATGAACTTAGAGTAATCTGCCCTTAGATTAAAGGTGAAATAAACGGGAATCTACAGTAATGACACTAAAACATATTCTTAACATTACATTACACCAAGATAAAGTAATTGAATATATGTACTAGTATATGATTAACACATATTTCACCAATGTAGGTAAACAGGTATTTCTGTCCAAAACGCTTCATTGTCTTTAGCTTTGAACATTGTTCCTGTAAAAATATTACAGGTACCCTATGTTGAAAATTAATTAAACTCAATACATACACATATATATGATTTTATCAAAAAACATTTTTCATCAGAGTTTAGAACTTACTTAACATTTCCACATTTTTTTAAAAAAAAAATTAAATTGTGAGCTGTGTTTTAAATATACAGTTACATAGATCTACATTGATACAAATAAATAACCAAGTACTGCGTTGGGCTTGGGGTGTTTGCAGATCTACAGACTCCGATAATCTGTTAATGTTTACAACCCATTTTAGACATCTCTCTTACATTTCTTTATGCAGCACAATAGCCTGGCACCATGGCATATCATACATAATTATATATCACCAAAAGGACACAAATAATATGTCAGTATTTATTGAATAAACACTTACATGAGTATTTTTAAATTGATAATGAGTATTAGTGTCTGAACAATCATGCATTTATTACAGATGGTAAATGTAATATTTTTATTAAGTAACAATGATCAATGTATTTTACTCACAAATGAAATATGAGTGATATGAAAGAAACTGCAACAAGTTTAAAAAAAAACAAACAAAACAATTAAAAGTAAGTCTTAAGTATTGCACAATTCAATGCTGTTATTCAATAAAGTCACATGGTAGATTGTTCTTTATTTTCATGTTTCTGCGCTGGCATAATTAGGATTACTCATACCTCCCATCTCATATGATCTACTTGAACTAGAACTAGAACCTGCAAATTGCCTGAAAAACACCATGCAAATTGAATAATTTTAAAATTTTTCTATTATATAAAAAAAATTAAAATTGCATGATTTACAGTCTTTTGCTAAAGTTTTGATTCTGTAAACTGTTGTTGTTGTTAAAAATTCTTGGACTATTATTGTGTAACTTTCATAAAGAAAACTTAAGATATAAAAAAACATGTTAAAAAAAGAATCTTACTGTCGCTTAACGTAGAGGAAGGCTCCGACTAGAATAATCACAATAAGGACGGCACCAATCACAACTCCTGCTGTGATGGCACTACTGTTCACCGAGCTTGAACTACTTCCTGAATTCGAACCACCCACCATCATGCCAGCATTTCCTCCATTGTATGCTATAAGATATCAGTACATTTATCATAAATTTTTGTTCAACTTCAATAGGTGCTGATTTATCTACAATGTTCTGAGATCAAGTTCTATGATTTCTGCTCTCAACATACAACGTATTCTGAGCATGCTCTCAGAGTGAAAACTAACATATACTCAAAAATGAAAAAAGAAAATTGTTTTATACTTTAAAATATCAGTAAGTAAACTTTTTCTTCCTCTTTATAGCATTTTCATAAATTAACTCTCTATATAATATAAATTTTGTTTAATATCATTTTATTCCATTTCACAGCATGCTGGGAAAAAGTTAAAAAGTAATAAAATCCTCACCCATAGGTGACTGACAGGTTAACATGGATCCACCCCATCTACCAGTCGGCCGACATATCCTGTAGACATTGTTACCATAGGGGACGTAAGAGGCATTGCACGCCTGGGTACAGACAGAGCCCACCTTGTACGGAGGCTGGCAACCAGTTATCTGACCATTTCGTGGAATTGGAATCTTAGGGCAAGTTATAGCTGTTGGAGAGATGGTCAAATAAGAACTAAGTCATCAAAAGATATTACAACAGTGAAACCAATATTTCTTTAAAAAAAAAAAAACAAACAAACAAAAAAATAATAATACAAAAAAAAATCAAGCAGTAATGTATAGAGTATGACTTGACATAGAATAGATTATTATATACATGTACATATATGTGAATGCTGGAAAAACTTTAAACTGTCTATTTTACTATTACAACAACTTTTCTTTTTTGCTACTACCACAAATGAAGACTTTAACTTTGTCTATTTCACAACTTTCACAAATGAGGACTTCAGTCTGACCTTGACATTGCAGACTTGAGGTGGCAGGAGTCCACTGAGCTGTGTTTCCTGATTTCTGACATGTGACTGTAGAGCTACCCTGTAGATTAAATCCTGATATACAGCCCACCCGGCAGGTAGAACCGTAGTTTCGCGAACACTGAAGGGACATAATCATACCATTTGTTGGAGGAACTAAGAGGGGACAGTTCAACACTGGAATATAAAAAATGTTATTAAAATACTTCATCTGAAGATTCGGCAATTTTCTATTGAGTACTGGTACATAAAACTCAAATTCATGGAAATAGAGTATTTTGACATTTTGAAATTTTTTTTTACACAAAGATGTTAAATTTTCTTTGCAGTGTACCTGTAGTTACATGTACATGTATCTTAAAATTTATTGACCTGACTAATTTAAATTACCAAACAAAAATCTACTACATACATGAACATATCTTATACATGTACATCTGTTAAGAAGGTAACCCCTTGTTTTTTTTTTTGTTTTACTGACCATTAACAGTGATTGTGAAGCTACAGGAGCTTGATCTTCCAGCTGAATCAAAGGCAATGGCTTTGATGACATGTGCTCCTGGTCCGAGCACAGCTGGTGATGTCACTTCCTGTAGGACAGCTACATTGCTACCAGAGTTGTCAGTGGCAGTAGGAGCTGCCCAGCTGACAGTAGCTGTCTGTTTTCCCATGTCTGCTGTCACAGTCTGACTAGCTGGGCAAGTTACAACTGGAGGCTGGGTATCTGAATTGTACAAACATGGTCCAATACATGTATTATTGGATACAATGTACATGATGTACATTAAAAGGAAATTTGCCCAGTGTTTTTTTTATTCAAATACTTTTAATAACAAATGATTTCCTTTCACTCATTGAATGAAGTTCATTCAATGAATGAAGTTCATTTTGCTACTTTTCATAAATTACCCCCCTTTACATTCATCCAGAAGGATAAGACTGAAACACACAAAATAGAAGCGGAGTGAACAATTCCATTTACATATATGTATGTGTATAACAAAGCATTGTGCACATACATGTACATATTAAGGGAAATGTTCACTCTTGTTTTATTTTATCTATTTTAATTGTCACATTACATCTTTCTTGTTAAAGAAGGTACATACCTTGACACATGATGAACGTGGCTCCAGCGCTCCATTGACCGTTAGCATTACAGGTAAGCTTACTAGACCCATACAGAGTGTAGCCAGTCTTACACGTCACAGTACAGTTGGTGTTAGGGGCCGCTGAAGAAGTGGTACAGGTGGAGGGACTGATCATACCATTGGTGGGGGCTTGTAGTGGCTGGCAGGGGATGGCTGTCAAACCAAACAAATCATGGACTGATTAAATTTTATATGTAAATCAAAGATACTGACAAAGATGTACAAATGGGGATTAATGCTTTGCATCAAACTTGTTCTTACTTAATTCAAAATACAGTTAAACTTGGTTATAAAGAAGCCTTTATATGGAAATCTTGGTTATAAGGAAACTTTTATGAATTCCATAGAAGACTTTTCTCCATGTTTCATATACAAAGAATCTTGGTTACAAGGAAGAAAAATTAAGGCTCCCAGTGACTTCCTAATATTCATGTTTTACCGTATTATGATTACCTGTTCCACATGATAATCCATTTGGCTGTAGTGAGAGACCATCTGGACAGGCACATTTCTTGATGTTACCTGGGGCAGGAAGACAGATGTGAGAGCAGCCTCCTTTACCACTGGTACAAGCATTGCTTCCTATAAAATACAGTCAAACCTCATTATCTCATTTTCCGACATATCCATGGTATTACAGATATCGATGTTCAAAATACCAAAGTTCAACTGTAAACAATTAGTTATGTAAGATAAAAGGCTAAATCTGTATATTAACTCATACTACATACTTTTGTGCAAATATTCTTTTTACATTATAGTGCAAATTGTGTTGAATCTATCTTGTAATATATTGGTACTCTATAAACTTCAGTACATTTAGAAAGTTTAAAACATAGGCAATCAGAGATTACAGAGCTCACCCCAACGGATGTTGTCTTTAAGTAAGGCAAAGTGACTCACTAAACTAATAATCTAGTAGTGTGCATCCCTAGATACAACATTTATGCAATTTTGGTCAGATAGGGCTTGCAGTTACTTGGGAATGGTCTTTTCTAAAACTTTAACTAGTCACTCATCCAGAAAATGTAAGTCAAATCCAGTATATGAAGCAACTTTAAGAGTGTTCATCCCTTGATGCATCATCCATGCAAGTTTGGTTCAGATAGGCCTTATGATTTCTTGGTAATGTACCTGCTCCAAAAATGTTAACCAGGTCACTCATCTGGAAAATGTAGGTCAGATCCAGCATCCGAAGAAAGTCCAGTAGTGTGCATCCTTAGATGTATCATCCATGCAAGTTTGGTCAATACAGGGCTTATAGTTACTTTGAAATGACACCTGCTCCAAAAATCTTAACCTGTCACTCATCTGGAAAATGTAGGTCAGATCAAGCATTCAAAGCAAGCCTGGAAGTGTGCAGCCTAAGATTATCATCTATGCAGGTTTGCTCAATATAGGGCTTACAGTTACTTGGAAATGAGACCTGCTCCAAAAACTTTAACCTACTCCAAAAACATTAACCTTGCCATGCTTTGGCTGAAATTGCAGCATCTGAAATCTTGACTGGTACAATGAAACATATCAAAAGCATCCTTAATGCATCCCAGAATAACATAGGGCATAGAGGTACTTGGAAAAGAAATTTGCAAAAACTATAACCTGGGATGCCGACACCAAACTCCCCCCAACTTTGTTGAGGTGAGCTAAAAACAAGTCTATTATACCAGAAAATCCAACTCCACTTCTGTAAAAGGTCAAATCGTTAAGTCTGCCAAATGTTGCTGGTCCGATCGGTACAGGGGTACCACCAGTTGTGGAAACTTTCATCACAGAACTGTACATACACAAAAAAAGACCCATTTTTAAAACCATCCAAACTTCCTCAAACAGCTAAATCACAAAATAAGCGGTCACAGTAAAGAAGAACAGGTAATTGTCTTAAATCATCCCCAACATGTTCATTTTTTTAGTTTTATACCAAGTTTTTTAAGTTATTTAAGACTGGTGTCTTGACCATTACTTACTGCTGGCTCCAGTCTGTGTAATAAAGAGTGGTCTGGTAGAGCACCAGGCCAAAGAAGTGGGCCGAGGTGGAAGACTGGTCAGACACGGTCGTACGTCCAGTACCGTCCAAGTTAGACATCTCTATCAACTTAGTGCTACCATCTGCCCAGTACATTTTACTCCCTGTAAACACAATTCAAACTTAAAATATCTATTTACACAGGTAAAACAGTGGGATAACTGTATGGATTTTAAATGTTTTTGTAGGGGGTTGAAGGAGGGGGATGGAGGTGCAGATACATTAGCTCATTTTTAAATAGAAATTTCCAAGATGAGAGGAAATTACAATGCAGTGTACGAATTTGGTTCAAGAACGGATAATGTGTGCAACTGTTATTTAATCTGAAAACCTTGGAAATCAATAGCCAGAGCATTAGGCCATTTGATATTGGTGGTGATAATGGCCTGTCTTCCAGATCCATCATAGTTAGCCCTCTCTATCCTCGCGTTAGTTCCCCAGTCAGACCAGTAAAACACACTGGAAGAGTGTAAGACTTTGTACTATTCATTTATCTATACATTTCAGGAACATTTAACTAATAAAATACAATTATCAAGGCCTAGTTTATTTATTGGAATAAAGATAATAACACTTCAGGGTACAACATTTTCAACCACAGAGATAACAAAGACTCAATGGACTTATTTTAAATTTATGGGGGGCATTCTCAAATGTGACTCAGTATGTACGTTTGTGGGGATGTAAGTAAATGGGTGATCAACTCATTATGCATGTATGTACATGTGTTGATGTTGTTGTGGGTGAAGGGTACCTAGTAAATCCACAAAAAAAATTGAACCTTCATATTACAGCGAATTTAAAACGTATAATCAAATACACATTTACAGTTAAAGGTATATGAAGCAAAAGGCATATAATAATGATGAAGAATCTCACCCTGTTTGTGGGTTGGTCACTATGGCTCTTGGTTCATCCAGGTTATTATTAATTATAGTTTTAGTGAAAGCACCATCAATTGTTACAAGAGCAATGACATTATAACCGGTGTCAGTGTAGAAGACAAGGCGGGACACGGAGTCCACAGATATACCATCCGGAGTAGCTTCTGTAAAGGGAAAATGTCTACTTGTAGGTATTACACTACACGTGTACTGTACATTGATGCTGTCGCAGCAAAAAAAAAAAAATCTTAAGTGTCCTTCTCACTGTCTAATTAAAATCATGAAATTTTTTAATGAAGACACATTTAGCACAAGGGAAATGAGAAATATGGTTTAATACCACATGCAAGTGTTCAATGTTTGATAATGCAACTTTATATATAAACAGTACTTTCTCCCATTTTTTCAAACAATTGTTACCAGTGTATCTGACTGAATATCAAGCCATACAGTAATTATTTTCTAAAATGCATTCTAAATTATAAATTCTCCTTACTGTTGCCCAGCTGTCGGACGACCTTCTCGTTGCTTCCTGTAATTCCAGCGGATCTGATTTGATTGGATCCCACATCTGTCCAATAGATTTGCTGATTCAGAGAATCAAAGTCTATAGAGATGGGGTTGTCATGGTTATGAAGTGGAAGTGTTTCATAACTGTAGGAATTCAGATCCATCCTGTATATACTTCTGTTTTTAGTATCGGTCATCAACAAGAAGTAATCAGGATATGTTGCTGTGAAGGGAAAAATAGGATTACAGTCACTAAGGTACCCTGCATAATTACATTTCCAAAAAGTTGAATCATGTCCAGAGCACATAAAACTTCAATAACAGAAAGCACAAAGACTGAAGAATCTAAAACAAATTTATTACACACTGGACTGATATAGCTTCCTAATGACAATGTATCACTTACTTGGAGAACATATGATGCCAACATCTTCGTTATGTCCACAGTTGTGGGCCCCCCAACCATTCGAGCGACATTGGGTTATGGAACTCTCTGATCCCGTACAATTGACATTGTCCAACCAGATTTTACCTGTGCCTGCTCCAAATGATCCGGTACCCCTATAGGATGCACCAGTTCTAAAAGAAGATAGTTAAGGTCAGCAAGCTAAATCTGTAGTTTTAAAAAATAAAACTGAGGGTCAATATGGGTGTAAAAAGCTGCAAACAATAAAATATCCAATGCAAAATTAAATTTTGTTTAACAAACCTGCTGTAACCCAACATCTGACACAATACACCGGCATTCTGATTGGTGAAGGCATCATCACAGACTGTTCCCCACTGACCAAAGGCATAAACCTCCACCCTGCCCTGATACGCATCCTGACCATTGACCAGTCGGATGAAAGTGGTTCCTGGGGCTGGAGTGGGTAGTGTTGTGGTGACGCGGCCGGGTCTTGGAGTGGTGGATCTAGGGGCTGTAACAAAAAGAAATATATACATGTATGTATGTTATTCTAAATATACAAACTTCAACAATTTTATACCAATATATTTACATTTACAAATGTGTTTTCCCATGTATAACACTGTTTGAACAAGGCATATTTAAGCCTGTGTATAAACTAATTCATCACATAAGTCATAACCATAAATTCATTGTTTAGTCACAAACGATCAACGTAATTTCATAGTGACAACATAAGTGGCTGACGTTCAATTTATCCCATTGAGGTTTGAAAAAAAATTAATCATTTATGGGTTTAAAACTATAGCACCCAAGTATTTGTTATAAATCAGTCACAAAGTTAAATATAAGCAATAAAGTACCATTTTAAAACTTTTATCAGGATGTAAATACAGGTCAGTACATGATCAAATCTTCCATAGAGCCCTTTGGGCTTTATGGGATTTGAGCACAAGACAAACCCTATTTACATTCCGATAAAAGTTGAAAAATTTAAATATGATACCTTATTTCTCAATTAATTCATTTTTCTTTAAAATTTCAATTGAGAGCTGTCATGTCTGGATTAATACTGTCCACTGGGACAATAAAGGGCATACTTGAAAATGACTTTAAAAAAAATGTCATCTTACAAAAAAAAATCACACTGCAAAATTCTATGGCCTAAACCTAGTTCAATGAATTTGGCTGAAGATTCTTGCTCCTCTTGTGGTCATGAGCATCCTTTGTGTTGGGTGTGAAAGCATGACCTCTAACAATCCTAGCAATGATAGTAATATCCCAAACATTTCGATTTAAACATCTAAGTCATGTAACCCTGACTTTGTCCAAATGACCAAAATAGAACAATAATAAACTTGTTTCCCATTTGAGGACCGCTATATCAACCTTCAGCTTTTGAAATTAATTAACATACTTACAAAAATCAAATCAAAAATTGTTCTAACATTAAAATAATATAATTGCTTACTGTTAGTACAGACAACTCCCACATCTTCTGTGTGCCTGCAGTTGTTGCTGCCATATGGCCGATGAGGACAGGAATCAATGCTTGATTCATTCCCTCTACATTTCAAGTCGTCCAACCAGATTGTTCCTGTGCCTTGTCCAAAATATGCTCTACTCAGGGCATAGGCATAGGTGCTAAAACACAGGTAAATGTAAGATTTAAGCTTTACGGATGTTTTTCTTTAATTTGTTTTTACTGTGATACACTAAATAATACTCTTCTCTTTGTGATTTTATAAAAATGATTATCATGTATGTTTTGACAATGGGTTGAACTAATATGAAGATAAGATCAAAACGTCCATAAAAATGTGCACATACTATGGCTTTCCCAGCATTTTACAAACAACTTTAGCATTCTGAATGCCTGTTGAAGTCCAATAATCATCACAGACGGTTCCCCATGTGTTGTTATACTGGATCTCCACACGGCCACTGTTGGTGGTCCCTCCCACTAACCGAATAGGCAGACTCACTACAGACAAAAGAAGACAGAGAAATAAGTCTGCTTATTCCTCGAAGTGACATTTATGTATAAGGTCATGGAAAAGGTTGAAAGTACAGTTAGTACCTGAAATATCTCTTGTTCATTTACAGGTACTTACTTTATAGTTAACTACTTGAGTTATAAGTATAGTTGAAGTTAAAATTTAATAATCAGAATGGCTCAACAGTTAAAGATAACTTAATATCTTCAAGGTCAAAGGACAAACAAAAATAAGAATAATGCAGAAGACAAAACCTTACCAGCATTACAGATAACACCCACATCTTCATCATGGTCGCAATTGTTGGTCCCCAGAGGTTTGGAGGAACATTGGAGGATTGTTTTCTCTGATCCTGAACAGTGTACGTCATCAAGAAGGATCTGGCCTGTGCCCCGCCCAAAGAATGACCTTGTCTTGGCAATAGCTCCAGTTCTAATTCACCAAAAAAAAAAAAACTCAGTAGACAAGCCTTTTTGATGTCATTACTTGAAATACATAAACTTTAAATATCCTCATATGAGTTATAGCTAGATTTAATTAGACTGATGCAAATAGGTTTATATCAAAATACTTGAATTACAGTGAAACTTATCTATCATGCACTGGGACACAAATTTTATTTCAGAGCATAGACTGGGTTTTGGATTGCACAGTGTAAAGAACACAGGAAAAGGTTAACTGGGAATGGAAATAAATGTTGAATTTCACAGTGAAACAGATTGCACAAGTATTGGACTATAGTTTTTATTTTTACCTAACATACTATATAAATTGTATTTTGGCATTTTGAACATTTACTCCATATTTATCTTGTTTTATTTTGTTTCAAAATTTACCATGATCTGTTGTCGATACATTTTAAAATCCATTGGTTATTATGTCTAAATCATCACTTTTAGTTTAAAATATTATGTACTATGTTAGGTAATAAAACACTTATTTCAAATATAAGAGGGATCAGTCCAAACAGTTGTCCCTCAATAATGGGAAAGACCTGGGAAACTATTGCCCAGGACCGAACAATTTCCGAGGTCCTTCTCCTTACCTTTGGACAACAGTTTGACTGTTTCCCTCATAGTCATGTAATAAGTGTATACTGTATTAACTTTACTCAATGTTACCTGCTAAATCCTGCCATGGCACATACAACACCTGCAGCTTTGGAGTCAAACATGTCATCACAAACAGTACCCCAGGTTCCGTTCACCCGAATTTCAACACGTCCCTGATTGGGGTTTCCATTAGGATCCACCAAGCGCAGTGGGACAGTAGGAGCTGAAACAGGACAAAAAATCATTTAAAGGTTTACTGTAAATCTAACTTACTATTCTGACATTCTATAGTTTTAGAATTTTAATCTGTTATGGAGATTTAATATTTATCAACATTTAAAATCATTTTCTTCAATATTTAGATATTTTCATATCCAGTTTATGGAACAAAAATTGATACTTTTACTTTTCTTTTTATATAGTACAGAATTCCCATGAATGTCTGTAAATATAGAAGTACTTGTACAATGCCATATGATCAAAACTGTACAAAACTAACCAGTACAGATCACACTCAGATCTTCATTGTGACCACAGTTGTTAGTGCCCCAAGGTCTGAAGCCACAATTATCCAATGAGAGCTCAGTCCCATCACAGTGGAGGTCATCCATCCAGATTTGACCTCTGCCAGCCCCAAAGTAGGCAGAGCCTTTGACAGCTGCAGTTGTACTACAAGGAAATACTTAACTCTTAAATATTACATTGGAAATTCAGGGTAATTATTTTATGTCATGTAAACTTAAGCTACAGAGTCTACAGTACAGTATACAATGTACAATCACAAGCTTACAACAGATACAGTCAAACCTCATTATCTGGAACTCAAAGGGACCAAGAAAAAACTTCCGAGATATCTGAGGATTCGAGTTATCTAGGGTAAAATACTTAAAGAATAAGGGGTTAAGACTTCCAAATAACTTTGACATATCCATGGTATTTGAGATATCAGTATTTGAGATACCAAAGTTCAACTGTTCACTAACATGTATTTAAAATTTATTTTTTCAAATTTCTTCAAGGTTTATTGATCCTTTGGTAAGAGTGATAACTCTCATAGGTTTTTATAGATAGGCAAATATTCTTTTATGAAACTGTCAAGTTATACATCAGTTTTCCCCTGAAAGATAGTTGAAATGATAGTCAAACCTGTATTAAGAGACCTTCCAATGGAGAAAGGAAAAAAGGTCACATATGACAGGTGGTCTCTTAATACAGGTTGCTTATTTTCAGCAGTGTTCAAATATACAATGCTGAAAATATTACACGTGTATGTGGAATGTATTTTATAGGTACTGCTCAACTCTAAATGCTTTTATATTATAGGTATAATTGTCCTGCTCAGTAATAAAATTTGTTTGATCTGCACATGAGTAATTTGATTATTGGGAAATATTGTGAACATCTGAAAATATAAAATGGTTTTTATACAGTATAAAAAAGCTGCATAGATTTTTTTTTTTTTTTTTTTTACATGATAACTTCGTATGTTTTGCAAGTTACTAAGAATTAAAACTGTATCATGATTTTTGTTATGTACTTGGTAACAAATTAAGTTATATTTATGACTAAAAATTTATTTAACCTAATTATTTTTTTTTTTCATTACTGAACTACCGCGTCTAATTGCCTGTTTGTCACCTACTTCAATTATCACCTGTTATGGGTGCTAGCTAGCATGTGTTTACTTACCCCATTGGTGACACATTTCACTTAAATAAACATCTAGGATTTAGTTTCTTGTTAATTAAAAGTTAAACAGGCAGGTTTTATAGTATTAGTTGAATATCCATTTGGCCCTTATAGCACGAAATGATATCGGGATCGACCTCGAACGTCTATATTTTCAAATGGCACTCAATCATTGGAGAGAACAAACCTGAATGTTTATGTATTAGATTTTAATGTTTATTCAATAAATATCAAAACGTAAGTAAAAATATTTATTTTGAAATGTTGTTTTATTCCTAACACTCACATTATATAATTATTAGATGAAATTAACGCGTGTCTGTAGATGTTTTGAACCAAAAAAACGTAGCATACTCGACCAAAATCGAAAGTAGGAATCGGAAATTATATAGTCATTAAATCCAGGTAAAATTGCCTGAAATTACAAAAAATGGTCAGGAAAATCACGGTCGCTGGTCGCGTTAGACAGGTGGTCGTTTAATACAGGTATAATATAAAGGAAAAAGCATTGGGAGGAATTTTTACGGTCACATATGACAGTGAGTCGCTTAATACAGTGGGTCGCTATGGCAGTTTTAACTGTATGTATTTTTTTCTTTGAAAAATAATTTGTGTACAAGCATTATTTCATAAGAGTGAAGAAGTGATTTCTCAGTGCGAAATTTAATACAGATCTAACTTCACCCACCTTGGGAATCCTAGCTGGTTACAGATAACCTGAGCGACATGATAGTCTGCGACATCATCACAAACCGTGCCCCATTGTCCAGAGTGGAATACTTCAACTCTCCCCTCATATCTATTAGATCCACCCACCAATCGCACAGGAGTCACACTCTGTCTACCTACAGTTACAAATCTCAGTAGCCTCATCAATTCTATTATGTGATTTATCTATCTACCGTTAATAGAAATAAATTTATTCAACTTTGTATAAATCTACATGTACATGTAAGTCACCTATGATTAATAAATGTAACAAGTCTCAAATAGATAAAATCAGTAAATTAGAATGATGCAAATACTATTTTCACCATTAAAAATACACTTCTATTTCGCACTGGAGAATACACTCTAGTGGACCAAATTACTTTTTACATAGGTCTTAATTTTCAGCTGAGAAATTTTCCACAATCCTTTTTTACCTGCACAGACAACCCCAGCATCCTCAGTGTGTCTACAGTTGTTCACCCCCCAGCCTCGACTTCCACAGAGGGCAATGCTGGTCTCATTTCCTCTACAGTTCAGATTGTCCAACCAGATAGGACCTGTTCCTCGTCCAAAAAAGGCTGAGGTTTTGGCACGAGCCCCAACACTGTAAAGAAGGGGGGAAAAGAAAATAAATTCATTGTACATGAATGAAACATACACAGTCCTAATTATGAAACAATATTAAAAAGTTTTAGAAAATATCTTACGGAGATTGTCCCAGCATGCTACAGATAACGGCTGCTTCCTGTGATCCAAAGTAATCATCACAGACAGTTCCCCATGTGTTGTTGTAGAAAATCTCTACACGTCCCTCTGTCTGGTTGTTACTGCCGCCCCGCAGTCGAATCTTAATGTTATTGGTAACCACCTGTCCAGCTAAAACAAGGACATCATTTCTTTTAATAAATATTTCTCAAAATAAACAAGAAGTATTGTATAACACCAGTGTATATGAGTGTTATTAGGATTGTTGACTCAATAAAATAACCCTAGATTATAGTGTACATAAATGTATCAATCATTACCTCATGTGCATAATAGCTGACTTGAGTAAATTAATCTGATGTGACAAGTATAACATCTGGCTTCAGTTAATTAATCTGACTTGTTTAAAACTCACCTTGATAACATCTGACTACAGTTAAGTAATTTAATATGTTAACTCACATGTACAACACCTGACTCCTGTGAATTAACCTCACATGTTAACTCTCATGGATAACACCTGAATCCTGTGAATTAACCTGACATGTTAACTCACCTGTACAACACCTGACTCCTGTGAATTAAGGTTCATCGATACTCTGATAAGAGAGATAACTCTGAATGACATAAATGTCTATTATTCCTTTATAAATATGCCTAGTTGAAGTGTCTTTTTTGTCCAATTTTGCCCTGCAAGCTATGCTAAAATTGTTTTTATTTTATTTGTAAAGCACATTTCTTTTGGAATATCATTGGAGTTAAAGTAGCATTTTATATGAGTGAGCAGAGGGTTTATGAACCTTAACCTGAAATGTTATATCTAATAACATCTGACACTCCTGTGAATTAAGCTAATATGTTAACATCTGATTCCTGTGAATTTCTATTAGAATGTACTCACCCAAACAACCTGACTCAGGTGTATTAATATTACTGTAAACTCACCTGGTTAATTCATGACTCTAGTGAATTAACCTAGCATGTTAACTTACCTGAATAACACCTGATTTCTGTGAATTAACCTAACATGTTAACTCACCTGGATAACACCTAATATAATTTATCATTAACCTGATATGTTAACTTACCTGGATAACACCTAACTCCAGCATCTTCTGTGTGGTCACAGTTACTCAGTCCCAGTGCTGTATAATTACACTGTCCAAGGTTACCCTCAGTTCCTATACAGCCAACATCATCCAGGATAATTTTCTGGTTTGGTGAGCCCTGTCCATATCTGGCCCTTGAATAGGCTGTTGCACCATCCCTGCAAAATATTAGACATCAGTTATTCTTAACTGGTTAAAATGGGATAACTAATCTCTAGAATTGGTTGTAGCATTCATAAGAGTCGAAGTAAAAGACCAATTTCCCTGATAAAATAAACTGATGGTTTTTTTTTTTTCATATTGTTGTAGATGTGAAAATAGCATACGTGGAGTATCCCAACATCCTGCAGACAACCTGAGCATCAGCATTAGACCAAAGGTCATCACAAACAGTTCCCCACGTCCCTGCATAATTCACCTCTACCCTGCCCTCCATGGTAGAGGGTCCACCTACCAGTCGTACCCTGAGAGCCTGCACTGAAGCTATAAAGGAAATCATCAGGATTGGTTTGGTCTCTGCTATTATGTATACCAAATTTGTTTAGGTAAAAATGTTGATAAATTGAAAAAAAATTTCCAAAGACAATTTTCTGTGAATATTTAACAGTATGGAGTTAACATACAATCCACACAGACAACTCCAGCATCCTCTGAATGATCACAGTTGTTTTCTCCCCATCCCTTAAAAGTACACTGTCCAATGTTGGACTCCGTCCCTGTACATTCCACATCATCCATCCAGATCGGACCACTTCCTGTTCCTATACGATTGATTGCACGTGCTCCTCTGAAAGATGAGAAGGAATATAGTATCAAGAAACAGATTTGCTTAGCTCAAAATCATGAATGTAAAGAAATAATGCTCTCATGCTTTAAGAATTGAAAAGTGAAAAGATACTGTTTAAACTACAACCGCTATTCATTTTTACATTTAGTTCTTAATGCAAAGATATACGAAAAATCTGAAAAAAAGTTTTTTCTTTGTCCAAATGAATGAGAGAGATACCTTGCACTGTAGCCAAGCATATTACAGACCACCTGAGCATCTCTGTCATCCCAGGAGTCATCGCAAATCGTGCCATAAATGCCGTTATATCGTACCTGCACCCTCCCCTGACTGCGGGTCAGTCCTCCCACTAGCCTCACTGTCACAGGAGGGGGATTAGGATTAGGACCTATAATTATACATTACATGTATCATAAAAACCAATTCAACTGAAAAAAAATAAAAACAAAATAACACGAGTACTGACGGCAGTACAAAATACACCCAATTCATCAGACCTATAACATTTTTCTTCAATGATATTTCAAAGTAATTTGGCCCATAATTTTCTTTGAACTATATTCAGTACACACTTAGACACATGACAGACGCATCCTCAGTATGATCACAATCATTGACCCCCCATGGTTTGCGGCTGCAGGCTCCGAGGTTGGTCTCATTTCCAGCACAGTTAAGATCATCAATCCAGATACTACCAGACCCTGCTCCATAGTAGGAATTAGCCAAGGGCACCACCACACCACTGTATATATATAAAAAGTGTAAGGTTGTAAGACACCACTGTACATACAGATATTGTAAAACTGTAAGACACCACTGTACATACAAATATTGTAAGGTTGTAAGACACTACTGTACATACAAATATTGTAAGACACCACTGTACATACAAATATTGTAGGATTGTAAGACTTATTACTTATCCATAGAAACCACACCACTGTATATTTGCAAATATTGTAAGCTTGTAAGACAAAACTGTACATACAAATATTGTAAGATTGCAAGACTTATTACTTATCCATAGAAAACCAGACCTCTGTTTACTTTAAATCACTTTTTATTCAGGAGAAACTTTTATTTCCCATAATTAGGCGAGATGGTCTCCTCGGGAAAATTTCATTTTCGTGTATATTTTTATTAGCATAGGATATATACAGCAATAACCAGCATCTGAGAAAAAATTTTTTGTCACTTATAAATACCAAATACCTTTCTTGCGAAAATTTGGTGTCCTACAGTATACAGATGTTGTAAGGTTGTAAGACTAATGGGTGAAGAAATCTTCAAATTTTCTCCAGTAATACTGTACATGTATTGTAATTCATTTCTTGCAATTTTTGTTTGGCAATCATTTATTGGTAAAACACTATATTTTGAACAGAGACTAATATTATCAAGCACAGATAAAAATGTCTAATACTCAAAATCCTGGTTAAACAGAAATGCCGAGATTTTATTACTTATAAGATTCTTACGTGGGCTTCCCCAGTGACCTGCAGACTACAGTGGCTTCCGCAATTCCAAATCCGTCATCACAAAGAGTCCCCCACTGATTGTTATGGTACACCTCCACTCGACCACTGTTGCTGGTGCCATTCACGAGACGTAACTGCAGACTCAGCATCTGACCTATGATTTTGTGTAAAAATTTCTTCTTCATTTATGCTATGACATTTTTTAAAATGTGATAAAAACTGATATAAAAGTACAGCATAACCGATGCACAAAAATTACATTATTGATTTTCATGCTTTTTGTGTGAATTTACCTTTAAGTTTGTGAAAGAAAATTATTACACCTTTTGGTAAGAGTTGGACTTAATTTTTGAGGTATGTACATGTACCAGTATCTATGATAAGTGATAATATATGATAAGTACATGTACATGTACTTAGAATTATTTTGTGTTATTGTCGATGAGAAGTTTCATTTTTCGCATTGAGACATTCTAGCAGAACTGTTTGCAAATAAATTTTTCTGAATTAAACGAGATTTACAAAATCCACTTACATAAAGAACTGAAGTAAATTTCATCAAGCAATTAACTTCCTTTGTCTTTCACATTTATTACAGAAAGTAGAATACACATGTATAATATTAATAGTACTAAATAGCTCATTTTTTTGCGTCACAAACTACTGAAGCAATAGAAAATAAATTTGCTATGATTCTTGGAAAATGCCCTCCAATTGCTCACGTACTGGTCTGACAGGCCACTCCGATGTCCTCTGTGTGGTCACAGTCATTTGTCCCCCACGGGTTGTGTCCACACAATCCAATAGATGACTCTGTACCTGTGCAGTTAGTGCCATCCAACCAAATAGGGCCGTAGTTTGTATTGGCTGATTTGTATGTAGCTGCAGGTACAGCCACAGCCTTAATACTGCAAAGATAAAAGTTATAACTGGCTAATAAAAAAATTAAAACACAAAAACAAAATTTTATTCCTCAACTTGAAATCAATCCACAGCTACTGTATTAATTTTTGCAAATGAGAAAATATTCTACATTAATACTCAATTACAGAAATAACTCAAGGCAAGAAATATTTTAAAATAAAAGGTCTTGAAACTTGTGATTATTTCTCGCAGAGGAAAAAAAGTTTGTTTACAGTATACTGTTCATTGATCTTCAGAATTTCAACTACTAATAATTATAATAGAGATGCTGATCCTATGCTTTTGAGCATATGCTACACCTACAGTGTACTTACAATGATAACCCCAGAGAATTACACACAACTTTAGCAGCATTATTGGTGAAGTCATCATCACACACGGTTCCCCACTGCCCTGCGTAGTTCACCTGAAGAAGTCCCTCCTGCTGTGAGGGACCTCCAGTCAGTCTTACACGTACATTGTTATTCTGTGGAGCTACAAAAGTGAACCAAAAATTTTTTAAATCCCTAATATGAAAAGAATCAAAAGAATGAAATTTTCTTTATCAAAACTCTTGGTGAAGCATTTACATGTCATTAAATAATTTATCACTGATTATATTACAAATATTACAATCTTTTTAAAACAATCCTTTCATAATGTCTCAACACTCTGGAGAAAATAAAAAAAGCTCCCAAAATTTTGATTTCTTTACTCACAATTCTGACATATGACACCAACATCCTCTGAGTGCTCACAGTCATTGGTGCCGACTGGATTTGTTCGACAATCCAAGATGGAGGATTCATTGCCTTGACACACAACATTATCCAACAGAATGTTTCCTGTGCCTTGTCCAAAGGCAGCTGCTGTAGCAGGCAGGGCATTCTGGCTAAAAGCAGGAATACAAACCATTTTTTCTTGTATTCACTTTTCTGACTACTTTTTAAATCTCATATTATAAAAAAAAATTCGGGTGTTACTAAGAACAAATAAACCAACCAATAGTACTTATTTATCCTTGATTTCTCTATCAAAATGATTGATGAGTATTACTCTCAAGAAAAAAAGGAAAATTGTGCTGTTGAAATAGAATCATATTAAATATCTTAGAACAAAGAATAATTGATTAAATAATGCTCTGTAAAAGTAAATCTGATGTCAAAGAAACATTTCAACCCTAAAATAAATATACATATATGTATACATGTATATGTATCCATAATTGTATACATATATATGTATTTTAATTTGTTGAAACTGCAATTCACTTCGGCAGTTACAAAGTAAATAAACAGTATTATTATATGATTGAATGATTTCCATCTCTCTGATTGGCTGAGATCCAACAATGTTAGAAAAATGCTACGTTATATTGACCTGCACATGATCTTCCACGTCAATATAAGGAATTATTTATTCTACATTGGACCAAAATAGATAGGGAAATTCCAAATTGATGCAAATAGTTTTGGAAAGTTATTTCACTTGCACCTGACATCCACTCATATGAACATAACATTAAGGCACATAGATTCTTGGGTATGGGGTCGGGGGGGGGGGGGGGGGAGGGGGTGCAGGAGGCCTGCCCCTTTCCACACCTTTTGAGAATGTAAAGTTTTAATTTAAATTTTAAGGATAAAAAATTTCAATGAAAGCTCCCCTCCACTCGAAAAATTTATGGACCTTTACATCCCACCAAATAAAATTTTGATTTGGGAGAATTCTTTTCCTTTTTTATTGGGGGGGGGGGGGGGGGGGGGGAGGCTAGTCAAAGATTTGTTTTCAGGTAAGTTGTCATTTTTTTCCTTTTAATGCCCCCTTTTTCAAAATAAATCCTATATATGTGCCTGACATTTATTTTTTTTTCTACATTGCACCTAAACTAGAATTAAAACTCCAAAATAATACAACTGGTTTTTTTTAACTCCATTTCTCTCATTATGTTCTGCTAGTACTTCAGTAGATGTGAACAAGTAAGATGGCATGGATTGCTTAATGAGTGCATGTCATTTAATCTTTGAATCATATAACAAAACAATTATTGCTGTTTTATCGGTCAATATGACGATTTAGCCACCTTCGAAGTACAATATTCACCTCGCCCTTCGGGATCGGTGAATATTGTACTCCTCCTGTGTCTAATATACAATTAATTACCCCTTATGCGGTCAACATGGTAAAATAAGGACCCGAGACCTGGCCCACGAGGTGACCTGACCTGACCGAGGCCGCGTAGCGGCCGAGGTCAGGTCAGGTCAGCGAGTGGGCCAGGTCGAGGGTCCTTATTTTACCATGTTGAACTCATAAGGGGTAATCAATTGTTTTATTATACCGATATAAGTTAAGGCAATTTTTGTAAGCTTAATTACTAAAATAATCAATTACATGTATAAGACCTACGAACTGTTGTCAGTGTTCCATCGGGATCGGGATTCGCTAGTGAAGTTGTTTACTTTTCGGCTGCTAGTCTTGTAAGTTTTTGCACCACCGATTTATTAAAACACTCTGTGATTGTCAGTAACATTGCATTTTTATAAATTCACAGATACCATTCCCGACTACAATGACAATCTGGTGCAGACTTTTACTGTACAAGAGAGCCGAGTCTGCGTTCGTTGAATTTGACATTGTATTGTAACGAAAGTTAATTTCAATGAAAACGATAAATGTTATGACGCATCTAAAGGCCAATCGTGTTCCGTATCCTAAAAATACTATACATATTTTTATAACGGCAATTTTTGTAATGTACAATCATTACTGTATGCATATTTTTTTTTAATTTGAATGGAATTTGGATTAACAGGTCATTTTTAGCGGTCATTAATTTTATTGACCGGTCATTATACCCCACGTGCAATGATTCCTAGGTCATTATTGCTGTAAACGGTACTTTTTGGAGTCATTATTGAGTTTAAAAGCCTTCTAACAAGCCAATCAAATTTGAGTATTCTTAATAGAGGTATAATAAATCGTCGTATTGACCTCAAAAACCAGCAATAATTGTATAATATATCATGTAATGTTAATTCACTTATGATTGCAGTTCATGGTAAAAGGGTCTATAATTGTGTTTCTTGACATGTACCTCACAATGGCAGTCCATATTAAAGACATGTATTGAAAGAAAAATGTATGTGAACTTACTATGGCAGTCCCAAAGTCTTGCAAACAACTTTAGCAGCATTAGAATCAAACTTGTCATCACAGATTGTTCCCCACATTCCAGCAATGTTGATCTCTACTCTTCCCTTGTATCTACTGCCACCATTTACCAATCGTAAACGTGGCTGTCCTACAAATAAATCATATACAAAATAAATATATTAAAATCTCTCACTATGAGGTCCAACCTCAAAAGTTTAAATTGTGGTGGTATAATTTGATAATTATAATTTTATAATAAAGATATGACAGATTTATTTTTTTCTGCCAAAAAGCCGAGCATAACACCAGCCATATGCCAATACATGTAACACAGCCTAATTTCCTAGGTATACTAATTTGTTGGAGTCTGGATTGTATGAAATAGTATGGCAATAAAATGAATTCATTTTTATTCTCCTGATACACTCAATCCCCTTAGATTACATATTTTTCTCTTTTTTCTGAACGGATATGAAAATCTTTGGTTTGTTCTTGGTAAATACATGGGGAATACAGAATTTATAATTCCTCCAAATTGTTCATCTTACTTCTAATGAATTTTCTATCAAAAGAATCTTTTTGAGGGAATTGAAGCATCACATGTTCTTCTCCTGTTTCTTATTAAGTACTTCTATAAAATGATATTTGAAATGGTCAGAAAAACATCAACTTGTCTGCTAGATATATTTGTAACAATTTTCAGGTATCCTCTTGACTTCCATAAAGATCAACCAGCCCTGTTTTATGACATTCTGAAACTATCTTTCTCTTATAATTATTTAATCATGGTTCCTCGAAAAAAAAAAATTATACAGAAATACAAAGTTATATTCAACTTCCATACATGTCTCTTTTGATGGGACTCGTCCTGTCAGCCCCTAATGACTAGACATACCAGTGTTACAGATAACTCCGACATCCTCTGTATGGTCACAGTTATTAGTGTACCAGCCTTTGCTGCGACACTGTAAGATACTGGTCTCCGTCCCCTTACAAATGACATCATCCAATAGAATAGGCCCCAGTCCTTGTCCATATCTGGCATTAGATACAGCTGTACTACGCCCCCTATAAAATAAATGCATTATACAGATTATCATAGTCATAACTCTACAAACGAGAAATATAAATACCTGCATATTTTATAAACTTTTTTTATGATCCTGGTAACAGTATGTATTGTATGCTGCATTTTAAAAAAAATTTATCTTAATATTTGCATAGAAACAATATTTTCACATTAGACCCTCTTACCTCTGAAAGCCTAACATATTACAGACTACTGCTGCAGCATTATTACTGAAAGAGTCATCACACACAGTTCCCCATGTGTTGTTATAGAAAATCTCAAGACGCCCATTAGCTGTGGAGGTTCCATTCACAAGGCGAACTGGAACTCGGGTCACTATGAAAAGAACAACCATCAGTTAGTCTTTGCTCACAATGTTGTGAGTATCTGTCTAATCTGTTCTTTATTAAGAATAGGTTTCATAACTTACAAGATCCACAGACCACTCCAACATCTTCATTGTGTCGACAGTTAGAAGTTCCCCAAGGGCGATGTCTACAGAATTGAATATTTGTTTCATTTCCTCTACAGATAACATTGTCCAACATTATCTGACCCGTTCCTTGTCCAAAGAATGCTTTAGGTCTTGGCTGGGCTCCTTGCCTTAAATATCAATACCTTCAAAACTTAATTCACTGTTTTGTGAAAAGAAAGATTTGCAAGAATCAAAATCAATAAACTTAATTTAATTAAGTTGCATTTTAACACCCTGATAGATATTTTTTAATTAAAGCCTTTGAATGAAAATCATTGTTTACTTATTAACTACATGAAATATCATACTGCATTAACACTTTTGTTCATCTCCAAATAAGACACTCACCATGGAAGTCCCATCATTTTACAAGCAACTTGAGCAGCAATGGTGTCAAAGTAATCGTCACAAACTGTTCCCCAGGCCCCCTGGTGGTAGACCTCTAATCGACCTTCATTCCTTGTTGTTCCCCCCACCAACCTTGCCCTGGTTGGCTGTGTGATACCAGCTACAAAAGGAAGCAGAAAGAACTGTTCAAATCAATCAATGATTAAAAATGTAATCAACTGACTATCAATCACATTTTGTTTACATTAGATTTAGATGTTTTTTCATGAGACTTTATCAATTGGAAAATGAAGTTCTTATAGATCCTTGTGACAAATACAAATGTAAACTGATTATCATACAGAGGATATATCCAAAATATCTTGCAAATAAAAAAAAAATTATTGAATCATAAAAATAAAATAAGTACTTGTGGTGTACATGTACAGTATTCTTTCTCTTTAAAAGTAAATATTCCTCCAATTCTTTTTTTTTTAAATTATATTAAAGACAAAGATTGACCTCTCACCTTTACAAATAACAGACACATCTTCAGAATGGTCACAGTTGTTATGTCCATATCCCCTGTGTCCACAGAACTGGATACCTTTTTCTGTCCCGGCACAATTTACATCATCTAGAAAGATCTGACCTGTTCCTTGTCCAAAGAAGGCACTTCCTTTAGCTGTGGCATTTGCCCTGAATGAGCAGAATATCATATAGATTCAGGGGTGGAAAATTGTTGTCTCAGCTTATAGATTACAAAGAAAAATTAATCATGCTCTTTTTATTAGTTTACTTAAATGTATTTGTTCATTAATGAATTAAACCTGTTTGCATGTAAAACATCCTTTTTTTTCATTTCTCTGTGATATCAATAGTAAATCACAAACCATCTCTATTTTATAAATACATGTAGTTTGTTACAACCTGAACAACTTCTTAAAGTACCTAAGGTAATAAATAATAAATTTGTAAGTCTAATTCTTACGCATTTAAGCCCAGCTGTTTACAGACAACTGTAGCCTCAGGAGTTCCAAAAGAATCATCACAAACAGTTCCCCATGTATTGTTAATGTTGACCTCAAGACGTCCTTGGTATCCCCCTGTCTGCCCATTGGCATCTACAAGTCGAATCTGCATCTGAGTTGTAGCTGAAAAGATCCAAAAAAAGGATTAAAGTAAACCCTTGTTTTTAAAAAGTCACATGAATTTGAATTTTACTTCCTTATATAAAAAAAATTGCTTACATCCATATAAAGAACATAGTACAAAGTCTTCTATGGGATTCATCAAAGCTTCTTCATAACTGAGATTTTCTCATAAACATGTTCTTTCTAAAGCAAGTTCAGTGCAAATGGTCCAATATCAATAATGACACACTTCCTTGTTAGAATAACTTACTGTCCTGACAGATGACTCCAGCATCCTCAGTGTGGTCACAGTTGTTCTGTCCCCACCCTGGGAAATTACAGTTTGCCAGGGTAGTCTCTGTCCCAACACATTTGACATCATCCATGAGGATCTGACCTGACCCTGGACCATACGGCGCTTTTACAACCCCCACTGCACCAGAGCTGTTTCAGAAACATTAATTAGATCAAAACAAATATTTTGGGGTTGTTTCTTTTAGAGAATTTTTCTTATTGGGACACATATTGACTATATAAGTGTGTATGCAAATAATTTATCTAATATACTATATGAAGCCACATACAATGGTAAATTCAGCATCCTGCATGCAACAGCAGCATTAGCATTGGACCACAGGTCATCACAAACTGTTCCCCATTGATTGTTGTACTGAATCTCAACTCGACCCTCCCTGTTTGTGGGACCACCAGCAAGACGTATTTGAATGGGAGGAACATTTGCTATAACATGATAAAAAATGTATCGAATGTACACAGTTTACTGAAACTTTATATGTAATGCAGCATTTAATATCTTGCCTAAATTGATTTAAAGCAATCACTTTACTTGTCAGGTTTATTTTTTACAAATCATAAAATCTAGTTACTGTACGTGTACTTAAAAAAGCGGGCTTCATATTTTAGCGGCTTTGGAGCAGACAACAAAGCGCTAATTAATAAATACCGCTAAAAATCATTTATTAGTAACAATACATGGCACGGACATGTGTAGCGCTAATTCATGGTTACGCCAACAACTCCATACCCAGTGATTGCGCTAAATTTTGAATACGCCAATTTATGTACATGTACAGTATCTTACAAATCCTGAATTATTTATCTATAAAAAGGTATCAAGTTATCTTATCTTGAAATCCTAACATCTTCAGCAGGATCTTTATTACACTCTTAGCATTTACAGGGCATCACATGTATTTTGATTAATACATATAATTTACTTTCCCTACTGGAATTTAGTCTAACATACTTGGGATACAGGAAATTGCAACATCCTCATCGTGTCCACAGTTGTTGACCCCCCATGGCTTGCGGGTGCACATCTGTATGGCAGTCTCATTTCCATTGCATTCAAGGTCATCCATCCATATGGGGCCTCTTCCCCCTCCAAAGGTAGACCCGGTCAATACTGTTCCTCCCCTGTTTATTAAAATTAACATGTAATATGTTTTGAATCATTGAACTGTGATGTACTTTTTTTTAATTCAAGTGAGGATCATTTTTTACATGTATGTTGGTATTACACACAAGTATTTGTTCAACAACAAAAAGTAAGGCCAAGCTAATACATGTTTACGAGTTGAATGTACTTTCAGTATTTTCATCATCTTTAATTGTCTACAAATACATATATTCTATTCTTTTCAGCATTAGCAATGAATCTCACTGATGCCTGTTAAATAACTTCATGCATATGACTTCCTTAAAGTTTACTAATCTGCAAAATAAACAGCACCCATGAATATCCACAACTACAATAACATAGTTCAGCCCATTGACAAACCTTGGGAATCCAAGCTGATGACAAATTACATTGGCCTCTCTTCTGTCAAAACTATCGTCACAAATTGTTCCCCAGATTCCAAACACCTGGATTTCTACTCGTCCTTGATTTTTATTTAGTCCCCCAGCAAGCCTTACTTGTACGTTTGATGCTGGAATCAAAATATCATCTTTTCATTTCTCAGAGACATCTCTAAATGTTAGTAGTACACTGTAAACCAACTTTTATTCACGTGCAAGAAATTTCCATGAGTTTCGTAACCTTGTTTAACTTGCAAAATATCTATCGCCACGAAACATTTATTTTGCAGTGTCTTTAAATCACAAAATATTTATTGCCACAAAACATATTTATTTTGCAGTCCGTAAAATTAGTCATGATCTTAGACTGATTTCATACTGATGAATCAGGAATAAAAGATAACATGAATAATAGTTGGTTTACAGTACTGTATAATGGATAGTTTCTAAGGTAAGAACTGGGCAACAGGATGAAGATATCACTTATATTTCTTATTTTTCATATTTAACATTCCAATACATCACTTATAATTAAAAGATAAAAGAGAAAAAAAAAATTTGCCATTTCAAAGATTGTAATTTCAGACAGAGCAGCAAAAATCCAAAATAATATCACACACAGAGAAATCATCTATCAAATAATAGTTACTTCCATCTCTTCTTAACATTGGATATCATTTGGTAAAGTACTTACGACCAGAAAGACAGAGGACCCCAGCATCTTCTGAGTGGTCACAATTATTGGTTCCGAAAGGTTTGTGATCACAAGCTCCAAGACCTGTCTCATTTCCTAAGCACTTAACATCATCTAATAAAATGGGCCCAGGTCCAGAACCAAACAGGGCATTTCCAACAGGCACAGCAGTGGCACTAAAATTTTCACAAAACCAGAAGTCTCTGATGAGACTGTAGCTCTACTGGTCTGTTTGTATAACAAAAGAAAAGTAGCACTTGGATTTGAAACATTGCAACATGCAACAATAAATAGAATTATGTATCTTAATGTAGTCTACTTCTGTGCCAAGTTATATTGAAATCAAATGAAAACTGTAGGAGGAGTAGCGTTTTGAAAGTATTTCACGGAAATTTCTATTTTTAGTAACCATGATAACACCATTCACCCAAATAAAAAAAAACAGAAATACATATTATGTATCGTAGTGTATTCTAACTGTGTGCCAAATTAGATTGAAATCAGACCAAAATTGTAGGAGGAGTAGCGTTTAATGGGAATTTCACAAAAATTTCTACTTTAAGTAACCATGGCAACACTGTTCATCGAATTCAAAAACCAATCCAATAAATTATGTATCTTAGTATAGTCTCCTTGTATGCCTAATTATATTAAAAGCAGACTAAAACTGTAGCAGGAGTAGTGTTTTAAAGGGATTTCACAGAAATTTCTATTTTTAGTAACCATGGCAACACCGTCCATCGAAATCAAAAACCGATGCACTAAATTATGTATCTTAGTGTAGTCTACCTGTGTGCCAAGTTATATTGAAATCGGACCAAAACTGTAGGAGGAGTAGCGTTTTAAAGGAATTACACAGAAATTTCTATTTTTAGTAACCATGGCAACACCGTCCATGGAAATCAAACACCTATGCACTAAATTATGTATCTTAGTGTTGTCTACTTGTAAGCCAAGTTATATTGAAATTGGACAAAAACTGTAGGAGAAGTAGCGTTTTAAAGGAATTTCACAGAAATTTCTATTTTTAGTAACCATGGCAACACCGTCCATCAAAATCAAAAACCGATGCACTAAATTATGTATCTTAGTGTAGTCTACTTGTGTGCCAAGTTATATTGAAATCGGATCAAAACTGTAGGAGGAGTAGCGTTTTAAAGGAATTTCACAGAAATTTCTATTTTTGGTAACCATGGCAACACCGTCCATCAAAATCAAAAACCGATGCACTAAATTATGTATCTTAGTGTTGTCTACTTGTGTGCCAAGTTATATTGAAATCGGACCAAAACTGTAGGAGGAGTAGCGTTTTAAAGGAATTTCACAGAAATTTCTATTTTTAGTAACCATGGCAACACCGTCCATCGAAATCAAAAACCGATGCACTAAATTATGTATCTTAGTGTAGTCTACTTGTGTGCCAAGTTGTATTGAAATCGGACCAAAACTGTAGGAGGAGTAGCGTTTTGAAAAATTGTTTACAGACAGACGGACAGACAGACAGACAGACAGACAGACAGACGGACGGACGACGGACACCTTACTATCGCATAAGCTCTTCTGGTCTCTGACCAGTAGAGCTAAAAATGACATGACTGATAAAATTCATTGTCTCCACCAAACTGTTAAAATTAGGGGCATTTAAATATGCTTCACTTTTCAATCTATTCTCAAACACCTTTGTGCTAATTTTTTTTAAAATTAATTTGTTGATATATTTAAAAAAAAAAAAGAACTTCTTATTTTTAATAATTAGTTTGAGAAGAAAGTAAGTTTAATGTCCAGATATATATGTCATTATAACTGACAAGCTGGATCAGGCCAAGATAAATAAATTGTGTGTTTCCTATTCCAACCTGAGAAAAAATAGGGTAGGTAGGTAGGGAAAACATTTTATTTCATTTTAATATTTTATTGGCAAGCACGCTACCATTTTTCCCTGGAGAAATTGTTGTCAAAACATTTCTGATTAATGTGTATAGAATATGCATTTTCTGAAACACAGAAGTGAACGAGATAAGGATTTCTAATACTGAAACTGGAATAGTTTACTCCTGGAAATTTATCTGCTGATAAATTTTTTAGGATCGGCTAATATATTTTAGGGTCGGTCGGGGAACCGGAAACACACAATTCATTTATCTAGGCCTCAGGTCTCATTGACAGGGATGGATCATCAGATCAAGCTACATGTAAATGCTTTACATGTTGTACCTGTCAACAATCCATATTCCAGTTCTTGTTATAATGACAAATTTATAATAAACCCTTCTATTATTACCAGTAAAGGGACCAAAAAAGTTTGGGGATCAATTGTACAAAGTTTATCTATTAAAAAAAATGATTTTTTTTATGGGCAAAAAAAACTTTATCACAGTAATGACAGTATACTGCACGAGTGGTGAAATGGATCCAGAAAACCACGCTGTGGTGATCCAGAAAGTCAGATCATACAGTCATATAATAGTGTAAATTCCACAGTAAAATTGAATGATATTAGTGGGTATCCAGTAATTAGCAAAAGAAATATTTTTAAGTAATAATTCAACATTATTATGAATGAAAAAATATTTCTAATGATACATGTACTTTGAAAAAAAAAAATTCCCTCCATATTTACCTTGTTTGTCCCAGATTATTGCAGACTACCCTGGCTGACTTGTCATTCCATTCATCGTCACAGATCGTACCCCACGTGTTGTTGACTTGGATTTCTACTCGGCCACTGTAAGCGTTAACACTAGAGCCGTTCACCACTCGTAGAGGAATGTTTGCCACCTGACCTGTTGTACATGTAATACCATTACAAACGACTATTTTATGTATATAAGAGAAATAATTATCTATGAATAGCTGAGAATGATGAAAAGTTTAAATCAGTATCATGTAGGGGCTTGGGTTTCATTTACCACAAGTTTATACCTCAGTGAATAAATAACAAAATACAGATCTTGTATATATCCCCTCCATTTGTTTTAACAAAAATATGTACTCTTATACTGCAATCATTCAAAAATGATAATCTTTCAAACTATTTCTCAAATTCTGCGATATCTGACCTATCTGAAGGATTAACACAGTGGACATCAACCATGAGGACAACAATTCTGTGAATATTTTATCTCTGCATAAGTTTTTAAAAGTTTTAAATTAATTAATTAACGACAGGTTAAGATGCTTTACCTGCATTACAGTCCACTCCAACATCTTCTCTGTGATCACAGTTCTGTACACCCCACGGTTTGAGGCGACAGTTCAGTAGAGAGTTCTCATTACCCAAACATGTCACATCATCAAGCCAGATAGGGCCTGTTCCTTGGCCAAAATAAGCTGAGGACCTGGCCACCACAAAACTGTTACTGAAAAAAATAATAACAGGAAACTTTAATTGCAGGAAACACCTACAGTCAAATCTTGTTATCTCAAACTCTATGGGGCTGAGAAAAAAAAACTTCAAGAGATCCAAGGATACAAGATATTGAGGTAAAATACACTGTACATTAATAAAAAGTGGATGGATTCAAAACGCTTCATTCACCATATTTAAGATATCTAAGATATTGATGTTCCAGATACTGAAATTTAATTTTATATGTTAAGTACTTGCATTTTTCAAAAACATTAAGCATAGATAAATAAGCTTTTAGAAGAAAAAGTGAACTTTAATAATCTGCATGACCAGTATTTAAAAGGCCATTTTATGTAAGATGCTTTCAATATCAGTCAAGTTCTCTCACCTAGTGTACAAACGCAACATTTTACACACCACGACAGCAGCATTTCTGTCAAAATGATCATCACAAATTGTTCCCCAGGTGTTATTGTGTAGAATCTCTACCCTACCTCTATAACCACCAACCCCTGTTGAGCTTCTTAATCGAATGGTCTGAGCTAAAATTAAAATAAAAAACATGAAACAGTATGAATTAAAATGTACCTGAGAGTTTCAAAACAAATGAAAAGATGGGAAGCCAAGGCTCAGTTAAAAACAAGCTAAATTGCATCCATGCATAGCAAAGTTAAAAAACTGGACCAGACAATTTTCAAAAACAGTGTAGATGCTGTTGTGTCACATGAAAAAAATATGAGAACATGGTATCATATTTATAAAATTTGTGAGGTCGTAATGGAATCATCATATATAATTTAAATTCTTGAAATTGAATTTGAACATTTTTTTATGAAATCTAAATGAATAAAATTAAACTGTGTCATTTTATTTTTCACACTTTTTAAGGGCAAGTAAAAGTGATTCAGACAAGTGAAAGTTTGCCATTCATATTAGCCCAGTTTAGGTTAGTGCTGAACAAAGTTTTTGATGCACACTGAACAGCTGATTCGTGCTAGCCTAAAATCATAGGGCAGAGTTCTTGAAATCTTTTTTTTCCCGCTGTCAGTCATTTGGACTGACTGCAATGTGAAGATTATCAGTCCAGATAGATTTCTATCAGTCCAAAAAAAAAATCAATAAAAAGATGAAAACTGTATTTGAATTTTATAATCCATATATTTTGCACCCTGCGTAAATACACTCTGTACATTTCATGCCGATTTGATCGTTGTATAACAATTTTCATTGAATTCTCGTGGGGGTCGATTTTCTTTATAAGTATTACACGCCGGGAGCAAGTCCCTGTGATTTACTTGATTAAAATCCATCACTCATATAAACACTCTCCAGTATGTCTAGCACCAGGGACCAATATACTAGTATATACGTTCCTGCTAGTACGAATGATAAACAGCACAGCTTTTAAAAATATTTACCGATATTGGGCAAATAAACTGGGAAAAGTGATGTAGATTAATCGAACAGCTTGATTTTCCCGCAATTCTTTCACCAGAAATAGGCAACGGTGAAGAAAAGAGAGAATATTTACGTAGAGGATAACATTTTCCGGATTCATTTTTCAAAAATTGACATTGATCAGCTGTTGATCGATACCATTTATGGCGAAACTTAAAAGAATGTAATGGCCTGAGTGAGTGACCTGGTACTTCACTGATTAGAATCAGACATCTATGTCATGTATATACATGTATGATTATGATCCTTATCAAAGGGTCAATCCGGATATGAGATAAAAATAGGAAGACTGAGGACATTTACTACCCTAATATGTTGCAAAGTAATTGTAGAAAAAAATAAATTAAGTTCCTGATAATCTATTATCTATATCTATGACAGATTCAAACCAAATCTGTTACCTATCAGCTACATTTTTGAAAACTAATTACGATCAAGGTAACAGAAAAAAAGAGCTCTAGCTCATTGGCCTATACTTTATGATACGAGTGAGCAGCATTTCATCAGACTCCGTATATTTTATGTTTATGTACATGCATATTGAACATATAGTCATTTCCCTTCCTCAGCATAAAGCAAAAATCTTGTTTCCAGAACTAAAGTTGAGAAGATAAACTTTCATTTCACCGACTACTATAACCGGTATATATTTTTTTATGGTAATGTAATTGGAGAGGGCACAAGAGTTGAATATAGATACATTCTGAATACATTTAGCATCATTGTCTATTAATCGTGAATTTACTGGTGAATATTTTGAAAGACAAGATCTTAGTTTGGTATTTTATAACGATGGTGTCTACAATGAATAACATCTGTTATGTGAAGATTTATTAAAGTAATGCATTATGTTCAAATCAAATTTTCTAGATAAACAGAGAAGAACAACTATATTACATAATACATGTGATTAATATTTCAAGTTTTCTTCTTTAAACAATGAAATTACAGAATGATGAATATATTCATAAGGGGAAAATATCCGATTAAAAAATTTTAGTGTGTACGACATTTGGCGGAAATTGATTTTTAAACAAAATAGCGTAGATTTGATTTAGCACATTTCTTAATGTTCTTAGTTATGTGTACAAGCAACCATTGGCTTTGTACTTGAATTAGCGGAAGTTACTTTCTGCCAAAGGTGCTAAAAAGAATACACAGTAATACATGTATGTAATGCGATTGCAGTATTTAAGGTCGCCCGATCCTCAGGTCCTGAAAAATTGAAAATTATCACAAAAATGTCTTTGAATTCTATGAATTCTTACAGTAATGTGTATTTACCCATGGTATTTCTTCAAAGTTCATCATTATAGTTAATCATATTATATAGGGAAAATTATCAAATCTCAAATATATTTTCAGGAAATGCAAATAAAAGCACCCTGTATGCATTTTCTAATTGAAAATTGATCAACAAATATATATTTTAGGATTAAAAAAATTATAGGTATCCAGGCATTTGAAGAAAACTGCATGTTCTCTAATACTCATACGGTACTTTAGTTCTATTTATTACATCAATTGTTATGTAATATACATATAGTGTAAAACCTTTGTGCTATCATTGTAAGACATCACAGATCACAAATCACTTCAAACTCATATCATGCTAATAAATATTGGTATCTAAGGCTAGTTGGAAGGAAATTTGATTTCTCAAAAATTGTATTTATTTTTAAAGTGTTACAGGGTACAAATGTTAACTTTTTACAAGACCGTTTCTGAGACTTTGAACAAAGAACCTTGAATCATATTGAGATGCATGAAACGAAAATTGTTGCACGAAAAAATTTCAATTGCAAGCTTCATTTTGAAACTTTTTAAATTAAATAATAATTTCAAGAGTTATCCTTCCTGGCTGAGGAGGGATTTCCTGAAAATGTGAAAATCAACAAAAGCTGTAAACATTTCTTATTTTTCAAAGTATAGTTTTCCCTATATGATATTGACGATATCGAATTTTAACCTAAATTTTTGACTCTGCGGTCAATGATAACTCAAAAATGTGATAACTTGACCTTTGCAGGTAGAGGGTGTTCCTGATAATAAACGTAAATCCCATTACAAAGTGAAATGGAATGAATTTTAAGATTTAATTACTATATCAGACTAATAAACATCGTATTTTTTATTCTTAGTTGTTTACTTGATAGTCATCTCCAATAATTCGTTATGGATGCATTTGATAATTAACTCGCTGAGCATTATACTGTATAGAATTGGGGAGGGGGGCTATCAGTGGTTAAATATAATGTTAAAATAGCTATATCACTACAAAGTAGATTCATAGGTATATTACTCGTATAATACTAAGTTATTATACAGAGAGAAAGATATGTATATGACCAGAGATAAAATTTATTAAGACTAATTCTGAAAATAAAGGGTACACTTTTTTATCCTCTCCAAATATTCTTCTATTCCTCAGTCTGTTTATAGAGATCCAACTCAAAAAAAGCTTTCGTCTAAAAAAAGTTCATCTTCACCAATGATTTATCTCAATTTGTACAGTATTTTACCTAAATATGCTTTAATTTCTTTTTAATCTCTATTAAAAAATGAAAAAAAATTGTGATATTTGTGGAGAAAATCCGAGGATCATGCTACCTTGAAGAAAGTTGAACATGCTATTTATTGTACGTATAGTCTTCAAAAGTGAATCGATGTTCCTTGCGTGGAATATGGAAATATATAAAGGTGGAGGCCTCGTGACTTTGCCAAGCACAAATTTGTGATTGACTCAGAAAATGATTATACGATAAACTAGGCTGCCCTGGGCTACCTTCTTAGTACTTCTAAATTATACCAAGATACACCTCCTTTCTTTACTCCTATTTCAATCGAAAGTATATATCCTAAAAGTCAAAGAAACCTCCATTCTAATCTTACATGGGGAATCTTACTTGTTGATTATATATATCACTTACCTGTTGATGTATAAACGAAGCATAGCAGCATCAAACAGCAGACTGTTAGAAATTTAGTCAAATTTCTTGGAAAAGTCATTATTATATAAATATAATAATTCGAGATTCTTAGTGAGTATTCACAAGTCCCCCTGTCACAGTGTCTTTCTCAGGCACACAGACTGAAAGACATTGGATTTTCTTTCATCTGATGTTCCCTCAAAAAGTTATCCGTTAAATTATAAAATAAAAATGAAGAGGGGCTTGATTGCCAAACTAATCACGAGGATGAGGCCCAGTAAGAAGGTACGGCCAGGTACTGTTATCTGGTAAACGTGTGTGCAAAGGTTGGACGGGAAACGCATTTTATCTGCACCTAATCTACCCTGATCTATGTAATATCAATTCATATCCATGGTAGATATTGGCTTATGTACCTGTATAGCTGATTTTTTTCCTTTTTGCTTTTAAAATTCAAAAGTTCCATGGATTTACTATTTATCCGTTCTTTTTAATTCTTTTTCGTGTTCGAAACGACTTCTTCTTAACTTTCTGCGTGAGTCTAACTAGGGATGTTGAATCCGGCTTGCTTCGCAGCATCCTCATGTTTTATGTTGAATAATCGAGAAATATGTCCGATTCAATACAACACCCCATCTGGACAAAGCTTGTATCCGAACTTTTCTTATAAATGTTTAATGTACATCTATGTTTCATTTGTATTAAATGCATGAAATTGCATGTTATATTATACAGTATATAAGGACATATCTTATATTTTGTATATTTTATTATATTATGTCATATATTATAATATCATTTATATAATGAAATAAAATTAAGTTAAAATAATATGTATTTATTATCAAGGAAAACAACGCAAGGATTCCGCTCTCAGTGTAATCATACTATCCTTCTAGTAAATACCTCCGTGCGACTTACACCGTTTGTTGATGATACAGCATAGAGTAAACAAACACTCATACCAGTTTCATGTTCTAGTATTTATAGGGATATCGTTCGTATTAGTCTTCTTGTGTATTTTCTAAGAAATGGGTTTTAAATTGCAGATTCGGTTGATGTTGAGTGATATAGTACGTATTATCATGCCTTTTGACATTGTGATTTATATTGAAAATATCATTAATGAATGTAAAAATATAATTATATATATCCTCGAGAAATTCGACAATCTGATTATCCGTTACGGGAGGATGATGTTAAACAAAACCATGAATGTCGACATGCCTCAAATGAGCAAACGTGACATAGATCTAATTCTGAGGAAACTATCAAACCGTCTGTGGTTTTGAGTCGCAAATGAAATGTCAATATCTGTGTTCTGTAGGTATTTTTATTTTGATTTTTTATAATACTGTGATACAGACGTCACAATGCATTTTTAAATAAACGTAATTTCTTGCTTTCTTTTTTTCCTTTCTCTTCTTTTTTTTAATGAGACTTGGGTTTTATTAATATCAGAATAACAAGAATTCTGGCGAAGTATTCTTTTCTATGCCAAGTAGTCCCCCAATCAAATACCGGGGTATATTCAAAAAGATTCTGGCCAATTTACTTTGATCATACTATAATGATACCTAATAACTTCAACATATTTAATTATGTGATAAGAATTATTGCTGAAAATATACTGAAAACATAATGAATTTCAATACTTTCTTATATAAAACATTCTGTTTAAAAGGGAAACATTTATAGCTGGTGAAGAAAATGCAGAATATACGATAAACATGGGTGACATGTTTGACGAGTACTTATCAATATTTGTATGAATTAATCTGCTACCACACACCTGTGTCAGGGTCAATCAATCTAAATCAGATAATAATAGTTAACTGTACCAAACCCGGATTATGGAATTGATATTCGTTAAGTCATCCAGGTCAATGCAGTTTTATAAATTAGGTATGTTATTTTAAATAAACTAAGAGCGCATAAGAACTGAATTTTTCTATAAAAGGAGATATAACTCAAAGGTTTTTTTTGTTTTTAACTAAATACCGCCCAATATAATACTATTTTCAAGATTATTCAAGCGATAAAATTTTAAAATTTTATCAATTTCGTCAAAGGATTAAAAAAATATATACACATTTTGAAAGGAAATATTACAAATTAAGTTCATTTATCATTTATCTGGTCAATGTGAACTGATTACACAGGACCGCCTCCAGCATGTGTGTCATGTATACCTTTACTCATTGAGCCATCTGTATAGGAAAAACCGCTTCCCTTTTCGAAACCCCCGGTGTTTGACCCAAATCCATTTTTAGAACCGTCCCCAGCTCCGCCAAATGCCGTTGAACTTGAACTGCTTCCACCGAAACCACCCGAACCAAACCCACCTGAGTTTGTACCACTTGAACTTCCACCAAAACCCCCTGATCCAAAGCCACCCGAACCACTTCCAGTTGAGCTTCCACCGAATCCACCTGATCCAAATCCACCTGCACTTGTGCCACCAAACCCACCCGAATCACTTCCGCTTGTACTTCCACCAAAACCGCCGGAACCAAAGCCACCTGAACCACTTCCACCGAACCCCCCTGACCCAAATCCACTCGAACCACCATTTAATCCTCCTGAGCTAGAGCCAGTGGACCCACTACTGCCAAACCCCATAGCTGAGCCACCCCCGCTATTTCCAAAAGAGGAAGCACTTCCGCCTGCCGTGGTACTAGCACCTCCTCCCGAGGTTACTGCACTGCTTCCACCTATTCCTGAGCTTGACGGAGAAAATCCTCCAATATTTGAGACGTTACCAAGACTATTTCCAGTAAAACTTCCGACAAATCCATTAAGCGTTGATCCATCATCTCCTTTACTTGCCCCTACATTGGCCCCCGAGCCGGAAATACCAAGTTTACTTCCTACGCTGCTTACTACACCAGAGGATCCTCCTGTGCTTCCTCCTACACTACTGCCACTTACTCCAGGACCCCCGGGTACAGATGCAGCTGTGTTGTAACCCTTAATTCCATCAGCAAAACTACCACCCTTTGGCATTCCTGAGCCAAAACTGGCATCCAGTAGGCTTGGCCTAATAAAACCACTACCAGGTTTGTTCAAAGTGTTGCTACTAAATGCACCGAATCCAGTAGAAGCACTCTGACTTCCAAAATTATTACTGTAATCAAAGCGACCATTTCCTGTGCCAGGCCCATTGCTAGTTGAATAAGAGGTTGGAGTTTTGCTTAAGGTAGTATTTCCTGAAGATGAACCAAATCCTGAAGATAATGAGCCTGCCCCCGAGCTTCCGCCTGAAAAAGATGACCCAAATCCAGACGCAGATCCAAAACCAGAACTAGATGATGACGATCCACTTCCCAGTCCATTTGTCGATCCTTGCGATGTAGATGAAGTTCCAAATCCAGATCCTGCAGATGAGGAACCAGAACCTCCAATCCCATTCGTTGACCCAGACGACGCTGAACCAAGTGTACTCCCTGCGGAACCCATTCCAAATCCACCTGTTGATGAACCTGAACCTCCAGATCCTGCACTAAAACTTCCTGTTCCTCCTGCAGAGCCCATTCCAAATCCACTCGACCCAACACCGAAAGAGGATGACCCCACTCCGAAATTGCCAGAACTACCCATTCCGGTTCCGCTAGAAGATGTATTTCCAGAATTCGTTCCCATTCCGAAGCTTCCAACATTAAAACCATTGCTACCAGATGAACTCGATCCCATATTTGTTGCGGAAGGTGAACTGGATCCAGTATTAGAACCAGTGCCTGATCCAATTCCAAATCCTGATGCAGCACTAGAACCTGCAGATGTTCCGGAGGATGCAGACCCAGTCCCTGACGATGTACCTGATCCAGTTAAGGTGGATCCCATTCCAAAGCCAGACGCTGCACCAGAACCCCCAAATGATCCTGCATTAAACCCTGAGCCTGTTGATGAAGATCCGGATCCAAAAGATCCTGACCCAAATCCTCCAGATACTGAGGTACTTCCTAATGACCCAGTTCCAGACGAAGCCCCGAAACCAAAGCTTCCAGATGAACCAAATCCGGAGCCCATATTACTTCCAGAACCGAAATTGCCAAAAGATCCGCCAGTGAAACCACTTGAAGATTGTCCCATCATTGAATTGAATTGATTTGGATTGAAGCTCACAGCACCCAGTGACCCAGTCCCACTCCCTGTAAGGGTACCAGGACTGAACCCACCGCTAGCAAGGGACGTGAATGATCCTGTAATTAAATTTAAATGAATTCGTATATACATGTATTAAGTGTACAAATTCTTCATTTGCATTCCACTTTCAGTTTACAACTATCCTTAAATGAGATGGAAGAGATTCAATTTTTACCCCCATTGAAACCATTATTGAAACATCGTCATGTTTTGAATGCTACTGGCTTTCCACAAAATCTATTTAAAAATAACTTTCATAACAATAAAGTTTGTTTTTAAAATAAAATTTGTGGAAAGACACTACCATAAATCCAAATCTGCAACTACTGTTTACAAAGTTTCTCTTGAATTCAAGGTGTTAATTTGATTTTTTTTTAATTTAAAATACCTGAGGACGAAGACGTCCCGGAAGTCTGTCGTAGATGTCGCTGTAACATTCGTCGACCAAGGAATTCATCTTGTGAGAGCCGCTTTGAATCTAATTTCAAAATTTAAATGTATTATCCACATTCAAATCTTGTATATATTTCTCATGCCATTTTTTATAATCCTGCAATTTTTATTCTTCTATTTGCTCATATATCTGTAGAGAAAGAGCGAGACAACACGTTTTCACAGATGCTTTTGTTTGACATTCCTTAATATGTATTACATATGTACCATTTGCCATTCTCTGTCGTAATACTTTTTACACATTTATATAAATCAGTATAAATTTCTTATTTAATAAAATTCATATGGAAAGATATATGGTTTTGTTTGTACAATGCCTCTGATGCCACATGATACTAATTGCGATTACAAGACTTAACGGAAAACAAATTGTCCTTGGAAGTTTTTAGCCTCTGTATATGTTACAAAACAATAACGGTGTCTCACCACAAACATTTCCCAGGGCCAAGAAAATGTAAATATATATAGTCACCATTGTGGCGGAAATATATCCCGAGTTATTGTCAACAGCATATAACAGTGTTAAGGTTGATAAGGCACAGAATTACTTATCACTCCCAAAATCCTCTCGAACATATCTTATAAATAAGAACTTATTAGCTTTAAAAAAGGTTAAATATACACTGAAATGGCGTGTCAAGACATAAAACAGCCAGATACTGATTCCATATTGGAACACATACTTTCTAATCAAACAACTGATGGCGTAAGCAACATTTTATTTGTTATTCATCATCTATGAAGCTGTAGTGACAAAATATTGAATGAATGAAGTAAATGAGAGAGCTGATGCAGATATCAATGTTTGGTTTTCTTTCTTTAAGCCATAAATCCCATGCCAAATCCGTCAAAAAGATATCCCGATAAACTAGAAAATAAATACATAAATAAAATAATTGTAAATGTTTAGCATTTGTGATATTCTCCACCATTAATTCATAATAACAATTTGAAAGAAAAAAAGATATATTTTACTTACAAGTAATCGTTCACAGTGAAAGAATTTGAACCTGAAAAGTAAATTTTTCAGCATATCAATAAAAACGTAATCGATTGTACAAAAATATCATGGAAAATTGATGCAATAGTTAAACTACTCTTTCTGTTTGTATTCAGTACCCGTATTTCCGGTGTTTGCTGCATTTCCGCTAAACATGGCCGTCCAGTCAACAGGAGGCTGCGTCACAGTCTCCGTAAAAACCGTATCTGTTGCTGCAGTGGCTTTACCCTGTTGTTGCTGTAACATCTTTGCTTGCAGCAACATTTGCAGTTGCTGTTTTTGTAATCCTCCGATTCCGGGAAGTTGTATACCTGTGGGTTTGGCAGGCTGTATACTAGGTGTCTCTGAAAATGATATTTCAAATGTTCTTTACAAAAAAAATTCGATATATTTACGTGCAAAATTTGATAACTATAGTATCACAATTTTGCATATGAAATGTAATTTTTTTTTTGTAATGAACGCAAGCACTAGGGAACAGTGTGGGGACGTTACGGCAATACATCAATGTACATGTGTCGTATATATGAAAGATTCAACGATACGCATATCGATACACCATTCCAACATTATTGATAACTATAATTTAGTCTGAAACACACACACACACACACACACACACACACACACACACACACATATATATATATATATATATATATATATATATATATATATATAAATATCTTTATTTTATAATCCAAAGTATTTCCCCATATGTGTGTGTGTTTATCTGATAAACAAGAAAAATCAAGGAATATTACACATGGAACTCATCCACACATATATCACTCACCCGCACACATGTTACATTTCTTCCCTTTGCATCTGGACAGTCGGACACATGTCTCTGTCCCAGCCTTGCATGGAGGATCCTATAAAAGGACAAAATGTTCAATTTGAAATTGAACGCCTCATCTCACTTGTTACCACTAATTTTGATACTATATTGATCAGCTGGTATCTGAACAAATCAAAGTACAAGTTGGTTGCTTGTATATTTACATTTAAAAATAGGATAGAAATATCTATAGTAAAATCCGGTTATCGCGAACACGCTTATAATGAAATCCACGCTTACAACGGAGTGATTTTCATTCCCTGTAGTTTTAAACATATCATGAACTTTATGGATATATAACGAATCAGATATAAGAGGGTTTTACTGTACTCATAACCTGGGAGGATACTCTACATACTACAGTATAAGCCATGTTGTTCTGTAAATATACATACACATTCTGCCACTGTGGATTCCTGGCATAATACACACGTGACACACAGTATGGCAACTGTAATCTAAAACAAATCAATTGTGGTCAATCAATCAATGTTTTTTATTGACTAGAAAGATCAAATTTTAAAAACACATTGAAATATAATTATTATGTTTGTAATCAGTAAATGCTCACATAAAGATATATATTTCAATGAGAGCAGATTTACGCTTAATTCATTGAGATAAGGAAGAGTTGGGGACAAAAACAATCATTGATGTCACAAGATTTTGTGTCACAATTAGAAAGAGCACTATCGCAGGCAAACAAACAACATAATTTTAGACTTTTTATGGCTTGAGAAGTGAACGAAAGTTATACCAATACACAAGTTTTTTGAAGAAGTTTTTTTTAATTCATATATTTTATTTCTGAAGAAAATTGCTGGGTTACAGATTTCTTTGTTTTGAATAATAAAATAGGAATAAATTATGTATGCAACATGATACATGTCTATATCATAGTAAATGAAATAACGATAGGATCAAGTCTTGTACGTTTATAGTTATAATGAAAGAGTACAATAGATATATCAGTCGGATATAGTTAAAGGTCGACCAGGGCGTCAAAATGCTGGGAGACAATGTCTTAAAGTAGCCACTGTCCTAGTGCCTTTTATTAATGAGGGCCAGGTTATTATTTTCTCTCTGACACATATTTGAGGAAAACTGACACATATATTACAGTTTGGACAGCATTCATCGTGCAGTTTTAGCCGTAGAACAAGGATATGATAAATACACTTGAATTGAAACTGGACACAAGAAAATTACTCGTTTTTAAAAAGAAATGTTTAAGTAAAATTAAATACGCTAAAGATAAGAACACCCATACTGCACATGTTTTTGTAAGGTTTATTAGAAAGTTAAGAACAATTCGTAACCATTTCTTATGTCATAGACAACATTTTCACATGCACCTGTCTAAAAGCATATATCACATATTAAGAAAAAATATGTGAACTGGTCTGCAAATATTCTTGATTCTTATCTAGTAGCAACGCTGGGTGAAGTTTGAAGATAAGTTGATACTATAACTAAGACTCAAATGATTCCTCTTTTTATGAGAAGAAACATAAGATAAATGTTCTTATTGAAGAACTTATTGCAAAAGCGAATGTATTTCTAACATAATATGAAGCAAAAACTCACCACTATTTGAGTCCTCATGATGTTTGGTTTCTAATTGTTATCCAGTATGTTTGGCATTTATGGATGAGTGTTTTATGATGGCCATGGTCCCGCCTCTTCCTCGCTTTGCCGGACAGGGCGAGAAGACTGGCCACACGTACATAAATCACACAGCCTTGTCTTGTTTCCTGCAATTGAAGACCGTGATACGTGTTAACAAGAAACATAATATTTAGTCAGCTGTCAATATCTTATGCTCAACTTTCACAGATTCCTTATTTTCTTTAAGTCATTGTGTTTCTCAGTTATAGATATTCCAAGCCATAAATCATCCTAACAATATTTCCTAGTATATACTGCGAGAAAATGTACTGAATCGCTCTTACTGTTGATTTAGGACTCTCTATACACTAATGATTTTTTTTTTTGGACTTTGGTAAAAAGTGCGTAGTAAAACGAGTTGATTTTTTTTATTTTCAAAACAGGTAACCTTTCATTTGCTCTCTGAAAAAAAAAAATCAAAGACAAGAGAGTATTTTAAAAAATGAATATGTAAAGTTGCAACATTACACAAATCTTGTGGTTGTAGTTGATAAAACTTTTCATTCGAACACTTGCTATTCATACACTGCATACTAGTGAGGCATATTCTCAAACTTTTATTTTCAATAATTGTCAATTTCGTTATTTATAAGTGAAATCTTGTTATTTAAATTCGGAAAGTTAATATTCATATTCAAAAACTTGATATTAATATGCAAAAATTTGTGATTCATATTCGATGATCTTGTGATTTATTTGCGATATATGATTAATATGCTAAAAGTTTATATTCATATTAAAAAAACATGTTATTTATATGCAAAAATGTTATTAATATATGATAATATAGTGATTTATATTTAATAATCATGTCATTTATATGCAAAAAGCTCAAACTCATATTCGTAAAACTTATTTATGTGCAAAACTTGTAATTTATACGCAAAACCTTGTGATTCATATTCATTACCCCAGTGATTTATATGCAAAACGCACGTTTTTGCATATAAATAACAAATGTGATTCATATTCAATAATCTTGGGATTTATATGCAATAATTTTATGATTTATATTGAATACTGATAGCAAGATTTGGAATAAAAATCATAAAATCATCTCAGATTAAGCACAAAATTTTCAAATATTTGAATCACAAGTTTTTTTGCATATAAATGACGTTTTCAAATATGAATATCAACTTTTTGGCATATAAATCACAGGATTATCGAATGTAAATCATGAGAGTATAAAAAAATGAGTCACAAGATTTTGCATATACATAAGTTATAAATATGAATATTTTTTTTGAATATAAATCACAAGATTTTGCATATAAATCACAAGATTATTGGATAAAACTCAAAAGTTTATTGAATATGTATTATAAGCTTTTGCAAATGAATTTGGGAATATGAATATAATTTTTTAAAAGGCAAATAGCAGATTTCGCACATGTATCAAAGTTTAATATGAATAAGAATTATTGCTTAGAAATTACGATATATAATTATGATCTCTTGATTTTGAATTATGATAAGAAATCCGATAGTGTTTAATAGAATGAGGTCTTTTAGCATGTTATATATAATTGGAAACAAATAAGAATCCAAAGGATGTAACAAAATGTAATAATACGCCAAACTAATTCTGTTAGATAAGTTCATGGGTATATTATACGCCGATAAAGCTCTTATTTTATCCTTCGCTTTAATGCTGAAAAACCACTTTAATTTAAATAGATATTTCTTTTCTCACAACATATCTAATGTTGTATAAAGTACAGATATTTTTTTAAACTCAGCGATGTCTGTATGACACAAATAAATTTCTATAGGAAGAAAACCACATGAGAAATACACTTTTATTATTTTCCGGTTGTCGTTCGTTGAATAGGTAACAATTTGGCTGGTGGTGCCCACAATTGTTTTGCCACCATTTCATCGGTCAATTGTGCTACTTCAAAATTAAGAAATGGCAACTCGCGGACAACCACGTCATTTACTTCGGTAACTCCGAAAACAAATGAATTCTAATTCCATAAGGTTTATATTTCATAAATAATTCGTCTGAATATTTAGAAATCTAAACGTAATCCTAGCGATTAAACTTTCCCTACTTCAGACAATATATCTTCGACAAAGTTATTCGCCAGACTTTAATTTAAAATTTCTATAGAGCGAGAATTACAATTATGCACACGATTACGAATGGGTTTGGCCAGTTAAACTTTTGATTGATACACTGTAGGTACTGTCCTTTCTGAGTTTGTCAAATAAAATCTGCAACATGACTATTTAAATAGTCATGTTGCAGATTTTATTTGACAAAAAAATGAAATGTGTCAGAAAGAACACTTCAGTTTAAGGGTATAGCAGCGTAAAATAAAGTGTAGTTTTGTTCCCATTATGAACCTTCTGCATCGATTTTCTTTTGTATTCTTCACAAAAGAATCACTATGTGGAAGCTAACATGGTCTGTGACAGAATCATGTAAATAAGTAACTCAGAGGTTACTTCGCCTGGTCAATTTATCATAAACGGACAATTAAGTTGAACTAGGTGAACTGGGCTCGGGTAAATTCTTGGTGCAAAAAATGAAAAACCTGGCTGACATAAACAAGTGGGCCCAGGGACCTTGGTGGTCAATCGGGTGTCAAGACTTTCCCTTGATATGACCAATTTAGTTTTACCTTTAACTGGAATTTTGTAATCATGTTACATGAATTTTACAATTTAGGAAGGATTCTGTGTTTCCTATCTTATTGATAAAGCTTGTACCTAGTTGATTTGGAGTAAAAGATTCTTAAAAATAAAGTGATGAACCAAACCCCACCCTGGGTTTTTAGGTCCGAGAACACACCTTTCACAAATTTGGACGAGAAGGGCAAATAGTGCACTGCCACCATGCATAAAGATTGCTTGGGGTCATGTTTACATTATGATATTAAGCAGTGAACCTTTACAAAGATTTTGAAATTCATGTCTCCTGGGACCAGAACATTCTTTATGCATACTGGTATAGTACGCTTTGTCCTTTATAAAATTTGTTAAATGTGTATGCAAAAAGCCGATACCCAGGGGTTGGGTCTAGTTGATCACCATATTTTAAAAATATTGTTTCTACTCCTAACTGTCTAAAAACAAGCTTGTATGATAGAGAACATATAGTCCTAACACCAAATTCTAATATTCATGTCACATAAGTCCAGAATTCAAGTTACATGTATACAAGTGGGGTTTAGTTCGTCAAAAGAAACTCTTGATACTCTGGTTACCGTCAAGGACCCCCGAGACTCTTGTTTCTATAGCAGCTTATGCATTATAGCAAATGTGTAATTATTGAAACGTAAAAAAAAAAAAATAATATGAGAAAATTAGGCTCAGATACCATTAAGTAGTTACTAGTTATGTTCTGAAATATGTTTAGGATGTGTCATCTTGGTAGCTTTTTGAACTGTCTCCATTTGTAAACGCAAAAAATCTTTTGAAATCCATTTATTTCTTTGTTGATGAACCCTTCTTCATTTTCCAAAACAGTTCAAGATGTCTGATGCATTAAATCAATTTGTTACTCATGGAAACTACGCAAGAAAAGAAATTCATCGAGGAAAACACGAGGATTTAAGGCCTTGAATGCTAAGCTGCCTCAATGCACCCTTTCATGTTTTCATGTTACTTAGATCATAAGAAAAGTGTTTGCAACGTTGCAAAGGTTATTATTGGGAGCATCTGAAGTTCATAATCTCACATAATTTTACAAGGTTAAAAAAACACTTTAGAAGGTTAATGCGCTCGAAGACTAAATTTAAACTAGGCATTCAATTGAAAATATTTCACACGACTGACATTTGAAAGATGACAAGGGAATTTTCAATTAAAATGTAAAATGAAAGAGGTAACTTGCTCCAGATATGGTATCTTCTTGATTTATACAATATTTATTTAAAAAAGAATTAGGGTAGACATGAGTGCCTACCTATGCGTGTCCTCTCCCCCACTACACAGTTCTACTGTGTCAAAGATTTTTGACTAGATACAATTGAGACCACATAATATAGAGTATGATTACTGAAATGTAAAATAACTTAAAGAATTCTTTACAGTGCAATCGTTTTATTCACCCGTGAGAAATCCCCACAGGGTTGTCATCTTACTCGACTCGCGGAGGATATTTAACTATGATTTCTGGCATCTAAACTCGTCCCTCAATTGCACAACATAAAAGGTATTCGAAATTACGAGAAGGTTTTTGTGAATAGAAACTTCAAATAAATTAAGTTTACGAAATCTGGCATCCTGATTTCTAAAGAGTCTTATGCTCGCATGAGAAACCTTATTGAAAAAAATAATGCAATGTAAATTCTACCTCTATTCAGCTTGTATTGTGTTAACATTGTAAGTTTCTTAAATGAAAGGCGTCGTAAGTTTTTTCTTGTTTACATGCCCTGTATACCAGTAAAAAAAGATTATCTCTGAAGATACGAACTCAGTAGATGACACATTCAATATATTCTTCTGAATATTCTTTATGTACTAGAAATACTCTCCAAGGAGTTATTTTATGCCACACCCTGCTCTATCTTAATTTGTGAATGCAAGACATTTTGTGGGGGTCATGTTAAATATTTCCTCTATAAAGGGAAAACAGTTATTTAGCAAGCTCAATACCATTATAAATTACAGAAAGTACACACAAAAGTATCAAATACTAGTATATGACTCGGATACAAACCTGCTTAAGACAGCCTTTCTTATTTCTAATTAAGTTAATGTACAATGTAATATATTCGTATTGTTTACATGTAATTCCAAAGTGATAGAGATCATTGAATTCAAAATAGACAAAAGCTCACAAGCCTGAATAGCCAATATAACTGTGATAGATGACAACTCCGGTATATAAATTGAAACAATTTGAATTAAAATAATTTAAAACGTACATATATTTCAGATCTCATTTTGTTTTTGTTTTCTTTTGTAGTGTCTACAACATGCTGAAAAACAGTGGGATGCACCGACTGGACATGCAACAAACACATGCACTACTTATTAAAAGTACTGCAACCATGAAAAATATTTTCTGCCTTAACTCTGACACTTGCAATTTAGAACTCAACGCTGGAGATGTTTTTAAACTAATAAAAATATACATCACAATTCAATTACTATTTATTTATTTGGAAGGATTGCTTACAAAGGCTAAGAACGTTTAATTTACGGAAAATATTATTTAAAGGTCTTAATACTGAGAAGGCCTATTGTCTGTGTTGCTCGACTTTTTTTTGTTAATCATAAATGGTGGGTAATGTCGTTAATTTTCTTTTCATCACATTTGACCGTTTCCTGGAGAAAATCATCCAAACACCCAAACAAAGTTTCAAAACATGATGGCAGGTACTGACGTGACAAGTATTACAGCAAACAAATAATATTAAACAAACATGTAAAACAGTTTGTTGTTATATACATTGATGAAAACATGCATTCTATTTAAAGAAAACATCTTTTTATTTGTTAAAGCAGTAGACGGTTTCGCTAAATTTAAAACGTGGGAAACATTAATTATCAATAATAATAATGTACATTTTAATGAGCAACCTGCTTAGAACTTTAAATATGAAATAAATATCTCAAAGTAATTTGAAGCGATTAATATACATGTATTTTATGGCACTATGCACGTATATAGTAGAAAATTTATTACTAATTTATTAATTTGAAAGAAAAATAAACAAAACCCCAAAATAGTGAAATGTTCAGTGAAGTGAATTTTGAGAAGGGGAAAAGGATTATACCTTGAAAAATTCAACGAGCTCAGGGTCAACTTTTACCATAATTCAGGGCACAACCTTTTCATATTCAAGTTAAAAATACATTTTATTTCAAATGCGCGTATTTGAGTTTTCTTAGGAGATACATGCACGATTTTTTTTAAATACATTAATTCTCTCTCTCTCTCTCTCTCATTAATAATCATCTAAATCGTACCAAAATGAAAGCAAAAAATTCCAACTTAATCTACTAACATGTGAATATCTCATAAAAATTGAAATAAAACTCCAAAAACAATGCTCTATCCCCTTCCATCCTTTCCAAATAGAATTTAATAACTACTGTTTGCCGAAACAGCAATGTACATTGACAGCGAGGGGGGGGGGGGGGGGGGCAAATGGTTTGACATCCTCTTGATAATACCTCTTGATAGTACCTCAAATAAAAAAGACATTTTTTTTTTTTTACAAAAATTTAAATAATACATAAAAATCTTTGAGCTAAAAATTTACCATTGTTTTATTTATTAAAAAAACTATTACTATCATATATTTCAGTGTCAAAGATGCGTGATCTTTACCAAGAAAGGTAAAATGTTATTGAAAAATTTATCAAAATCGTCGTATATGGTGACTTGCGTGGGAGTTCAAGTCAGCATAAATAATCCTATTGTACTCTAATTGAAAAACAGGTTCAACAAACTGAAATGTGATTTTGGTTTCATGAAAAGGCGTGTAAGCAAACCTTAAATAGCCTAAAAATGTTATAATTTATCTCAAGTCTTATTTATTTATCTTATTTTGCTAACGTAATTTAACCATTGCAAAATCTGGAGACAAGCATCCATCCATGGAAAAGTATTTCGAAATAAAGAAAGGTGTACATATATATACACCGGGGAATTCTGTCCATCGTACAGATTGTCAGGAGACTGAAGACGACGATGCGTGCAGCTTGGATATTTTTGGGTATTCTAGCCCTTAGTGCGGCCCGCACTCTAAAGGTAATACCGCAGGGGTAAATTTAATTTTAATTGGTGTATGCATCTTAATTGGGGAATGCATTTTTTTTAAATTCCAATAAGTACCATGGTCACCAATTTTGTAAATCTTTTATTTTATTGTTTAGTTATTTAAACCATTTATGAACTTGTAGAATCTTAAATTTCCAACAAGTATACAAATGAACTTCTTTATCTTATTGCTTCATTATATTGGCCATTTATGTGCGCGTTTTATTTTTTTTTATATTTTAAAATGTGTTAAGAAGCAAAATTAAAAGTTATCCATGGTGATGTTGTTGATAACAACAATAACTTGATTATTTTTTTTTCGCTTGACAAAGTGCAGTATCAATAGGTATTTTCCAAATGTCGAGCGACGCACCGCTTCACACAACATGGAGTTGGCGGTCAATATATTGCTAAGATTGCACGGGAAAATGTTGGTTCCTATCTATAAATAACAAACATTATATAAAATCTATTATTCAGAGACAACATAAACCAAAATAAATCAAAATTAGAATTATAGTGCAAAATTAATCGGGACATATTTCTTTTGTATATTATGCATACGTAAATATGCGTACATAGGTACGTTTCGATACATATATATATATATATATATATATATATATATATATATATATATATATATATATATATATATATATATATTGATGTATCTTTTGCAAAAAAATGATGTTAAAGCTACCAGCTGGCAATTATAGGCGAAGGAGTATTTAGGGGGATGTGCAAATATCTAAGAGAAATATTTTTCGGAAAACTATGTAAGAGAATTTTGATAATCGCTTACGAATCACTATATGCAAACCGTAGCTTTAAATAACCCGATGTGTAATTTGATGGCATCTATGATTAAGATCTTTAAAACGACAATAGAATTAACAAGGTCGGTAGAAAACCAATCTCATACAACAAAACTAAGCCTTTTCTTTATAAAACAGGTAAAGAAAATTGAATTAATTTCAAAACTTTACGTCACTGATGAAATATTGAATCTTGCTGTGCCCCCCCCCCCCCCCCCCCCAATGTGATAACTCGCATAATGCTTTAAAAATGCAGACGTGTATTAGTATCCTAGAAATTATTTTAGGAAAACTTGTTGAGCCTATTTCACTGCGAATTTGAAAATAAAAAGCATAATAAAGCCTGTGTAATATGATAGCATCTTATAAATTAACGACTTTTAAACGATCGTAATAATAACAAATCCAATAGATAACCATTCTCTAGCCGCACAACTGCAAATATTGATAGACCGGAAAGCTATACAGTGTCACTCATTGTGGAGAAAAAATGTATATTTATTGCGCAAAAAGGTGTCCTGAGTTTTGGATTTCTTTCTCCAAATTTTTACCATTCCAATTTTTTCAGACCAGCTTAGCTACAAATATGCAGTAAACAATTCTTATAACCCTAAAACGGAACGTTTTCTTTATAAAACAGGAAAAGAGTAAAGACCTTTAAAAGATTTTTTTTTTTAACTACAAATCCTATTTACGTCACTGAAGGAATATTGCATCATGTTGCGTCCAAAACAAAATGGCAACGGTCAAAGTCTTACTTTTCGATCGAGAAAGAGAGAAAACAACAAACAAATGATGACAAGTTATCTAATAATCGGCGAAATAAACATGACCAGCCATTAAGCCGTTTACTTAATTGTTGATTTGAATCTCTCAGTTCTCACATAATAATTTAAATATATCACAATATTTTGTTGTGGAAACATCTTCACGAACAGAATTAAACATGTGCACTGATTAAAAACTTCTGATCATTAGTCGGTCAGCTCTTTAAAACTTATTTCAAGTTATTTTTTAGTTTAAGGTAGTTCGTTCCCCAGTTCTGAAAATCAACAGTAAAGTAATTGGAAATGTTCACAAAAATGTCACTGAATTCACAAAGTGAAGTGCATTCTTTGAAGTTCATCATTATAATTAATCATATCATATAGGAAAAAATTATTAAATCTCAAAAATATATTTCCAAGACACGTGGATAATAGAACCAATTATGCATTTACTATTTGAAAATATATCGACATGTATATTTAACGATAAAAAAAAAACAATAGGCATTCGGAAAAAAATGCAAATTTTTATATTGTGCGATATTTTAGTTCTTCTATTAATTTCAATTGTCGTATAATACATAGTGTAAAAATCATGTGGTGTAATTTCAAGATATCACAGATCACTTCAAAATTTATTTAAATATAATAAGCACTGGTATTTAAGGCAAAATTGAAGGAGATTCAGTTTCTCTAAAAATGAAATTTTGTCTGTACTTTATCAGTTTTATAAGGTGCAAATGCAATTTTTTTTTATAAGACCGTCCCTAAGATTTCCAAATACCATGTACCTACTACCTAGAATCATATTTTTAGATGCATGAAATGACTAATTCTGTAATATGATTTACGTCGATCTGCATACCTAAAAATGGAATTATGGTAAAAGAATCCTCTAGATGCACAGTCGATTTAGAATTTTTAGATGCATGAAATGACAAATTCTGTAATATGAGTTACGTCGATCTGCATACCTAAAAATGGAATTATAGTAAAAGAAGCCTCTAGATGCACAGTCGATTAAGAATTTTATAATATTTACTGAAGCCAGTGCAAATATGAATTGTTTTCAAAGCTTCAAAATTTTCTCACTATTTATCGAGAAATGAAATAATTGTGGTGGTCTTGAAAAGATTTGTTAGTAATGTGTTAAACATACGTGATAATTTCACAGTGATAAAACTATCAATACTTATTAAACACATAGATGAACATTTACCATGATAGAATGTATTCCGCATGAAATACATGTACATAAGATACAAACTCATTTCGGTTAGATGGGAAGGTTTTCATTGCCAAACAAATACTAGATAGTCTATCTTCCCCTATGGGGTTTCCGTTATAGTAAATTTCCAGGGGGATTTTTTTCTAAGGGGAAAATTTTCTCGGTGACACCTATCCCCTTTTCCCACAGAAATCATGTGTTTATGGTCCAACAATATCCTAATACTTAATCATATTTCATGTCTGTTTTCCAGAAACGGGACGATGATGGAGACGACAGCAACCACTGGGAATCGGTGTTTCTAGCGGGCGCTAAAAGTAAGACCACTTTTCCTAGCAATGCAGAAATAACATCAAACACATAAGAAACTAAAACTTATTCAATTTTTTTTTAATATCATTGTTGTAAAACACATTTGATCTAATTTGTAGACGACTATACGGATGTCGAAAAGGAAAACATGTTGGACAACATTGTTGGCGATATGGGACACTTCCTGTCTGTGGTGGAAAAAGCGATCAATGGCGGTAAGATGTTTACAAATCGCTCAGTTGCGGTAAAATGTTCACAAAACGCTCTAACTCGGTAAAATGTTTACAAAACGTTCAGTTGCGGTAAAATGTTTACAAAACACTCAAACTCGGTAAGATGTTTACAAAACGCTCAGTTGCGGAAAAAGGTTTACAAAACGCTCAGTCGTGGTAAGAAGTTTAAAAAACGCTCAATGGCGATAAGATGTTCACAAAACGCTCGATAAGATTCTTTTGTTGTTGTTGTTTTTGTTTTGTTTCGTTTGTTTGTTTTTTTGGGTTTTTGTTTTTTTGTTTTTGGTTTAACCCAGGGTTCGAAATTCTCTATATACAATTCGCAGAACGCGAGTTAGAATTCCCAAATTGCGAGTTAAAAATTAGGTAACTCGCAAAAACTTGCGAGTTGATTTTTTTGCATTGAAACTGTAGCAAAATTATATAATATGACAGAACACAACGCTTTTGATTTAAATCAGTAATTTAAAAAAAGGCACACTGTAGTTGTATTTTGTGTATTGTACAGTAGTTACTTTTTCCTTAAGTTACATGTATTTAATTTATATAAATTTAACTTTATATGAAAATTGCGAGTAGTCTTATAAAATTCACTTTCTTGGTACTCGCAATTATTTGCGAGTTGTAATTTTAGGGAGTTTCTATCCCTGCCGGTTTTTGTAAATCTGAAAATCTACCTCAAAAGTCTAGCATTTCAGTGTCGCAATAATCTAAACTCAGCCATGCGTATTACTAATTTGATTTATGTTTTTTATTTTCAGAAAATGTTGAACAGAACAAATATGACATTGTTAATATGCTGTCAGGAGCTCTACTTCTTGTAAAGATGCACGAGGAAAAGGGTATGCATCAATTCATCTATATTGAAGACACAGACAGTTTGATTGCTTTATGATTTTGAATTTGGCAGAGTACACAACTTTTCCCTGTGAAAGAAAATATCGATTTTTTTTTATCTTTTTTAGCCGAAAATGGACACGTCATGATTGCACCAAAACCAGTTACAATCCCCGCCAGATGTACCAGGGGTAAATATTACTAAAAATTACAAGATCCATTTGTCCTTTGGAAGCAAGACTTAAAAGATTTCAAGCAATGAACTTTCAACTGTAAAAAAAAGACAAATATTTTATCATTTGTTCATTTTGTCTACTGATGAGTGATCTGTCTTTGAATTCTTGTTAATGAAAGGATCTTCTAACCACACTTCGGAACAAGAAAATCTGGTAATTTTACAATCATGTCTTAAACTAAGACTTAACTTTCACTTCTCTTTTTAGCTGATGTCGAGGCTCTTGGGGAGTGTGATGCAATGGTCAAACGTGTTTTAGAGTGCATCCAGGGAGGAGGAAAGGCCATGGTTGCCACCCTGTCAGATAAAGCTATTTCCTGTAAGACTTGACTCATTAATTATGGTTAATATGCCGTATGCGCATTCTTAACCAAGTAGTCTGTCTGTCCCTGTTTTTTATTCAGCATGTAATATTATAAGTAGATCTCCAATTAGATTTTACAGCAAGATAACACAATCATACATGTATATAAAAAAATATTGTTTCCAGTAGGAATTAATTTTGAGTTTAATTGCAGTTGAAGACAGAGTTGGTGAAATGAAATCATTTATTAATAAAATTGTCGCAGAACTCGAAGGCATTAAAATGTTGTTTAGTAAGTCATTTCACAAAATTATGAAAAAAATTATATATCTCCTTACATTTTAACTGAATCAACGGAAAAAAGAAAGAAAAAAATATACTATTGTTCATTTTCTGAAAGAAACTGTTTATTGTTCAGTATAGAGGTAATATTTAATAAATTTATGACAGACCTTTAGACTTATAACAACTATCTTTTTTGTTGAATTACAGGACATTGTTCCAAGGTAAGCAACAATAACAAATGTATTGAATATTTTCCCCTAGAGGTGTGAAATAAAATTTCTTAATTAAGCTTATGCATGCATAAAAAAGACGTGCTCTAGAAAAGAAAAAAGGACATTGTATGAATATTCATGCATTCCCAAAACTATTATGTATTTTTTTTTTATGTAGCCTCTCACCCCGGAACACTGGAAAGAAGCATGGAAATTGACTGAAGCCGGTATTTTACAAATTATTTTGTAATAAGAGAAAATTTAGTTTCCTAAATCATAAAAAAAAAAATCAGTGTCAGTGTTCATTTGGCTTCAATTAAAAAATAATCCCCAAACTACAGATACAGCAATCTTGTAGATTTGAGCAACTCAGACGAAGCCGAGACGAAGCTCAAGGACCTGGGGATGAAAATTTACAACGACGTTAAAGACATAAGAGATAACCTGGACATTCTTTTAAGCGGAAGTACGTCCGAGGAACTTAAAAATATAGTTAGGTTTATGTAATAACAAGGATATAAGATTGTTTAGATACTTGCAATTAATTACATGCATAAATTAAAAATGCTCATATAAAGTATTTAATTGTTATCGTGTAAATCCTTAGACCCAAAACAATGTTCTTGGTAAAGGAATGTATGAAGAAACCTCACTACCTGTAAATTATATTGTAGAGGGAACTGAACACGAGTTTAAAAAGGCTGAGCAACATCTTGCGGCTGCCGTGGCTTTGGCCGAGTTTCACGAGAGGCAGGGTAAGTTCTTTCATATTATTTATTGAAATAACATTGTTTTAAAAAATTTTACAATTCTATCTTTTCGTAATTCTCGGAAAAAAATTCTTGAAATCGACTTTTATATCTTAATCTGAGAGTAATAAAGACATTAATGCTATATGGTGAAAATTATAATTTGTGGCGAGATGAGTTGTTATTATACGGAATTTCATTCTTAACTGTTTTAGGCGCTGATACTATTCAACCAGACAAAGTTCCCATCGACGCTGATTGTACAAATGGTAAGAGAAAGGCTTAATGTATAATAATGAGTTTTAAATAAATTTTTATCCGTCCTAAAGGTATCGTTTTATTGATTACACATGTCCCTAGTGTTGATTTTTTTGGTCACTTGGAACACAATCTTCGTCATGCTATCGGGTATTTCAAAATTGAATTTTAGTACGTGTTTCTGGTTGTATCATGATATGACAATTCGAATCTGAGTATCTTTCGCTAAAACCGTCTAAATGAAATTGGAACTCTTAAATTAGAAAATCTCACGAAATTGTTTTATTGGCTATGTTTGGATATATAGTACTTTTGGTGAGTTCATATGCTATAATAATTTTTAGATCGCGTTTAACATAAATTTGTATAGTCTCTACGCACCAAAATTTGAATATTTAATAAAATGTAACTGGAGCAATATATAGCCTCTAAGAATAAGAAAATTCTTGAATGAATAAAAAAAATTCACATATATATCTGAGTTTTAAATGGCATTATTTACGCTGTAGATGAAATTAACAGTCTGGATAACTGTGGCGAAAAATACTTCCGGGTGGGAACCTGCATGAGAAGAGCCGTGGACAGATTGATTAACAGGATGGAAAATAACAATAGAGATTGTATGTTCTGAAATAAAAAATGTATCTATCTATAAGGAAAATAACAATAGAGATTGTATATTCTGAAATTACAAAATGTACCTATCTGTAAGGAAAATAACAATAGAGATTGTACATTCTGAAATTATAAGAATGTATCTATCTGTAAGGAAAATAATGAGCTTTTGAACATTTGTATACAAGCTCCATTGATTTAATGTCCATATGACGCATGTAAAAATTGTAGAAATTTTAACGAATAACCAAGTATAGACCAACATTTCGAAGATTATTATATAAACAAAAATGCATACATTGAATTTTATTTCTTATGTTATTAACGAAATATAGAACTAATTTCTTTTGATCTGTTTTGTCTGTCAGTTGATAACATAAACACTGGATTTCATGTTCAGATAGCGAAATTGAATCGTCCTCAATTTAACATTTTAGATGTTGCACTTGCTAAATACATGAAGGGAGTGGTTATGAATGTTGCCAAAGTTCCAAAACTCCTGCAGGAGATTGCGAGTAAGTAAAGAATGAAATCAAATTTTTGAAAAATTTAAATTAACTGAAATAATTTTTTATATCACTTCGAATCAAAACACATAAATTTACTGTTTATATGCGGATTAGCATTTTATTTTATTTTATTTTTAGGTTCCTGTTCACAGGTGAGTATTGAAAACTTCAATTTTGAATTTGTCACATGTGAATTAGTTGTACTGATACAGTTCCTGATTTAACATGTTTTTATCGACTCGGGCACACACGTGTGTGTGTGTTTGTATGTGTGATTTTTACAATTTATTAAATAAGAAAAATATAGGTTACACAAGTTACACAAATGTATGGAAAAGCTTTAATGTAATAAATATTTCTAAAAGATATGTTATTCTTATATACTTCGGGATGTTGACAGATCACACTATCTTTGCAATTATTATACTTCACACTTTAAAATAACCATTGAAATACCACTCTTTATACAGTTGGATATTCAACACTGGGAAAGGGCTTGGATGATAACTGAAGAAGGTACGAAAGATATACAAATTTTATAAATCGTCAATTTTTTAATTGCTTCTACTAACACATTTACAAGTATTCTAAAATCTGTATATTACATTCTCTCCAGAACTAAAAGACCCAGCAAATATGGAAAAGTTTAAGCAGTTGGGAATGAGAATTCACGACGATATGGTGAAAATCCGTGATAACCTGGCCGCACTTCTGGGGGGAAGTAAGTGTTCCTTATTTAATTCCCCAGCAACAAATTTAAGTACTCACCTATATCATAAATAATTGGAGTTAAGAGAAGTTTATTTTCGCACCATGCAGGACAAAGTTAAATTCCGAGTATATTAAGTTCTTGCAAAGAAATGTGATTTAAGTACTGCAAGTATGAATATGTTGAGTTTAATGTACATGTATGTACATAATTCATTCACACACCCCCTCCCAATGATAGGATTGTTTATGTTGGAATGTTACAATGTATTATGTAGGATTAATTTAATTTTTTTCAAAAGAGGGCGGTGACTTCGAATTAGCTCTAAAACACCTCGATGCTGCTGTCAAGCTTGCTGAACTTCACGAAGAAAAAGGTAAGATTGCACACTGGTCAAGATATTCAATGTCAGGAATTATATGTAACATAATAAGAGTATTCTCCCGAATTCACTGTGTATTTTATTTTTTGATGCATTCAGCACCTTGCAATTACATGTACTTCATTAAATCGAAATAATAAGAAAATAATTAACTTTAAGGTGGGCAGTCCATCACACCATCTGTTCTTCCAATTGCATCTGGATGCACAAAGGGTAAGTAGTATAGAAAAGTGATTACCCGTTGTTTACTACTAAAAAGACTCGGAAACTGTACCTTATTTAGCAAAAAAAAAAACATGAATGTGAATATTTTTAATAAAGTTTAAATATTTCCTAAGAGGTATAAATATTTTGCAGATGAAGTTCTCGCTTTGGTTGGGTGTGAAAAAAGAGCCATCAGAATTGGAACTTGTATTAAAGAAACTGTTGACAGTGTAATCAAAGAAATGAGATCAAACGCAGACAGTAAGGAGTTTGTTTTATAATAAATAATCTGAATTAAATCTTTAAAAAAAGAGGCAATCTTTATAATATGTATATAAAGGTTAAATAAAGACGTTCAACTCAATATAGTCTTAAATGTCACTTTAGTCACAAGAAAACTGAAATAATTAATTAAAAAAAGCAATAATGGGTCTTTTTTGGAATTCGATGTCATTCAATTGAAGTAAAACAGCATGTAATTACAGAATAAATGCCGAATCATCATTGTTATTTTTTCTTATTTCAGTCGTTGAGATCGCCATGTTTACAAAGGGATCAGTTCTAAATATTGCCAAAGCAGATGCTATTGTGAAAGACGTTATAGGTAATTTTGAATAAATAAATTTTCTTTCTGGTGTAAAATATTCAACTATTTCAGTGTCCTAAAGAAAGATTTCTTCAAATGATATGTTTTTAAAATCAGTGAAATTGTACATTTTTTTCTACTGTGTTGTTTTTTGTAGCTGGCTGTGAAAGTGAGCACAAGGAAGCAGATGATAAGAAAAGAGAACTTGTTGATCTCCTGAGAAGAATTTTGCAGAAGTAAACTAACAACTTGTTCATACCAGGAATGCCAGACCACGAACCCGAACTGAAAAAAGTTATTTCCTTATTGTAAATGCCCATAGATTGTCACACCTACCTCATGGCTCAACTTGAATTTTATTGTCGCATAAATAAATTTCATTGACATTTCAAAACCTAGTATTTATTGTCATTAGTGGTTTATTCAGTTTAAAATTGAATACATGTATGTCTGTTTTATACAGAGACTGGAAAAATATAAACGATTTTAATCTGTATTGCGAAGATAAATTATGGATCGAATATGGTTGTCCTTCATCAAGTTAACAATATTGGCTTGACCTTGGTACAGAATAAAACATATTTAATATATAAATCAAGATATGTTTCAAATCACCAGGGTCGACCTTGACATCCTCAAGAAATGCCAGTATATTTTTTTCTCCTAGACCGTTTTTCTTTCTTTCGTAGTTAAGTAAACACTTTAATTAAACCTACTTCTATTCTTTGCAAAAATACGCTGTGCTTAATCACAAAGATGTAAATGATTACTTACATGTATAAACGTACAATCTTCAAGTTGCATAATAATTTTCTCTGAAGAAACATTGCATCACACCAAGCTTAACTCAACCTCAACATGGCAATTAATGATTAAGGTGTAATTTTACAGAAGCAGAATATGATCTAAAAGTTTCATACAGTAAATCACGACGAGATGTTTTTACCCCCAATTACCCGGCTGACCTTTAACTTAAATGTTGACCTTTGTAAACACAAAAACCTCTGTTAAGGCTATTATTTTCTTCTAACGTCACACATCTGTACTAAAATCAGGATGAGGTAAACTATCGTTACCAGAAATGCCCTCGACCATGGCATTGTAACTTAAGCGATGCGTTTTTTAGCAATAAAATGCATTCTTTGTTAATGTGGGGATTTACGGTTGCGACATTGCAGAAAAATACGTAACATGTGTAAGCCATTAGGCAATGTAATTTTTATTCTGCAGTCGTTGCAATCATAAATCCCCATGTTAACAAAAAAGGCATCTTAATTATTGTTTATTCATACTACATGTAGGGTTGATCCAAAAATATTGTAACAAGTGCTATAAAATCTTCAATAATTGGAAGTCATCAACCAAATTTTATGTTCGTTTACCCCAATCTACTTCAACTTTTGCCCCCCAAAAATCATTAAGATACATGTATATGTACAGTAGTACTTTTTAAAATATAAAGATTAAAACACAATTAGGTTAAGTCTATCAGCTTGACAGCAACGTTACTGATGTCTTCATGGTGTTACTTTTTCGAAACTCATTTTCAGTCCATCCACAAATCTATGAAATTTTTCACACTCGTCTCAAGGGGGCCTTCTACATCGTCACAACATGGCGTACTTCAATTCGGAACGCCATTTTGGTTCGAAATGATCAGATTATATCCTGAACAAATTTACCAATCACCGATAATTCAATATATCATAACATGCGATATGTATATTCTGTTGTGAACGGAATGTATCCCCTCGAAGCGACGAGGATTGAGAAGGTACTCATTTTTTAAATGAATTGTTTGTCAATTCATCAGTAGTCAAATTCAACTGATTTTATTCTTCCTAAAGCATATGGGTGAATTAAAAAAAATGACCAGACACATATTTATCGACCTGCACTAAAATACAGGCAATGAGAATAAATTTCTATGTCCCAGCATATAGGTCTTTTGATATTGTCTAAACACCTGCCAAATATCTTATTGATATCTCAAGACTCAAAAAAAGTTATGCCCAAAATGATGCTAAAAATGTCATGAGTGCAACACCTTTTTGCGACATTTTGAAAATTCAATATTTTTTGAAAATCTGTGAAATAAATAATACTGGTTTATGTTGGAAATAAAGACATTCTTGATAATATTCAAAGTATTGAGCTTTAAATGTAGACTGTATCAACTTTTGTTTGACCAATCATGGTTGATGCTGAAAAAAAAATGTTAAATTATACCCATGTCAGGATTGCAACAGAAAAATGTAGTGTTGCCAAAAAACATAGATTTTCAAAATCTGTATGACAATTAAGTCAAAAAAGAATTTTCACAAAGTGTAAAACAATAACCGACATACCATTTAAATTTAAAAATGTTATATAAATCACAAGCAGCATTAATGATAGTCAAGTATCTGTGCATACCCAATTATGTCAGAAGTGCAACATTTGATGTTTTGCTCCCCGGCATGGAAAAACTTTTATAGTACATGTATATACTTCTCCGTTTTCTAATTTGGAAAATAAGGACACAAAGAACATTTTTACTAAATAGATTTATCAATTACAGGGCCTGTCTGTCTTTCAGATCTATATTTGTATGGTCAGGAGTGCAACACATTTTTTTAAAGATCCAAGTTTTTAATATGATGAAAAAAATTCTATTCATACTAATAAATATTCCTTAATCAATGATGATGTATTTGAATAAATTAAAAATAAACTATTGACAGTTCTGATTTTAAAGTATATCTCTTTTTCAATTTTATCAATCCAGATGTGGTTTTATCTTTTCTTTGAATTTTTTATGAATGGTAAAAAAAGAATCACTGAAAAATTGTTATGAAATTCAAATAATTCCACTTCAATTTTACTGAAACAACAGAACATGTTCTGATGTAATTTATGCTTCACAAACTCTACTTTAAAGACTTGCATGCTCTTGGTCAGGAATACAATAAAAATGTTAGAATTATTGCTGATCAAAAATGAATAAATATAAAGAATAAATTGATGAGTAGAATGTTTCTGGTTGACCTCAACTGCTTACAGTGTTTGTCCCGTGAATGAAAATATACTATAAAATATACTTTTATCTTCCTAATATATATTTTGAGCTAGTGTTTTGACATAAACACGGAATAATTCAAGATATAAGGGCAAGTTTAAATACTTTTAGTGTTTTAACCATTCGTATTGGACTAAAAGTATTGCACAATTTTGTTACCACTTGTTGCGAACAATTTTTGAATTTTGTGTTCTATGTTTTTTTGTTTGTTTTTTTTAATTTTACTGCAGTCGGGAGTGCAACAAAACCGTTTTATAATTAGCAATGAACTTCATCTCCCTTTACTAAAAAATAAATTGCAGAAAATGTTTGATACTATTTGTAGCTCGGTATTGTTTGGACATTTTACAGTCAATGCACAGAACAGTTTTTATCACTAAACATATACATATGTATTCTTTTTATCTATATAGAGGAAATGAAACAGTAATATCTATATTTAAACATTTATTGTTTGGCATTGTTGGTCGTGGCATAATATACATGTATAAGCAGCAAAGGGTCTCCAAGCAGGGCAGACCCAAAATTCAAGCAACAACACAATACAAAGCAAATCAATTATTTGGCTGTTCCAGGTTTACCGCAAACAGTCATTTACCTTTAAGCTTATTAATGTTTTTTAATTATAAAAAAGTTTTGAATAAATTCAAATATAGCAACAACAAGCATAAAATAAGCAGCTCAATCAAGCAGCATTTGTTTGTTCCGGGTTGACCGCGAACAATGAAATAAATTGTTAATGTATTTACATTATAAAATATCGAGCCAATGTTCACAGCTCAATGTCTTCAAAATATCATACACAGTCAGATGCACAAGGTTGAAACATCAGTTGAATGGATGGGCGCATATGCCACATGACCTAAAACTTAAAAGTTTGCCTTCGCAATGTCGTATCCTTGGTACTCTTGGATTTGACCCGTGGCATTGTGATATCACAAACAAAATAACAATAGCAAAAATTACTTTTTTAAATTTACACTAAAATTTTCTACAAAATATATAAAAGATATTAAAGTGTTCAAGCCGCGTTTATTCGAATTTTCTTAACGATTTCAATCCCACGAAAATCACCCTTTAAATACAGCTAAACTAAGCCATCGATGTAAACAAACATCACCAATGTGTCTAAAATTATTCTTTCAAACAAGTTTTTAGAAAAATAAAGCAGGATTGAGATTATTTTTTGGAAATTTTCAAGAGCTTAAAATTATGCAACCTTTCAGTTCGAAGCGCATGTAAAAAAGGATGCGTATACCGAACCCGATTTTGTACGCCGAACTCGAGCAAAAAATTTCCCCATAAGATAAAGGCATCTATATTATATTCATATAGATGCTGATATATTACACAAGCAAATAATCATGTTTTGATTGATTGGTTGATTGATTGTATGCTGTTTTACGTCCCATTCAAGAATTTTTCACTCATATAGAGACGTCACCATATACCGGTGAAGGGCTTCAAATTTTGACCTTTACTCGGCACTCAGGGCCATTGAGCAGTGAGGGGTCGTTGCCAACGCCTGCCGTGACACGGGGCCTCGGTTTTTAAGGTCTCACCCGAAGGACCCGCACTTTCACTTCAAAGTGCCGAGCGCCAGGCGAAGGAACAGTTGCTACCCATTTTTTATCGACTAAGGTCAGTCGCGGCCGAGATTCGAACTCACGACCTCCCGATCACGGAGCGAGCGCTCTACCGACTAAGCTACCGTAAACGGTTATCATATTTTGAAGTCTAGAAAATATGAAAAACTTGCTGTAAATGATAAAAAATATCAAAACGATGAACTGATTTATAAACTTTGAACGAGTTATTGTGTGTTATAATCTTTTAAAGCATTGTTTCATAAAATACATAGCAGATGTCAGGAGTGCAACAAAATAAGGTATTAGGATCACTTCAAAATCTAGTATTTTTTGTAAGAAAACTTGTTTATTAAAATTCTTTTTTTTTTTTTTTGGCTTAGATTAAAAGAATTGTCTTAAATGGACCAAAAAGTAGTTTTTGGGGAATTTATTATATCATATTTCTTTCATATTAAAACTTTTCAAACCAGAATTGAAAAAAAAAATAATATAAAATAACAATTGAAAAGCCAATTTCTTTTACATATACAAAAGAAGAAATTCAATCAAGGTTTAGATCTAATCATTTATATCCCTGACACCATTCTGAAGCATAAAAAAAACATGAAAATTTCTTTTGATTATGTATTTTAGAAAGTCTTTTAGGATGTAGTAATATTTTCTTTTTTCAAATAGTTTTACTAATAAAATTCTGAAACTTTTTTATGCAATTGTCTATTCAATTGCCACTTCAGGAATTTTCACTAG